GGGGGGGGGGGGGGGGGGGGGGGGGGGGGGGGGGGGGGGGGGGGGAGGAGGAGGAGGAGGGGATGAGGGACGATTCGAGGCAGACGATGCCGGGTTTGCCGGCGAGGACGAAGCCGGTGAGCGGTGGGCGGCGGGCGTCTTTGGCAGGCTGGGACGCGTAGGAGACGAGGTCGGCGCGCTTGGATTTGGTGGAGAGAGAGGGGAGCCAGTACCATACGCGGAGGACGCGGGGGTAGTCCGAGATCATCGCAGAGGGCGGCGCGCGCTCGACGTCGTCCACCACGTGTTGATCCACCGGGCTGGCATACGAGGGAAGCAGTTGCTGGATGTGGTCCACCGCTTGCCCGATGTGGTCGAGCGCGCTCGTGTCTTGCCCGTCATGTGGGGTGGAAAGCGCGTTGGCGCATGCGTCGAGGAGATGCGCGAACGCGGTTCTGTTCAGCCAGTGCGGATGGCGCAGGCGGAGTTCGGGGAAAGGAGGGCGGTCGCAGTCCTTTTCGCCGCCTGCTGCCCGGGTCAAGGGAATCTCTATCGATAGCTCCAAGCATCGCTCCTCGGGCCCAACCGTGACGTCCGGCGGCGCGATGTGCAGCACGAGCGCGGCGCTCTGAGGCAGGTCGAGCCCAGACGTGTCCCTAGGCCCGTCCGCATCGTTTCCGGTTGACTCGAGATAGCCTCGGAGACGCTCGACTGCCGCCAGGTCCTCGTCGCTCTGGAAGAGTTCGCCGGGAAGGCAGTAGATGGCGTTGAGCATGTCATAGAGCGATAGCTGCTCAGCCAGGCATGTTTCAGATAGCGGTGATCGGGGAGGTTGTGCGGGCATGAGGCGACGCGCGCGGGATCTCCGCCCAAAGCCACGCCGGCGCCCTCGACGAAGACGGAGCGTCTTTGGCGAGTAACTCAGTAAGTAAGCTACGTACTTGACCTGTTAGGAAGCAGATGGCCGTCTTCGGGAAACGCCGTTTCTCGATCGGGTGCGGCCTGGGAAACCATTTGCTAACGCCTCCCGGTCCGAGCTCTTCCCCGAGGCCGGGCCCGTTTTGTGTCGCAGAGTAATTATGCTCATGTCCAACGACTCCACTGTCCACGTCTTCGTAAATCCCCATGCATGCGCGCAATATCTCTGCCAGGGAGCGAGGAGGGGAACAGAGCGCCCGATGCACTGGCGACGTGATCCAACCTCGGCGTGATCTCGAGGACCCCGCGGTCATATATTCGGCTGGGATTTCGAAGCGCAGCTAGAAGCAGCCCCCGCCGTCGCTTGGGGCCCTTTGGCTTGCGGCTTGCCTCTCTTGTCGACAGCTCGAGCGGGGGCGTCGTGATGCCTCGGACTTGACCAGTGCGCCCAACCCTGGATCTTACGCGCGCTCGTTGGTGGTGGTTGGTGGGACAGACACACCGACACAAGGCGGCGGCCCCTTGTCGTTCTTTGTGAGTAGCTTGTCAGCGCTGCGTCTCATCAGCTTCTCCCGACGGGTCGGGCTGCGACGCTTCGTAGACGCAAAGCTTGTTTGCTCGTCTTGCGGACGCCTTCGGTCCTCGCTGGAACACATAGCGAGCGGGGCTCCTGTCTCTCCTGCAATCAACACGTTCGCTGAACATGCATTTGTTTCCAAGGACGCTTCACACCCCCTTCCTCACGAGATAACGAGCCTATACACATGAACCATCCTGCTACCCCCCATGGCACGACACTTGCACTCGAAAACTTGTTTGCGTCGTCCTCGACCAGCAGCACACCCCAGCACACGATCCTCAAGAGGACCCTGAACATCCTCCTCGTGGTGCCCGATCCTGCTACGGCCGCTGGCGCTCAGGCCGTCAACCGAAGCTCCGTCGCCTCTCTCGCGTTCTTGGTTTGGGACATCTTGATTACGACCGATGACGAAGTCCGACTGATGTGGCCGTACGTCATCCTTCCCCCCTCTCGTACCGCTACTCCGGCGTGATCAATTGACCTGGCGGTGCTTTTTCTGAAGGCGATCGTGGAGTTATACCAAATACCTTTATTTCTTTGTACGATATTTCGCGGCGTGCGTCCAGATGTGCGTCTCCAAGATTCGTCCGTGGTTTGATCAGGGAATATTTGAAACTGATGATAAAAAAAACCCTTCGGCTCAGAACTATTTTATTCGTGGGCACCGAGATCTCCCGCCCGTTCGATTATACCCCGCACGCGTGCTTTGCGTGGCAGGTGTGGCAAGGAGTTGCCGCCCTGGCACTCGGCATAGCCGTGGATTGTATACTCATCCTACGACGTGCGTACCCAAACATACCTCGTCGTGCTCTCTCGGACTCCTAATAAGGGTGACCACCGCAGTGCATGCCTTGTACAACCGGAGCGCGCGCGTCAGGGCCGTCCTGTTCGCCCTTTTCGTCGCCGAGCTGCTCGGTATGGCCGTCAGCCTCGGGCTCGGGGTGGGCAAGATCAGCTTCGACGATGACTGCACCGTCACGTCGTGGCCGATCGAGTTTGTCGCCTATGGGTACGTCCTTCTCGTTTCTCGTTTCTCTCTCTCTCTAGTGACCAGGCTATCAACTCGACGATTGGGCCTACTTAGCGTCTTTCCGTTGGTGTTTCAGGGAATCCTGTTCGGCTTTACGGTCTGGCAATTCGTCAAGACGATGAGGCACGGGTGGGGGAGGTACGTTGCTGCCAGAATCCCAAAAGCTTCCGGTTTATTCAGGGATATGTATCATAGGACGCGCGTGTTGGATGTGCTGATGCGGGACGGGATGTGGGCCTTCTTTCTCATCTTCTGTGAATACCACTCCGGCCTTCCTCCGTCAGACTGCGCATCGATTCTGACTTCTATGGCAGTTGTGTACCTCCTGCAGGGAATCGTGTTCTTGCTACCAAGCGACGGCGCCTTTACCGGAGTGTTCTACGCGTGGCTATTGACAGCGTTCTCGTTCTCCGTGCGTTACTCGTTCGGTATAGAACGATCGATGCGGATCGTTCTGAAGATTTATATATATATATGCATGCACAGGGATACCGACTGCTGCTCAACATCCAGCGACTCGCGCCCCAACACAGCCGTGCACGGTCGAACCCCACCGGGCGGTCGACCGACTTCACGTCGACGCACATGGACTTTGCGACGAACGCGACCCCGAGCGGCGGCGAGTGTTATCGGACGATCGCGGGGTCGAGCACGCTCGCGTCGGGCGCGGCGACGACGGCGACGGCGTGCGAGTCCGAGTTGGCGGTGGAGGGATCGGGGATCGACGACGAGGGGCTGGAGATCGAGATGTTGCCGGTGGGGAAGCGGAGTGTGGCGTTCGATCTGGACGACGGTGAAGGTGGACGCGCGGCGGGGAAAAGGCGGGTGGGTTGGGATGATCGCGAGAGGTTGTCGCCGAGGCCGCACCGATGAGAGTGCGATGGGGGGGGGCGTATGTATGTGCTTGACGCTTGATTTTTTATTTCTTTACACAGCAGTTGTACTATTATGTTGCATGTGTCGTGGATAGTGATAAGTATTAATATTGCGTTGTTCGACGCGCTGACGGCTTAGGACCTTCCCCGTCCCCGGAAGGTTTACGCGAGATGGCACAAGTGCCGGCGACGCGTAGCGACACGGCTTTGCCTTACATTGCGTCCTCGTGTATCAGGCATGGTGAAGTCCTCGGTATTCATACCTCTGGCTCCCACCTCCCACTCAGTGGTCAGCGCTCAACGCTCAGTATTCACTCCTGGATTTATTATGAAGAGTTCTAAGATTTCCATGGGAAGTTACCCACATAGTACCCACGTAGCGAAGCCGCGCTAGCCTTTCGCCCGCGTCACCCTCCTCCCCTTGGTCTGTAAACTGATCCACTTCAAGTCGATGGTGGAAGGATGGACTCGACGTCCGAATCCTGCTCGAACTTGGGGCTGTCGTCGAGTATAAAGTGGATGTCTGTGGAAGGTCGGCCAACAAGAGCGTCATGTCTCTCCCGACCTCGCATCGTGCATTGAAACTCATCTCGAGGGATCAACCCCTCTCACTCCAGACCGTGCCTACGCCGCAAGCCGGACCCGGCTCCGTCGTCGTGCGCGTCTTAGCCGCGAACGTCATCTCCTACGCCAAAGAAGTCTACACCGGCGTCCGGCCGTACCCCTTCCCCACGCCGTTCACCCATGGATCGAGCTCCATCGCCCGCGTCGTCGCCTGCGGCCCGGACGCGACGAGCTTGAAGCCGGGCCAACTCGTCCTCTTCGAGTGCACCATCCGCGGCCGGGACGACCCCACCGCCGCTTGCCTCTCCGGACTCGCCGAGGGCTTCACCGAGGGCGGCGCGGCGCTCATGCGCGGCGAATGGCGGGACTCGACCTACGCGGAGTACGCCAAGTGTCCGCTCGAGAACTGCGTTCCTCTAGACGAAGGACGTTTGCTCGGGAGCCCGGGCGCCGGCGGGCTGGGCTATGCGGTGGAGGACTTGGCGCACCTCGCGACCCTCTCCGTCCCGTTCGGAGGGCTGGACGACGTCGGATTGAAGGCGGGCGAGACCGTCGCGATCGCTCCCGCGACGGGCCACTTCGGCGGCGCGGCCGTGCGCGTCGCGCTCGCGATGGGTGCGCGGGTGATCGCGATGGGCCGGAACGCGGACGCGCTGGCGCACTTGGAGGCGCTCGACCCGTCCCGCGTGTCCACGGTCAGGCTCACGAACGACCTCGACGCGGATCTGGGCGCGCTCAAGGCGGCAGCGCGCGGCCCCGTCGACGTCTTCTTCGACATCTCACCCCCGATGGCGGCGAAGTCGACGCACGTCAGGGCGGGCATCGCCGCGCTCCGATATGGCGGTCGCGTGAGCCTCATGGGCGGCGTGTTCGGCGACGTCGCGTTCGACTACATCTCGTTTATGCACCGGAATTTGACGCTCAAGGGAACGTGGATGTATACCCGGGAGCAGCTGCAGCAGCTGCTGAAGATGGTCGAGACGGGGGTGTTGTCTATCGGTCCAGGGGCTGGGATACAAGTGGTCGGGAAGTACGGGTTGGAGGAAAGCGCGCAGGCGCTCGATGCGGCTGCTGCCAACGCTGCATCGGGCAAGTACGTGGTGATTAGCCCCTAGTTCTTGGGCGAAATCTGTATCGCATCTCGTAGCAATGTATCAAACGATTAATATTATATCTTGCGGGGTGAAGCATTCGATGTACTTGACAGGACTGGGTATACGTAGTGCTTATTTAGCAGACAATCTTACTGTCATATAGCATTGCTAACGAATGCAGGTGGTAGACCAGTCGTACGTGGCGTAAATACCCGCGGAAATATTTGAGGCATCCGAAGGCGCAGGGCTTGCGTCAACGCGACCGAACTTCATCATCTTGAGCGCAGCTTCGGCTAGCTTCGGCGTCGATAGCATCTCGCAGTACCTACTTGTCTATGCTGGATACACTCATGCCTCCGGCTACCGGTACATCGCTCGGCATCTTCGCGATGGCCTGAAGACTGCAGAGTCTCGAGTTCGCTAACCAACTGATGGGAGGTTACCCACTTTCAGGTTGGCGGTAGCTTGGTACCCATTTGCTCGGGATCCGCGTCATCGGACGGTATCCTCCTGTACATTCAAATGGCTTGCATACCGAACCACTTCAGATGCCATAGCTTTACCGACGCTTGAGTGCGACTCGTTCTTAGGGCCATCAGCCAGTATAAGAAGATGATGCTAGAACACCGAGACAGCATTCGTACAAGAGCGACATGTCCTTGCCGGCCTCGCATCGCTCGCTTAGTTATCTCAAGGGACCAACCCCTCTCACGTCAGTCCGTTCCTACACCGCAAGCCGGATCAGACTCCGTCGTCGTGCGCGTCCTAGCCGCCGCGGACGGGCTGGGATCTTCGGTGGAGGAGCTCGTGTATATCGCGACCCTCGCCGTTCCTTTTGGAGGACTCGACTATGTCGGATTGAAGGCGGGCGAAACCGTCGTCATCGCACCTGCCACGGGTAACTATGTAGGAGCGGCCGTGCACTTGCAAGAGGTGCGCGGGTGATGGCGATGGGGCGGAACGTGAGGCGCTGGCGCGCTTGGAAGCGCTCAAGACCGCGCGCGTGGCCGCAGTCAGGATCACGAACGACCTCAATATCGATCCAGCGGCGCTTAAGACCGCAGCGCGAGGGCCCGTCCACGTTTTCTTCGACATCTCGCCCCAGATGGCGGCGCATTCGACGCACGTTAAGACTGGAATCGCCGCCCTCGGTTATGGCGGGTCGTGTCAGCCTGATGGGCGGCGTGCGATGGAGCGACGTCGCGTTCAACTACGCCTCCTTCATGCACCGTAACTTGGCACTCAACGGTACACGGATGTACTCCCGGGAGCAGCTGCAACAATTTATGAAGATGGTTGAAACAGGGGTGCTATCTCTTGGCGCGAGGTCTGGCATCGAGGTGGTTGGGAATTACGGGTTGAACAATGGGAGGAGATGCTCGATGCTGCTGCGGCTCACACTACGTCAGGCAAGTATGTGGTAATCAGCCCTTAGGGGGCATATGGGCTAGGACAGGGCGCCACTTGTAGTGTCGCAGCGGCGTGAGGTTGCGCTATTATAACTTGCTTGTGACAGATCTGTAATGTACACGCGCTGGCTATTCCCACCTTACAACGCTTTCATGCAACTTACAATCGCACGCGCGCCAGCCCAATGTTCTGTGCATATTTTGAACCTGGTAGGATCTGCCCATCTTTCTTGGCTTCTTACAACCATAGAAACGACCCACCCACAATTAAATTCCGCAACAATCCTGACTGACAGTGTATTGAGATGTTCGCATGGCATCGCCACCAAGGCACCCCCGCAGCGGCGGCTCCCCATAAGGCGGAAGCTATTCTTATCGCGAAATATCGCACCCGGTATTCCACCGGCTAGTGTTTGCTCTTGCACTCACACCCTGGGCGGTTCGCGGGCGGCGCCCTCAAAACATACACGTAACTACATGCTTATTCACCATTACTTGCACCACTGCTAGCTGGCGTCGACTCTAGCATTTGCAAACACGAGCTTTCTATTAGGGGTACTACTTCGCGGGTGAGTGACAACGCATATGTGTTCGTCTTCTCGAGAGCGCCCTCGACGTGTTGGACGCATTGCTCCGATGAAACAACCTCCTGGGCCTCAGCTCGACGCTCATAATCCACTGTAAGATGGAGCGCGGTGTCCCACCCACCGAGCGTTTGTTATGTGTTCAGCATAACGTTGCTGCGCGCAACGCCCTCTCGGCGTTGATCGTGATTGTATATCTGCCCGTACAAGATATGCTAACACCATCTTCGTATACAGCATTTCTAAAGCCCTCTGGAGGCCACGACCCGGCATCTATGCCCTACCGCTATGATCATCAACTATCGAATGCGGACATGAGCTGGCTCCACCTGGCACCATCCCAATCACCTTCCTTGCACCAACATGTTCGAACACCATCCGAGGCCGCTGATTCAGCTGGCGCGCAGGCCGTCAATCGCAGCGCACTGGCAGCCCTTGTTTTCCTCGTCTGGGATATCCTGATCACAATGGACGATGAAGTAGGTGATGTTCATAGCTCTCGATTGAATGCTACTAACGACGATCGGCGTTGGCAGATCAAATTCATGTGGTTGTGAGTACCCGCATCACCTCCATACTGACAACGACTCTAACTGCGTCGTGATCGCAGTAAAAATTGGAGCTACACCAAAGCACTTTACTTCTTCGTCCGTTACTTCGCTGTTATGGTTCAAGTGTGAGCCCTTCGCGCAATCCCATCCCATGTCAAATCCTGAGGCAGAGGTTGCTGTCAGTTCTACTCTGCTTGTGGGAACGGAGCTCACGCCACAATTCCACTTCACGTCGCATGACTGCTTCATCTGGCAAGTATGGCAAGGAGCCGCTGCCATAGCGCTTGAGATGGCTGTTGATATCGTTCTCATTCTACGATGTAGGTACCTGTCATCGTCTTTCGCACTTTGCTTACCAGTCATGGTCTAGTGTATGCCATGTACGGTCGCAACCGGACCGTCGGCATCGTGATTGTCGCTGCTTTTGTCGTTGAAGTCATCGGCATGGCTGTCAGTCTCGCGTTAGCGCTCCCTCTGATCACGTACGACCATATATGCACGGTTACGTCCGCGCCTCCTGCCCTTGCCATATATGCGTACGTGCACCCGACGCTTGGAAGACATGCACTGACAGCTCTGTAGTGGATTTGCCATAATCTATCAAGGGATACTCTTTGGTTTCACAGCGGTCCAATTCGTGAAGTCCGTACGCACCGGATGGGGGAGGCGAGTGGATCCACCGCGTGGTGATGTCCGTGAAATTGACTGACTTCAGGACTCGCGTGCTCACGATCCTGATACGTGACGGCACTTGGGCGTTCTTCCTCATTTTCTGTGCGTCGTTTACAGTCGACGCTGTGTTTTCGTCGATTAATCACGTGGACGTCGGCAGTCATTATGTTGCTTCAGGTCATGCTGTACGCCGTTCCTGACCATGGCCCTTATACGGGGATCTTTTTCGGATGGCTGCTTACTAGCTTCTCATTTTGCGTGAGTCGCAGCACGTGGAACATCTAGGAGGTTTCGCACTGAGTCAATAATACCCTTGCCTTTGTCTTTCTAGGGCTATCGTCTTCTTATCAATGTCCAGAGCTTGGCCCTTCAACACAGCCGTTCACATCTTGGGTCGAGTAGCGCTTTCACATCGAGAGTGACCTCGACGCATATGGAATTTGCGTCGCATGGCAGACCTCTTCCCCGCGGCGAAGATACCTCTGTCTCAGGAGAGCAGATTGAAGAGGGATATATTGAGGAACTGGATACCCCTGAAGAATTCGAGCTACGGGCACCGCCCGCGAGCCTCCAGGGACAATCTCAAGACGAGCTGAATGTTCAGGTGGAGAGATCTCGCAGTTGCGAAACGAGCAAGGATCATCAACATCACGAGGAAGTCTAACCACATTCCATAGTTTTCGTCACAAGGGTATATAACACGTTGTATAATGACCACATATCATTACTGTAGATTGTAGATATTGATAAACACCCAATGTTGCTACCTGTGAGAAACCCGAGAAGTTTAATCGTTGGAGTGGGTTTGGACTGCCCCGCATAGACTGAGAATTGTCCACTTGGGGGTTGCTTCTCTCGAGCTTCGCGCGGTGGAGTAGCGTACAGGATAACGCGAAGTTTGGATCATTGCATGAGATTGTTACATGCCCTTATTTCGATGCTCCCGCAAAGACGGCTTCGTCCGCAAATTTCGCGTCCGAAACCGTATTCATTGTCACTTTACCGGGCTCCACGCCATCGGCCCCGAGTTCTCTCCCAGCGGGATGTATGTTCAGCCATATCCATTTGTAGGCAACGTGGTGCTTGACGGTAGACAGCCAGCGGCGTGTAAGTGAGTTGCTTGGATCCGCCCATCCTTCCCATTCGTACCAGTGCTCCGTGCCCCACAGGCAGTTGCTGTTCATGTCCGCGTCGTCAGAATGGAACCATGGGTGCGTGTACAGTGGCGAGAGGGTACGTACAAATGCAGGAACTTGGGGAGTATAGCTTCATTGGCGTGGGCGGTATTCGCGGTATTGATCATGCGCTGCGTCTCGTCTTCTTCGGAGACCGCGTCGTCGCCGAGCTCAGCCCCGGTACCGTACATGTCCTGCAGGCAGGAGCTCACCTCCCATTCAATGGGTAGGTGCTTGAAGATGTCCGGTCGACCCGCAACGATCGCCCAGTAGTATCCCTGGTCGCCGAGCTTCACGTTCTCGTAGTGCCCCGTCTCCGGCGAGGGCGGGCCAAACATGGACACGAAGGCCGGAGGGCTGAGTGCGCCCCTTCCGTCGTTGTGCGAGTCGGAGCGGTAATGTTCTGAGTCCATGAGCCGCAGTTTGCGCAGCTTTTCGAGATCCATGAGCATTACGCATGAACATATCTTCGATGCGTCGTGCCAGTCTGGGGTGCTTTGATCCATGTGCGTCGGCATACTCAATGCGGTGCCGGGCTTGTCCGCCGATTCCCAAGGATCGAAAGCGTCGAACCGGCGCCAAAGGAGAGTAGGGTCTGAGATGAATATAGCGTCCGTGTCGACGAATATCGATCGTTTGACGGTTGGTGGGAGGATTTCGTGGATGAATAGCTTCATGAGACCATCTGAAGGTGGCCAGCGTCAATAAGGCTGCGCCCTGGTAACTAAACATGACGGGCGCTACGAACATATACCGGAATAGTGTTCCGTGTAAATACCGCCTTCACGTCGTATGCGGGCCTCCATAGCTTCACGGGCCACGCGATAGAAGACGACCCGGATATCGTACCTTGGGCGGCGGACCAGGGATATTCTGCTCTCTAGGACCGACTGAGCACCTTCATCGCAGACAATATGAAAGGCCGTTGGTCTAGTAGTGTACATAAGGATAGACTGTCGGAAATGGAGGGGCGCAAGGATCAGAAGGTTATTATCGTCAGAGCAGTAGCATCGGAGCTTACTTTGATTAGCATAGCGCCTTCAGTGCCCGAGTCGGCGGAAAACATGACGAGCGAGAAGTGGACCTCTTCTCCCGCCATAGAGATCGCGCCTGTGTAAGGGGTGGTCGTGGTTGCGGGTGCCATTGATACATCTGAGACAGACGAGTCTATTCCAGATGTTGATATCTGCGACTTCGGATCCAAGTCGGCTCTGAAATAGTATAGAGGACCACATATGATGACGAAGAACAGTATGAAGGTCGTCATACGCCTGCGAGGACTGAGTAAACATAACCGGATGGCGCCTGTATAGCGCCGAGAGGGTGAGGGATGCCGGTCGGAAGCAGTCTGCGAGTGTCTGTCGAGAAAGCTTGCAGACTCTGAATCCGAAGGCTCAGTGGAGAGTGACGTCGACGACATCGACCGCAAGCGGAGAACAAACAACAAGGAGCTTGTCTGTCTGCATCGCGCTGGACCTTTTTCAACATATTATAGTCGCCTCGATGCGCGGCGGCATTCAGTGTAAATTCCCAGCTGCGCGGCCTGTGCCCGCCGTGATATCAGGGAACACCTTCTCCGTGCGAATGTGCTTTCACTGCTCTACGCGGAGGTTTAGCGCACAGTATGTATGTTACACTTATCACGGTGCCCTTGCATAAGTTCGTTTGAAGTGCTTGCGAGAGGAATCGTTGACCAACGAAGGGCTTGTAGTAGCGATGGCAAGCACCTCGGATCGTTGATAACGAAGTCGAGTGCGTACTCAGGCCCATCAACTGCAGACTGCGGTACCGGTGATACACTGGGAAAGTCGCTGCGACTCCGTGGAACGCCCTTGAGAACAACGCAATGTCAGCGCAAAATAACGTAGTGAGCCTTTGACTAAATGATGGGCGGGACTTTGAGGCTGTAGCCAACCAGAAATATTGTACTTCGAAAGGATGGAACCTGGTCGGCATGTTCTACGAAATAACTCTCGAGACTGAGCAGGTGTCTGAATGCTTGTTGCATCCGCCCGGAGTAATTATTGCATGTCTCTGATGTTATCTCGATGACAACCGTCCAGACCAAGAGCGTCGCGTAGCGTCATGGCGCAGTTGAAGTTTGAGGATGCGTAACGGTCACGTGACGCAGGCGCGTTGAACGAGCGGGGAATTTCCCCACGGTTTGAACCCCGTTCCTCCGACCAACCGCTTATCCAGAAGCGCCCGCGTTCTGAATCCCCTTTCCTCGCCTCGTGTTACGACGACAAGCCGCCGTTATTCATTGTCGTCAACCCGCGACAACAGCCAGCGAAACCCTAGCAGAGGATGGCCCGCCCCCTGCGAGACTCCCCCGGGCATGTCAACGGGCTCACGTCCCCAGGCATAACCCCGCTCCGCATAGCGAAACGCGATGGTTTCAGCCCTCCACCTGGCGAAGCCCTTTTGTCACCCAAACAACCCTCATCTCAGAAGGTCAGTGACGATCAGCCACGTCTTATCGCAGCAAGGTCAACATGATCTCCTGGTAGATGCATGTCTCCCAGCTCTCTCGTCGACAATCGAACACGTACAGTCGCCTGACCAAGGGCGGTCTAGTCTCGAAGTCGCCCTTCCGTAGCTCCATACCTGTTTCGTCCCCTGCGAAGACGCAAACGGTTGGTACGAGGAAGGTAAGCGGGGAGAAACGTCCTCGCCCGTTATCACTTCAAGGCCAATGGGAGAATGAGAACGGGCGCCCCTTGGGGTACAAACGGCGTCAGTCGAAGGGTTTCCAGGGCCTTCAGGAGCAGGAATATGTCTCCAAATCTCCCTTCAGGCGGTCGACGAGCGATGCTAGCAGCACCGGAAGCTCGGAGCGGGAGCAATCACAGCCTCCACCCGTTCCTCCAAAGGCACCCACGACCCCGACGAAAGCCAGGCCGAGTCGCGTACCGGTCCCTTCTTTGACACCCGAGGGCGTACCGGAAGCAGCTGGTCCTAGTGCGTCAAGAGATACCACGATTGAGCAAGCGCATGCTCGCCTGTTAGCAGAAACCGCGTCCCTCAGCGCACCTCCTTCGCAAAGCAACGGCTTCTTGCAACCTTCTCCCCGCTCCATCCTTGCCTCTTCGCCTGGGAGCGCCGGATCCCCCGCCAGGTCATCGCTCAAGTCGAAGCGGCTGCTCGGTCCTCGCGACGAGGGCTCGCGGCGGGAGCGAAGGAAGACCGTCACGTGGGATGAGCGGTGCGACGTGGTCGAGTTCGACCGCGAGTCGAGCATGGAGGATCCCTTCTTCTCTGATGAAGAGGAGGACGATTACTTTGGGCACGATGCCCGACCGGAGGAGGTGGGAGATGATAGCATGGATGTGGAGAGAAGTGCTGAGGACGATATGGGAGATGAGAAGGCCTCCATCGAGATGGGCGCCGAGGACAGTATTGTTGGACTGGTCGACTCCATGCTGCAGGACGCGGGCGAAGATCGCGAACCGCGCACGCCCACACACGAGCATCCGGACAAGGGCCACATGCTCATGGATGAAGGGATCGACAATGAGGACGGCGTACCTTACGGGCGAACTCATCATGCGGATCGCGCGAAGGCCGCACATCAGCAAGGCTACTTCGACCATCCGCCTCCGATATCCTCGACCCCGCCGCTGAGCACGTCGCCCCATACCCGTTCCCTCACCCTTACACCCCCGGCTCTGGCCAGTACTCCACCGAATTCCAATCGTCGTCCCAACCCGGAGCTGGGCCCAACCTCACCAGGCTCGCACGTACCATTAGGGAGGACGTCGCATGCGGAGCGTGCCCGTGAGGCCCATCGGCGCGACATCGACGACATAGAAAACGATGTTATGCAACTACCTGCTAGTCCGAGTCCCGTTAAGCGTTCGAGTACTGGCAGTCACATCGGTGGCCTTGTTCCTAGGATCGGATTGCCTGCTATCAGTGGTATGGATAATCTGGCGCACGCTGTGGCCTCTTCGGTTAACATTCGATCGATAGGTTCGGTACCGAGCCTTTCAGCGTCTTCGTCGCAGGATCCATTTGGCTTACCTGATATGAAAAGCGAACCTGGTGCCGATGGCTCTCTCTCCTTCAAATCCGAGTCTTCTGTCCAGGAGGTGGCCGTTAAGGAGGAAGAGCTGGAATCGGTAGATCTTAATGCCGCAAGCGCCCACCCGCGAAACTCTAGCCACGGCCGCGACCAGGGCTCGCACGTTGGCCACGAAGACGCTGATAAAAGTTCGCTTTCGACTAACGACGAGTTCCACGACGCTTTCGCTGAGTCACACGACGAATCGGAAGCGGAACATGGCCAACTGAATCGCAGCATAACGTCCATCGGGCAGTCTGACGTGTCTATTTCTGGATTCGAAGCTGCCCTGGGCCGGACTTCGACGCCACCGCTCAGCCCACCCGCTCCTCGTTCTGGTTCGCCATTCGTGCGCGGTGGCTCTCCGTTCGCACGCTCCGGGTCTCCGTTGATTGGCCGCGCTGCCTCGCCGCTGACCAGAGCCGAGGGTGAAGAGAACCTTGAGGGAAGCCTTAACGGAAGGCGTAGCCCACGCATAAGCAGGGAGGATGTCCACAGGCGACTTCTCACCCGGCGTTCCTTGGAAAGCCCCTTACGGGAGCTAGGACAGGGCGAAGCCTCTACCACCGGAGATTCTACGGCGGCCCAGCCCGGTAGAACCCTTCCTCGGCTCAGCAACGAAGCCCCCGCCACCGAACCTTCGAGCGCGGAAACTAGTGTGGCTACTGGATCTGATTGGCGGGACGCGACGTTCGAGCGTGCGGAGAGGCACCATGTCAGCATGCGCCGCGAGGACAACTACACATATGACGGCGTCATGAGCATCGATCCCGAGCCAGCACCCCAAGACCCTCCGCGACCGAACGTGTTACGGCGGGCCGGAACGGAAGTAGACATGGAAGGCAACAAGCTACAAGTTGTCAGCTCTTTCGAGGGTCTCAACATCGACTTCGCAAAACATGGCACGGAGGTCGAATCCCTCGGTGACATGCGGAGCGCACTCGACCGTCTCATGGAAGATGTAGCCAGCAGCGTCGACGGTGCCGAAGGTGTCTTGACTTCTCCTGGCCGTCACTCGAAGTTCGCAACGGAGATGCGGGGCTCGGGCAGCGGAATGCGTCGGAGCCAGGCCATGTGGAGGATGGAAGCCATCGTTACGGAAGGTGTTAAGCCCGGCCGTTTCGAGGTGCCGCCCGACGCGGAGGTGGATGAAAGCATGATGACGGAGATGACAGAGGAACCGGACAACTCGAACGACACAGGTCGCGGAAGTGATCACGCAGGCAGCTTAGAGTCAGCGGACACCGAGCGCGGCCTCATCAGCAGCAGCTTCAAGACGCCGCCGACAAGCCGGCCTTCTAGCGAATCTCCGATCCCTCCGCCTCCCCCACCCAAGGATGCGATTCGCACGAGGGAAGAAATGATCCTGGAAAAGCGGCGAGAAGCCCGTCAACGAGAGGAAGATGAAGCCATGGGTCGTGCGACCCCTCCGCGCGTTACATATCCTCAGGATGACCGCCCGAAGCAAAGGCGAAGCACGAGCACGACGGACGCCGAAATTGTCCAGACGCGAGCTGGCAAGGAAGTGATCCTTGACGTTCCAGTGGATGAAGCTGACCAGCTCGCGGACACTATTGCCAAGGAACTGCACAAACGTGATGGAACCAACCAGGTGAGCGTGAAGGTGCGCAGCCATGAATTCAACTAACGCGTCGCTAGAAATATTTTGTTCGCGAGCGGGATACGACCATATACGCCTCATCAGATGCAGGGCATGGACCCCAGTCGGATCACGCCGGTAGTGCCAGCAATGGCAGGGCATGGAGAACAGTACGGCGGCCTTCAGATATGGTAAGGACTCACTGGCACTTGTTTTGTTCGTTGTTTGAAACATGTCTCGCGTTAGAACGAATACGCCAAGCAAATCAAGGAGTATCGCGCGCAGCAAGGAGGAAAAGCCCACGGTAAAGTCTTCGTCAAAGGTCGGATTTCATTTACTCTCCTGCCTAGAAATGGCTGAGCTCTCTGCCTTTATTCCAGTTGTCGGCGTCCGGAATCTCAACGTTCCTTTACCTCAGCAAGCGACTGCTATGAGTTGTACGCTCAACAACGGAATTCACTACGTGACAACACCAGAATGCCGGCTATCGCGTGACTGCCGCATCGAGCAAGAGTTCGAGCTGTGAGCGGCCCTGCAACACTAATTTCAATGTCGGAGGTCTCACCTTAAATTAGGATTGAACATAGCAAGCTTGAATTCACTCTGACTCTCAAGATCCGGCGAGACCCTCATATCATCGCACAGTTCAAGGCCAACGCCGCTCCGCCTCCACCGCCGCCTGTTCAGCAAGCTCCACCCCCGGCTTCCAAAGGCGGTATGCGCAGCTTCTTCTCTTCGCCGAAGAAGCACAAGCAAGTGGCGCAGCCTCCACCGCCTGTTGCACCCGTGCATCGGCTTGAAGAGAATCTCGCTCGGTATCTCAAGCCTGATGGCACATTAGCACGCGCATTCGTCTCTTTCAAGGACATTGCCCAGTGGTGCGACACGCGCGTGTTCGAAATGAGCTGTCCCTTGATTGGTCAGAAGATCGAGGCGGGGAACAAGGTATCAACGCTACAAGTCGGCGAGCTGGCCTTGCAGATCTTCCGCTTCCCTTCTTTGCCAGGCGTGCCCGCGGATCAACTCCCGCAGAGCCTGGACGAATGTCTCAGGGGCATGCGACACGTTGCCTGGCATAAGGTGACCTACTTCGAAGGCACCTTAACACAGAACGGCGGAGACTGCACTGTAGGCCAATCCTGAATTATCCCATTTTCATGATGCTCATATTTAATCGTAGTCGTGGCGCCGTCGCCAGTTACGGGTCATTGGCGCCAACTTGGTTGCATTCAACGATGTGACCAAACGCGCCACAGCCACCATAGATCTCCGCAAGGCTATTGCGGTCGAGGACGACCAAGCACGGACAAGTCTTCTGTTGAGCCCTGCTTCCGACCCCGCAGCCCGCAGCCGCTGGGTTGAAGAATTTGACGGCCCATGCGGCGTCGAGCGGTCTTTCCGATTGATCTTCCCCGCTGGCGAGGAGATTGCATTCTTCGCCGACACGGATGAGGAAAAGGCAAAATGGTTCGTAATCTCGATTAAGCCATAATAACGATGGTGCCTAACCTCATTCTCAGGCTCGAGCTTCTCCGTGCCTTGGTTGGCAGGATCCCACCAAACCCGTTATGGGCAGAACTGCTATGGTTACGCCAAGCTGAACTTGCCCGTCAAGATACAGTATCTCCGTCGTCGTCCGGTTACTCAGCAAGACAATAACCGCCTGCTCTTGACCAGCTACGTGCGACCGGGGTATTGGAGAACCTCGTTACCATAAGTCATCCCTCGCATAATGCTCTAGAGTAAATTCAATGTATTCTATCAGCCCCTTTTTTGTCTCACCGCTCGTCTGCTTTCGGTATTCTGATGCTATCGATTCCACTCCGTGCAGTGTACGCTAGCAACCGTGCCAACTCATGTATTTATTCTCGTTTCAATCAATTTCCGATACGGCAGGAACAATCGTTGGTTCCGTTATTTGATACTTCTTTCATCGTTGAACGTTGAACGTTGAACGACGGCTCCGAGCGCGTGCAATCACCATCTCTTAGGACAAACTAGATCTACAAACAACTGATATATAGCGACACGGGTCTCATAGATCCCAAGAATTGCATGCGCAGTGGTGCGCGAGAGGCCACACATCAAAACGGTACGTCGCAAGTGCCACTTTTCTGATCTTGTGCTCTTTTTCGCCCGGGCGGCAAGCGCACAAGGGCTATATAGGTCTTGATATGGTGTCCGATGTGACCGTGGAGGATACTGATAGGGTCGGACGTGAAGGTGCGACGAGTACCATGCACTATATACCGGAAGTGCAGCACTCCTTGGCGTCCGATCATAGTCCATGGGGCCCTAGAAGGAGATATGTTTGGTATCATTCATGTTGAAAGGCATCAAAACAAATACATCCAACATGAAAGAAACCACATGCAGCAAATTGTCAAGGAACAACAAGAAGGGGAGAGCATCAATTAAAATTTGGAATCTGAGTTATAGTGGCACACAGAGCAGGCCCGATACCGCAGTAGGTCAGCCCTCCTCCGCGCCACCGACGATTTCAAGTAATGAATGTGGGGAAAAAGGTCGCAAGACCCGACATGGACATGGAGAAGCGGACCATTGACGGAACATACGACAGTCGCAACATAGTGACACATCTTGGAACTACGGGAACTGCGTAAACTCGGTGTTATTGTACCTGAGAAAGCATTGTTTACTCACGGTGTGGGCAGTACGGTTTCGCGGTTGCTACGCAAGGCCAGCGGGAGGACCGCCCCGCGGTCTGAACGAAGCCCGGGGGTTAAAGACGCTTTCCTAACCATGACTGTATGCGGCCTGGAGGCGGCGCAGAACGGGATCGTTCCTTCATGCCCGGAGCTTCCAGCAAGTCGGCAGACTCTGCGTATACCGGAGGTTCGTCCTTGATCGCCCTCCGAACGTTGACGTCTAGAATTTCGAACCGCGAAAGGGTCGCGATGACGGCAGGCCAGGCATTCGGGGAGATCGTGACCGTCTTAGTCGTATTCTGAACGAAGACGGTGAGGGAGAATGATATTCGATCGCGGTCGAGTCCCGAGAGCTCTGGAAAGGCCATCACTGCGTCTGCGACAGCTTGCTGGGCAAGAATGAGCAACCTGAATCACAATTGGCCATTGGAGCGTGTCGTACATCATATTGGGAGGCTGGCTTAACGTAAACCATTTGCTCTTGGTAACGATAAGTCAATATATCCGGGGTGTTGGATTGGATAGAGCATCCATGGGGTGTAGCAGACATGACGGTACGTAGCGCGTTGGCGGCTACTACACCGCTGAAGCACTCGTCCTTTATGTAGGTGCACGAACACAGCATTTTTGGTATCACTGCTCACGTCGCCAAACCTAAATGCACTAGACTTGGTGTCTATGCAATGTACCTGCATAGACACCAAGTTGACTGGGATGGCAGTTTAATGCGCCTCCAAGGTTCTGCAACGCCAAGTATACAGCTCCACACTAAATATCGTAGCTCAGGATTGGCGTCACCGAAGCCCGACACAGCCATCGTGCTGTGCAATAAAGGCTCGATAGCTTGTCTTGTGTCTGACAAGTGATCTTTACTCTGATGCACGGTCCACAGCAGTATTTTGCGGGGCAAGAAGGGCAATGGAGTTCGTGATCAGCCCTCTTCTGAAACGGCATGGATGTGGTGTCGGTATCCGCAACGCCGGTCAAAAATCCACAGTTACCTCCGTCTCAACCCGCCCTTGAGCTCTCCAGACCCGACCGGTACGAGCTTGACGCCGATTTTCACGTGGTGACGAACCCTCGCCGCAAGGAACCACTCCGGTGGAGCATTCGCGTTGAGGTGGCCAAGAGTCAATTTTAGCACTGTTGCAGACTCCCGCATTTCGTCGTGCGCGCCGCTCCCGCTATTAGTATGGGGCGCCCATTACCCCCTCGCTATAACGTTGTTAAGCCAGAGACTAACTTAAACCGACTCATCCATTAATGGACCTTCCAGCAAAAATGTGCGGATCTTGATGAGCGTCGTTCACGGTCTCTCAGCTTCCATACTCCGAGTACTGCGGTGCGGCGCGGATCTACGCGGTACACATGGTAGAAATATCGCCAATAATCCATGTCCGCGTCGACAGCCCAGTGCATGCGGAGGCTGATCTCTTGTAAACGGTACATAACGCACTATGTATACATACGAAATACAGCTTGTCTTACATGTGGTGCGTCTCGTGTTCTGTCAACATTCATTACTCTGAAAAGAGGTGCATCATGAGGCCTCAGCGAGCACGGAGAACATACCCCTTCCGCTTGTGTGCCCTCGACTGGGCGGTGCCGGCACTCGACCAATTTTCGCCCGCCCCTTGTCACGCTGCCTCGAAACCTCAGGGGCGAAAGCATCATCCAAACCTTCGATACAGGCCTTCCATACGTTTTCCAGCTCGGAGCGGACTGCCCCATCTTCCTCCGCCTTTCGCAGTAGTGCGCTGTGCACGCGGCGCCCGGAGAGTAGGTGTGCGGCGCTTGGAACCCTGTCGGAGAGTAGTAGCGTCTGGACCAGGAGTTCAACAGAGCCCAAGGCCATTAAGAACTGGGCCATAAGCTGGACGTGCCTATCCAGGATGTCTGGCCGACCTGGTCCGAGGGCCGCGGGAGTGTCGGGTGAGGTCGGGGCCACAATAGCGTCGTTTAGGAGTGCATCTGGAAGAAAGATCGCGCGGAGGAATGCTCTGGCCTCTCGTCTCGTCCATCGTTCTCGCTGTCTCTCGACGCTTCCGGATGCTTCGGCCCGCGCATGCAGTTGGCGCAGCACCGACCTCAGGGCAAGAACGACGGCGAGCTGGAACGGAGGGACGCTCCTGACAGCTTCGGCGCAGGAATGCATTGCATGTAGCAGTACGTTGAAACGCGCGTCAGCATCCCATATGAGAATTGGCCCGTCCGGCCAAGTTTTGTGCCCGTCGCCATCTACGTCGTTCGACGCCAGCAGTGCATCTACTGTTGGACACTCGACGCTCTCGTTGGAAATTTTCGAGCCTCGACGCACATACTCTGTTATGACCGGAGGCTTTGCAGTTTGGGGATGACTCGTCGAAGGGGAGAATGGTTGAGACAGTGGCGTTCGTGACGGCGTTTCGGAGAGGCGCCCTGATTCTGGTAATTTGTCGTCCATATGGGCTTGCTGAAGTTTTTCATGCAGCTCTGCGGCACCGTCAGTCATTCGATGAGCAATAACCCCGTCTTCATCGGAGGAGTTGGTCGCGTCCTCTACCACATCGATGAGTTCATCCTCATCTTCCTCTGACGGAATCCCAGAACGCGCGTCTTCGCTTGTCGATGGTATGCCAATGCTATCATGGAGGATTGCGTAGATCCATAGGCGAATCTCCCGGCCAAGGCTCCGCGAGACCGACTCGAGATCGGGACTTTCGAGGAAGAGCTTCGGCCAAAAAGATGCGGAATGTATCGCATCGAGTAAGGGAGGTGCGAGGTCGCCATCGCGGTAGGCAGTGATGTACCGTTGATATATCTGACCATCGCCGGAATTAAGCCGCGACCCTGCCGCAACATCGCATGCTTGCGTCAACGTTGCGACCAGTGGGCAGATAGAAGGATCGTGCAGCGCGCACACATGTGTCGGCCACAGGGGCGTGTTTGGGTCTGCCTTGGGCAGGGCGTACTGTAGAGTTGCTGCAATGACACGTTCCACCAAAGCATCCTTCTCGTTTGAGCTGGTGATTGCCGGTCGCAGTAGTAGCGCCCCCACTGCCCGTTCTATGATCTCCATCGCATCCGGAGGCGGTCGAGTTCTCCATTTCGAGGGTGAAGCACTGCCAGAAACGACGCCACGCAACGCGGTAGCCACACGCTCGATGCGATGCGACAGCGGAAGGGATCGTTCGAAGAACGGGTGCGCGTCTAGTGGCGACGAGCGGTATTGGCGTGTGAAATCATTCCCGACGAGAGCAGCCAGCAGAGGTAACATGGAAGGGGGGATTTGAAGATGGCTCGCCAACAACGCCGGGGTGTATACAGCAAAGGTAAGCGTGATGTCGGACGCATGTTCGGGCGGTATGATGCCTCGACCTGCGATGCCAGCCTGTGTCTGCTTCGCCACTTTTTTAGTCTTACGACTGGCGACGGGTTGGAATGTATCGTCATCGTGGTTAGCTTCGGCGTGCCCGGGCTCTGTGGCGGCGGCAGTCCAGACCATCTCGTTCATGGGAACGTATCCTGCGTACCCATCCCCGTTCAGGATCACGAAATCGGAATCATAGCCGCATACATAACCACCCAAGCGAGCGGCTAATTCGACGGCATACGGATCGCCTTCTTCGTCGGCGAAGTGGAGGGTAAGGCGACGACCTTGCGGGCCGTTAGAAAAGTCGCGACCAGCATCGAGATCTGGAAACCTCTTCAAGGTATGTATACAAGCGCTGTAGGATAGGGGCGGGATGATGCGCGATTCGTGCAAGAAACGGGGCGTATTGCGAGACGCGGCGGACGTGCGGAAAAACAGGAGCCCATGTTGAATATTAGTTTGTTCAAGTCGAGATATCGCTGTCGCGAACTTCAGAGGTGGGTATGGTCCTGCAGATATACATTAGTATTGCGACCCTGTAGGCTTTTTTTTTTGCATGACGCACCGTCGAACACGAAATGAACACTGAACCCGACAGCGAGCCATGCTTCAACGACGGACTTAATAACTTGGCATAGTCTCTCATACTCTCCTCCATAAACCCAGTCTAGATCTGGATGATACTGGATCGCATAGATGAATCTGTACGTGAAGGTCGTCCCGCACAACCCCGCTGTCAGGAAAACGAAACACTTACAACGGTAGGCATCACTTACGACCATCCGTCTACCACCAGATGCGGACAACCGGAAACTGCACTGGATGGCGCCTCCAACGTTCTCGATAACATCCGCCGATGTTCTTGTAAATAGGAGCTAAGACCGTGGACCCCCATTCTTCTCCTCGCTCAAGCCGTACCAAATTCGATTGCTGGACAATATCGCCACCGGAATACAATGGGGTGAGCAGATAAGTTAAGCTGAGCAGGGTAGGTAGGCGGGAAACGAATCTGTAACTAGTCTGACTCATGGCTGCGCATGCGGTTTTGTGGTGGCTGAGCGCACTGAGACCGCGCACAGCTCACTCATACCTCATCAGTACACATGCACATCAACTACGTCCAGTTGAAAGCAGGACACCGAACTTCTGTATGGACTAAATCATGCATAACTTAGAAGTTACATTGACTAGCATCCGTCGAACTTCAATCTTTCCCACAACGGACCGATGCTACTATCGTCTCCATCGTCTCCATCATTGGTCTGCGAACGCCGACAACTACTAATAGTGGCCTGAGTCATTCATAGGTCAGAGAAATGCGCAGATGTCTCGTAGTCATTTACTTGCAAGTGGGCCACTGAAAACTTTAGCAACGACCTAGTTGGCGATGCACCTAGTATATAAGCACTTGCAAGATTCTTTCCCTCCCACATCGATCGAGCCGCCGTGAATGTCGTTGCTGCCTCTACTCTAATAGGAAATGTCGTCTAAAACGGTTCTACCGGTTCTACCCGCAAACTCGCCATCCAATGAACAGACACCTGATCTCTTGACCTTCCGATATCAAGCCACTCGCGAGCTGACGTATGTTGCTACCCCGATTAGTTATCCGGTGCGTTACGGCGAAGTCTGTGGCTTCAGTATTCTCATTAACAACCTCCAGCATGCACTACGGACAGCATATGACGCCTTTCCAAGCTCCTTGACAAACGTCCCGCCGGCGCGCATCACGCTCCACTTGCAAGCCTTCGTTGGCCCTAGCGCCACTCCAAGTTCCATACGCATTTTCCCTAATGCCTGGGAGGCGCTCGTGCGGACCCTGCATAGGTTCGAGATAATCGATGTGGTGGTTGCGCCTCTCCCCGAAGACAAACCGCCGGCTTACCCAGAGCAACGCGATGTTGATGCGAAGTCGTCTCCGTCCATTACCAAGGACTCCGATTCGAAAATGCAACCCAATAGTGCGTCGTCTTGAATATACAAGTTCTCCTATTTACTCCTGGGCGTGTCTGGTTTAGGTACCTCCGGATGATGTGCGTGGCGCCGACCATAGTGGCGATATAGCGGCGGTTCGAGGGAGCCTGTCATGTTACGTCTCACAATGTTGATCGATGTATTGTCAATGTAGCGCCGTCCTCCATGGACATCGGCATGCATTGACAAGGAAACTGACGTTCGTGTTGGAACGTGTCCACTCATCATCTGTCCGACCAGCAAGCGCTCAGATACCCAGAAGGTAACATCAAAGCGTGTCGTGGTGCGTTATAGGACGCCCTGCCTCACTAGAGGTTCTCGATCGAGCGAATACCAATGTGGTCAGTATACTATGTCCATCTTTGGCTTAAAGCTTATCAGCTTTCCCTTCTCTCAGCAGGTTTGTGGGTGCATTGGTATGCTCATCGTGCGAATGGGGAAACAGCAGAAGATGCTTCTGAGTATGTATGAATGAAATTTTACAACGTGCGCTGTGTCCGGAGAAGCTGTCCTGTATTAGCTCCCGGGGCTCGCGGACGGAAGCGTCAAAGTAGGTGGTCGAGAGTGAAGGTCACCGCTCCGTTGACAGATGCCCATAGCCTTCGTTGTTTGGAACATGCTGCATGTCGAGGCAGTAGTACCTGGCGCGAGCTAGCTCAGTACACGTGCAAGATGGCGGCACTGTGTACTGAACTTGCCGACCAATGATTTGGCCCGATGGGGTTGGTCATCTTGTCATGGACGCCAGCGGAAAGACTCAAGCAGTAATCTATTCTCAGGCGAGCGTTTCCGTATAGCTTGATACAAGACTCGCGAATTTCGAGAGCGGTGAAATGGAGTCAGTGTAAGCACCTACCGTACGTGTAGCATTAGACGCGCGCTAATGTTGAATGCAGAGCAAGGCTAGGATCCGGTTGTACTTTGCTGCAGTGTATGCTCTGAATTGCCTTCTGATGGTCCATAGCCAATCTGCCAATGATAATCTTCGATTAGTTCTGTCTGATATCCTTGCGGATCATTTCGAACTGCCGAGTTGACGAGGTATGCGAGTCACATTAGAAGGGGGGGCGGTACCACGTCTGACCTCGGTCCAGGGAGCCGTCAGCAATACGTGAATACGCGCGCAACATCCGTCGAGGAGTTGGAAACGCGTCAGAACGACGTCTCCCTTTGTATCACAAGCGTTCAGAACAGCAACATGGATCACAGTCGCGAAATGCGTAGGCAATCAGATGTACAATCGACGCCAACTGCACTCCGCGGCTGCTGAACTCACTCTGAAGGATGATAATCTCCCTATGAACGACGACAGCATATGTACGACGGCAGTAAGCTACCAGGTGAGTCCTTCGATGTTCCTATCCTCATCATGTGACACGACCGGTGTCAGTGACTGGTTGAAGGGCACTTGCGACTCTGATTTGAGCGACACTGAATCGGAAACTGTGTCAAACGTTGCAGGTATAACATCTTATGCTCATTTTCGCAATGCGAATGCGAATCTCGGAGCAGCTCCCGGAGCCAAGCGGTCAGACATGCACCACTTGCGGTATGTGTTGCCGATCGTCACCCTGCGGAGTATACACATGATATCGTGACGTTACAGCTATCCACAGCTTCGTGTGCGAGTGCAACTCAGGTTATCCCCAGCAGTTATAGAAGCTTTTAAATCTATCGTGGTCCTGCAAATGCACCGTTCCTAATTCCGGCACTACGCGACTTGTGGCGGTATGCACTGCTGGAATTCAAGGTTCCTTAATCTTATTGTCTGCCCAAAGCTCACAGATTCTCCCATAAATTAGGTGGCAATGAGTCAGACCAAGCATTATCGAAAGCCGATAAATGTGCAGTGGTAGATGCTGTCTTATCGGAGCATGACGAGGAGTGGAGATAGAGTGGGTGAGAAAGTTCACGTTCCTCCCTATCAAAGTAAGGTACATCTACATACACTGACCAGCATAACGCGCATGGTCTCTCAGCACTGAGCAGCCCCGGCCCGGGACTCGGATGTTCTCCACAGCGGTCATCGCCTGTCAAATTTCCGTGATGACTGGATAGTCTCTAATGCCGGTCCCGATAGCCTAGATCAGCGTGTTAGTCATATCACGGTCAAATACTAATCTTTCATCTGACTGAGCAATACGAATCCAATGCGTCGGCGAGCCACGAGGCCCTACATGCCCGCTTGCCTCCCGTTTTGGGCAGTCTCAAGAGGCCCCCATTATAGTAGATGGGCGGAATGCGCAGAGCGCCGAGTGCACTGTAGCGACAGGATGGCGACATCACCAGAGAGTGATCTTGTTCGTACATTTTGAAATCTGACGATCCATGATCGCTTCGTGCAGGAGTAGTTTTTTAGTTGTTGCAGTAAGGATTGCATATCCACGGCACTTCATATTGCACCCGGAGGCCGGAAAGGATATGCATAGAAGAAGGACACCTGGAGAGGAGCTCGACCGTGCCCGAAGTCATAAAGAGCTGTACCATTGGACGACTGCGGAACTGCAAGACGCCATCTGATGCCCTTTCGCCACTTCCAATGAAGAATGAAGCTCAGAGTCAAGACCACGACAAGGTCACGGTGAGATGGACGAAGGTACTTTACATTTCCAATATGGAACTCTAACGCGCGTCTTCCTTCCAGACCAGTATCGGGCCGGTCTGTCATTCCTTTTGCCCGCTGCCCTCCATACTCAGTAGCGCTTTAGAATTTCATTCTCCAGGCACTCGACAATCTCATCCAGAAATCTTCATGCTGTGGGCCCACATACCAAGTCATGAACCGAGATGAAAATCCGATGTCTCTGCGAGGCGATCATCGGGCTGGCTGCAATCCACAATTTGTCGGGTGAATCATTGCCCAAGATATCCCGTCATCCTCGGAATCGCTGGCATCATGAGTCTGTCGTCGCCATCTACAGTCAGAATCCCAGCCTAGAAGCGCCATCAGAAGAGTGTTCGCATGGTGGGGGACATGTCCATATCGTCCTCGAATATGGCTTGGGTCCGATATTGCAATTACCAGCCCATGCCCCGCTGAATCTAGACTCTTATCCAGCCATCTCTTTCGACATTACACCGTCGTCCGCGGTTGATGTTGCGGCACATGCGTATGTGACGTGATGATGAGCGAATCGAAGGCGCAAACATGGTTTGGGCGCATGTACAGAGACGAGGCTGAATTTCCTTTGGGCGATGGACACAGAAGTTTGCGAAGTTCACAAGCTCGACCAGAGGCTTCTTTTAACGTGCGTTCGTAACAGCCGGTCGCAAGGGCAGCGCCATAATCACTGTTCATCGAGTGCAATTGCATCCGTGGGCTGGAGAGTCAAAGACATGAGATCCGTACACAATGCCTCACTGCCTGATGAACTATCCGTGTGAACCGTTGCGAAAAAGAGACGGAGAGCTCGAGGACGGGGTGAGTTTGGGTCTGCGAAGACCAAAGTGGCCGCGTGAAATCGTTGGTAAGGAAGGGGCAACGGAAGCATTAACAATGTTAATTGCAGACACTCAATCAGAGGGGTAACGAGCACCGCAAGCCTGTGAGTGTGAGATTCGTCGTATTTTGAGGATACGGGCGCGCCGACGGGAGCGGTCAACGGAGGTAATATGGACAGGGAAATTTGGAGCTGGTTAGCCAACATCGCATTGGTGTATTTAGCGTGAGGTCGGACGCGGATTCGGGGTGTGTGATGCTCCAGCCTGCGGCACCAGCCTGGAACTGCTTCGCCACCTGTTTAGCCTTGCGACTAGCAACGGGGTGCAATTCATCGTCATCGTAATTAGCGTAACTGGAATCTGTAGTGGCGGCAGTTCATACCATCTCGGGTATAGGAACGTATCCTACGCTACTGTCCCCATCTAAGCCCACGGAATCGGGGTGGGCCGCACTCACAACCACCCAAGGGAGCGGTCAGTTCGACAGAATGTGGCTCGCCTTCTTCGCCCGCAAGTGGACGGTAAACCCACAATCTTGCAGAACATTGGAAGAATCGGGACCAGCATCAAGCTCTGGAAACATATTCAAGACCTGGATGCAGGCGCTGTAGGACAGGGCGGATGATGCGTTGATCGTGTAGAAACGGGGTGTATGGAGACGTGGCGAGCGGGCGAGAAGCAGCAGGACGCATCGAATGTTGTTCACTCCATTAATCGGTGGGCTGTAGTGAGCTTTGGCGGTGATTACGGTCCTGCAGGTTATGCTTTAATCAGCTTAAACTCTGGCTGAACGTGCAACCTCGACGTACCGTTATATGGGGAATCCAAGATAGCCACGGTCCTACGCCTTCCAACAGGAACTGAGACTTTAGGATGCATAATTCCCCGTATGCATGCAGAGTGATGATATGCTCCTAAGGACACCGATTGTATCTGATGCGGCAACGAGCAGAGAGCGACTGCCATTGTACGACCATGACCTTGGCTGATGAATCATGATACCGTAATCCGTCGCGTTGCGGTGCGGCAACCGGTTGTTCCGCTATTGGGACCGCGCCGGAAATATACCTACCTACCTTCACACGTATGGTCTCTCTCGCGTACAACGACACGGTTATGCTCCTTGCCACACCGCCGCTGTCTCCACTGTCAGTTATATTTCCGCTCCGCCTTCGATCGTACCAGCTGTCATGACCCTGTTACTCGATGGCGGGAATGACTGGCTGTACCTCTCTCCCAGTTGCGCCAGTTGGCCGTGCGCTTGCTTAGTCGGTTAATTTTTACAATAAGAGCATCCAATGTGTTACTTCTCTTTTGTTCACATCAATGCTGTGGCCTCTGACCGTGACATGCTGCGGTTCGAGAGGCTATATACCAGGCCACCGTCGAAGTTCCGGCATACTTATACCCTGCATCCTGCCATAGCTATCACCCCTTCCTCTGCTTTCTCTCTATATTGTGCCATGTCTCTCAAAATCGGCCACCAACTGGATACACAGGCTCCTGACCTTCTGACTTTCCGATTGCGGACGACCGGTGCCATAACGTACGTCGTCTCACCAAGAAATTATCAGGTACGCGCGCCACTCGTGTCACGCAGAGAGGTTTGATTGACGACCGAGAAATTTCAGCATGCAATAGAGACGGCATTCGACGCCTTTGCAGACTCCCTGTTGGGCGTCTCCCCGGATCGCGTCTCGCTTTCTGTCCAAGCGTTCGTTGGCCAGGCCAACGAGTCGAGATCAATACGCATCTTTCCTAACGCCTGGGATGCGCTCGTTCGGACCTTGCATAGGTTCGAAATCATCAACGTGGATATTGTGCCACCGTTGGCTCCCCCGGCCTATCCCGCGGAACGCGACTCTAGCCCTGCAAACCCATCGTCCTCATCGGCCATTTGCGATGACAAGGGATCTAATGCAGGCTCCAGTCGTGCGTCTGCATGGATGAAGAAAAAGTTTTCTCGTTGATGTTCCGATATTCTGCCATGAAGACGTGACTGAATGAAGCGCATTACGACCACCAGAACCCTCATAAACCCCCTCGCAGAAATCCCGGACACCTTACACACGATGATGGTGCGGTCACTGTTTCAAGCTCTAGGAGTGCGCTCGCTGTATGATATGATTGCGGCAACGCTGGCGTTCATCTATCACTCCTCGGACATGACGTCCTCACCGACGTAACATGCTATTATTGCGAGTTCTTGAATGAATAGCATGCGGTGCCCATAGAATGCACCAACGCAACATACTTAACACACGTCATAGTGCGTAGACTTTACCAGCCTCTGCTTCTTTGCACGCAGATCCAAAAGTACGCCACGTCCCGCGTCTCAAACACCGCACGTTGCTTCCCATGCATGACCAGCGGTCGGATCTGCGGGTGCGCTCGTGGTGAATGTTCTGTCAAGCACGTCATGTGAAGCATCCAAGAAAGTCGGACCCAACGCTTCCATGTTCTCAGCAGGCGCAAAGCAAAAACCATCTGGTCATGTTGTCAAGAACTGACTCCTGCTTAAGTGTGATTGTCTACGAACGTTAGCTGGCTGACAAGTAAGAAATGTCTCAGGAATATCGCAATGATATAAGCGCTAGTCATTGCTCATCGCTCACTCCGGTAGCTGTCAGCAATCGGTGTGACCATGCTTCCGATGACTACAGGTACCGCTCTTTCACCCTGTGCACCCAATGCATTGAGTCAATTTACATTTCCGCAGACTTCGCCCGTTCGTGCAAACTCGCCGTAACTCCCATTGTCCGCTTGGTAGCGTCAGCACTTGGTCAACACACGTCGCACGGAAACGATAGCCACATGATCCGTACCGCACGGAAGACGACCCAATTTGTGCCTGCGCTTACTTCTTAGGCACAGACATGTCGTCAAATTCCGGACCACCAGACGTATTCAAATTTGGGGCAAAAGTAACAGCCATACGCCCGGGTGTATCGGAGGAATTCTGGTGTATAGCATTATGAGCGCCAGATGTAGGTTCGAGCGTTAGCTGAAGGCGCACGTATTGGCGCTTATACAACGCCGGAACTTTGAATATGACCAATAGGCCGGTATCGTTGGATATTTTGGTAATTAGCCCCCGCGATGCTCACGCCAACGACCATAAGTACACGGAGGTGATATGCCGCTACACAGTTTCTACCTTCTCAGCAAACCGTATGGATCCAAGCAAGCCTCAACATGGACCGCTCCCCCACTCTGCCGATATCATTACGTATCGGATGGGCGATAAGTTGGTCTACGTAACACCAACCTCTGAGTACGAGGTAGGCACACATCTTAAACGTTGTTCCAATGATGATTCACCACGAAGGCATAGCGAGCTATTGGTGATGCATACGCGGCGTTTCCTGAAGAGCTCAGCAACGTGATAAGACAGAAAGTGGCACTTTTTATCACAAGCTTCGTGGAAGGCAAGCGAAAGACGGTCGAGATTGCACCTACTGCATGGACATCTATCTTATCGACGCTTGCCCGATTCGAAATTGTCGATATCGTGGTGAAAGAAGACAAGCCTCCAGTGTACAACGAGTCATATAAACCGGAAGTTAAACGCGAGATGAACTCCGTTCGTTCCCCGCCGTCTTCGCGATGCACGAGATTCGCTAAATGGTGCCAGCAACTCTTTTGAAGGACCACTTCCATATATCCTTTACGTGAATACGACGCATCGATTTACTCTTCCGTCACTGTTTAATCCCGTATATGACTATTCCCGCACAGCTGCGGACTCAACAAAGACGCTATTGTAGACTCTTCGAACTGATTCATATCATGATCTTGCGGCTGTCGACTGTGCCATGTATGACTGTGCGATTAGGCTGCGGCAGTACTCTGTGTCCACCAATGGAGATACGAAGTTCAGAACCCGCTGGAATGTCAGGCTGCCAGGATGAAGGATTGCTGTTTGTTGATATTATCCGTTGCGTAGAATCGTCTGAACGGTATACTTATACACCGCCGTTCGTCTTCCCGTTCGTTCACAGGTTTCAAATATTGAATGTTTCCGCGGCTAATAGCGCGCACACCCACTAGACCCCCAGAAATCAGTCATATCTGCAGGAACTAAGCATTCCATATGATGAATGAAAGCCCCAATCCATAGTCCGTAATGAGCACTACCTGCACTTCATCCAGAAATCCCGTGTTCCCGTCATTAGGCTGTCTGAATGAGGTGATCGACGTAGGGGCGGAGCTCCGAATTCGAAATAGTCGCATGCGGGTTGTGGACTGATAGTAAGTGGCTACCTAGAAAATCTGGATACTTTTAATTCAGGATGTACAGCCAGCAACCGCGAACTCACAGAGAGTGAACTATTTTCACATCGTCACTAAGGCAGGGCCTGTATTCTATGGCAAGACACGGCTATTTGAAGATACTTTAAAGATGCACGCAGGTTATCGTACGGAACGGGAAGCAGTCACGACAGCATGGCGCGTTCTCGGACATCTCTAGACTAGTATCAGGAACCCGCGCAGCGCGCAGCTTTCGTGCGGCACCCTTGGTAGCCCAGGTGCCAAGTTTGGCAGCGGGGAGTCAGCGGCCCTAAGGTTAGCCGTGTAGTATGAAAGGCTAGTTGCGCATGAGAGCGTTCGAACGCAAATACAGCGCAACTACACGACTCATTAGCGATCGTGTTTCAGCAGCGCTTTGCTCCTGAACGTTGCGTTATACTGGAGAAGGCTATTGATATCCTTCACGAAGTCGTCCTCTGTGCTTGTTGGTTTATCAAGCGTGTTCCCGGGCGGCGACATACCGCAGTCGGCGATTGATGATCTGCTGATGCACGGAATAGGGTACGGAGATGCAGAGACCGTCACTGAATCCCCTGGATTGAGTATGTGCGTTTCTTGGCCGTCCATGAAGGTCCCCGCAGGCGCACGACTACGGTTGTTGATCTGCTCATGGCGACATTAGACGGTCGGCGGGAACAACTGACATTGCAGGTGCGTACCCGTAACGTAATGGACGCCGATGCCGGAAACACCAGCGGCCTGAATGAGAGACTCCTTGGACATACCGGCGTCAAGATGATTGCTTCCATGGTAGGATGCAGAATGGGGCCTCCAGCAGACAAAGAATAGGCCGTCGATCCAGTTGGCGTTGATATTATGAGCCCGTCGGCCTGACAATGCCGCATGTGAGACCCAAGTGACAACAGCGGGCATTGACATACCACTGCCTCAGTTAAATGTTGGCCATCCACGAATATGTCGACTATATTCAGCCCCGGGTGGGCACTGCGGTGAAGTGTCACTTCATTCATTACCTGCCAGCCTACAGGCCAGCGTCAGAGCTTGAACCAACCGCCGAGAATTAATCAGCCTGCCTTCGCCCTTCTGGTTGGCGTGCGTGCCATGTGCTGCATGAAACGTGCAAGACAGCCTCATTCTATGAAGAATCCCGTATGTCCCATTGAAGACTCTGTCGAGGGCCTGGACATGATCATCAAAATCTAACGAGAGGCGGTCAGTATATGTTACCAAGGAATCCGGCCAATCCACTCACGAAATGGCAACAGGAATCCCAAGGTTCCCATGGAAAAGCTGAGGACCGGGGGCACAGCACCTGTCTTGAACAGAGACGATGCGTGAAGTATAGTCCCATCTCCGCCGAGCGTGACTACGAGATCGATCGGTTCTGTATTAGAACCTAGGAGGCAGTGAGAAGGGGGCCAACAATCACGCGATCGATCTTACCTGGCGCCCATCGAGGCCTATGAGTAGGTGCATCATGAACGTCTTCGTGCAAGACCTTCACTTCAGGCTGTCTCGCTTCAAAATACCTGAATGGGTCAATCACAGAACCAGAGTGCATAGCGGTGATACTAACTTATGGAGCTTGTCGATGGCGTTGAGCACTGATTGACTCCCCGTTTTGTTGACGATCAACACAGATTTGGGAGGCTTCCTTTGGCTGAACTTAGAAAGGAGACATTACGTTGGTGTTGTTGGTGGAAAATGAACGGTCGCACGCGTTCGGTGTCGCCAGCGATGAAAATGAACGACCTGACGAATACCAAGACGACCGCAGCCATTGCAACCGGTTGCACGTAGTAGGTAAGCGCTGGATGATCATCGTGTCACCGAGGTGAATAGTACTTTCGCCTTGGCTGCGAGCTTGGGCAGTGCAGGAGGTAAAGCCGCAAACGCAGTAGTACGGTGACAAAATCTGACTGGAACGCGTGACGTCATGCGGATTATTTCGCGCGGCGGGTTGCCCATTGGCTTCATGTGTTGGTGTCGTATCTTACTGTAGAATCGAGATGCACTGGTTACTTGGACTAGAACTTGCAACGTCTCTGGCTTTGTGACGCCCTTTCTCGATGTTCTTATACTGCCGCTTCTAACTTGAGAGTCATGATCTGATCCTCCTGGAGATATTGCAGTCGGTATCACATCCTGCACTCAGGCTATATTGTCGATGCTATAGATCGTCCTTGCACCTGTCAACGCTAATAATACTAATTTTTTGGATTGGGTCCCTTTTGACGTCAAGAAACTGAGTGACCATGCCCCTCGTCTGGTCGGTGGTCATACATACCTGGATGTTTCGCTTACTTGTTCGTAAGTTGGCTGAACTGGTTTTACAAATCAGTGCTCTTCACGCCGCATTATGTACTTTTGACTGAGCGAAATACCCGAAATGTATGCACAGATCGGCCATCGGTGCAACGTGTTCCGGGCGCATTTCCCGGCGTTCAACGGACCTTGAATCGTGCGTACGTACATACCCCAAGTGATGGGTTGGTCACAAACCCCTACAACATGCTAAACGGTGCTGCAGCGGTGTGATCTAGGATTGGGTGTATTCCCGACGTGAAGTGCAAGCGTCTAACCGGGTCCGCATGCTGTTCCGAATGCAGCTTCCGCGAGTCTTCTGCCAGGCTCAATCAAAAGATATGCGACACCATGCGTTGTACATCAGGCATGCTACATAGCAGGGGAGACGCTGGCGCCTTCTCATTCCTAGCCGGAAGACAGGCATGTTCCCGAGAGACGTATGTCTTTTGCAGAGGGGGGGGGGCCGCGAGGCTGTTCCCTGTTCAAGCAGCCGGATTGCAGGGCGGGGATGACGGTTGTATCGACACCTTTGCTATCTTCATGGGAATGCTAGCGAGAATTGTATTCCTTGTCTCCCTGAGCACGATATATCAGGCTGGTCCCCATCGAATTAGACTTCCACACCCTGAATGCGAAGCGCTGCAGTGTACGCAGTGTTCGCACGAGAGCTTCCTATGGATACAAGTTTGCTGCATCGCCAACGATCTCTCAGAGCGGAGTGGACAATACATTTGGCGTCTAGCAACAGAATAAGTGACGCAGCTTCTCTTCGCTACCGCCCTATAGACCGCCGGCATGGCTCCTGAAAAAACCGATCTGAAACTACATGAGCATAGGCCTTGAGCTATCTATTCAATGAGATGATGTGAGAAGGTTTTATCTGGCAGCCTTTCAGTAGCTTCGGGTGCAATATGGGGATGAGCAAGAGACATGGGAAATATCTCATACAGTTAATCCGTTATTGAGTTCAACTGCGAAATTCGGAGGCGAGCCGACGTTTGGCCAAACGGTGCGATGTGTAATGCTATGTTGGTGCCCATAACCGCTCTCGCGTTTTCACCATGACTCTATACCCTATGCTCTGACTCCATTTGAATAAAATAGGTACTAATAATTTGCAGATGATCTGCACTCACCTATGAAATCTTTAACTTCAGCTATCGATCGACACGGAATCCGGTCTCAACATGCAGTAAATACCGCTGAGAGCACGCAGTCTGACGATGACTCGGTGTGTAGGGAATGATAACATCAGGTATGCGGCTCCGAAGCATTGTGTTTTTGAATGTGGTTGACTCATCAGTCATTTGTTACTACCTACCCAAAACGCTAAGGACGTGTGACTTGGGGGAGGATGATGCAGTGAGCGTGCTCAGAGAAAGTGGCGATAGCTAGATCCCGTAGATGTTGATATGCGTGTGCGGACGGGCAGCGAGGGAGCCAAAATTAGCCCGGCTCGTTAGGTTACAATCGCGCGAGGGTGCGAGGTGTACAGTACATCGTATATAAGCAATAAGTAAGCCTATTTTAGGGACGACGGCCATCGTCGGGCGTACGGACAACAGCTTGACTCGTCATCGGAGGTCGTACCGCATAACGCCACATCCAACAGTAGAGACGATACATCGTGCCTAAGTCAGACCAAAGGTCCAGCATGGCATTGGCAGCAACCCGGTATGACAATGACTCTGAGAGAACGCGACGGACGTCACGGTCACGTGTTGCCCGAACCCGCGAACATTGCTTTGGTTGGGTGTCTTCTGGTGTCTTCCTCTCGGACGAGCAATCCTTGCTTTCCCCTCGATGCTGGCGTGAGCTGATACTCATTGGATTAGCACTGAGGAGAGACATATCTGCGACGGGGTAACATCAGTTGCAGCATTGCAGCGCTTGCGGCTGTGAAGCTTGGGCTGTGAAGCTTGGGTGGGATTGGGTGATAGGTTGAAGGTATGTAATTGAACTTCGTCCGTGATTCCGACTAGTGCGGCCTCTGTATATCTCTTCCGCCGTGTCTGCGTTGCTGTACCTACGATGTTGAAGCTCATCATTTGACTTGCATAGTTCTTCATCAAGTCCCTTCGGCCATCTAGCCCTGCCGGCAATTCAAGCTCTAATGTCTCTGCACCCGAATACGAACTATAACATCTTAGTGGCGGCTCCATCTACGACGGAAATTAATACTACCAGCGCTCCATTCGACAACACCAATCGCATCAAACGTGCTACTCGCTCTCAGCTCGTTCTTCCCGAAAGCCTGTTGAGCGGCCTGTCGTTGGATCGCTCACCTCTGAAGGAGGCCAGGAAAGTCAACCTAGCTGCGCATATAAGTCCAAAATCCCCACTACTACGCGCCAATACCACACTAGAAGTTCATTCCTTGACCGATCCCGACCAGGCTATGGAGGACGTGGGCGAAGAACGCCAATCCCAGCCCACGAAGACGACACTCGCATATGCCCTACAATCTTATCGTCCGCCCACCTTCTCGCCCATGCGGGGCTCGCAGAAGCGCAATTCGTCCCCCTTTCAGGAGGAGGGCCGAAGGAGAAGCCAGAGTCGTGAACGGCCGGGGGATGAGAACTCACAAGAGGGGCGCGAGGCTAAACGTGTCAAACGTGACCGCACTCCCGGACCATACGACATCCCTGGTTCGCCCAGTCCATCATCGAAGATGGGTCCCGCAAGGACACCGTCCCTCTTTGGCAACGGTCATCTGTCAACGCCTTCGCGGACACGCGGCGTTTCCTTACCCCCTCCATTCACCCCGAGAGATACATACCGTATGGACATCGACAGACCGATCGAGTTCTCGATTCCCCTACGACCTGCACACGAAACCGGTACAACCCCTGGCCCTGGGCCTAGCATCCCCCGTACACCAAAGAGTGCCCGGTCCGAAGGACGTGCACGTTCAGTGCCACCCACACCGGTGTCTGCTAGTCGCCTCTCGCTCGTCCAAAAAGGTCTTTTAGGGTCTGCGTCTATACCACATCTAGATCTTACGCAGCTACCTCCCTCGCCATCGAAGGCTAAGCGACGTTCATCAAGCAAATCCCCAGAAAAGAGGAGAGCCGCGAGCGTTCTTGGCGATGAGGACAGGTTCTTTGGTGGTGGAGAGAGACAGAGCGTAGAGAGAGAACGAGAAATCGCGGAGTTGGGTCAGGTTGAGCATGCGATGAAGGATTCTATGTCAGTCGACTTGCAGAGCACCAGAATCGAAGGGCACGGAACGGGGGCACGGACTGTTGCTGAAGATAGCGCGGAGCGCAGAGCCTTTAGTGGACCGTCGGTGAATATCGCGCCTGCTACGCCCGGCTTCAAGCCTGTATCCGCAACCCCTGCGCCAATCGCCGCCCTTCGCCCCACTGCGCCCCTATCGCCTCTGACACCTCTACCGGAGACACCATTCCGGCGTACAGGTGGCCAGGGCACATTGCTGGCTATGTTCAAAGCACAGGTAGCGAAGGCACGGGAGAAGGGAAAGGAGATGGAAAGAGCCCAGGAAAAGGAACAGGAAGTCGTGGATCCTCAGGTACCCGACCCGCGACAGGTTGTTAGGATCAGCAGAGATGGCGATGCGTTGCCCGCTGCGAGCTTTGGGTCAGTGACGGAGAGCAACTCGGAGTCTAGAGGCCTATCCGTGCATAGCAAGCTTCCGCGGCCAGCGCCATCGAAGCTCGTCCAGACGACACTGGACGTCGGGGTCAAACCCAAACCCGGAGGGCTCGTGCGCGCTATGAGATCTCGGGATGGTACTTCGACCAAGGCATCTTCTAGTTCTACGTCCAGCTCCACGTCGAAGAATGCCCCCGCGAAGAAGACGGTTTCGTCTATGAGTACGGCGAGCAGAAATACCCGCGGTGCTTCTTCCAAGAGCTCTGGCAATGTTACGAAACCTGCTGCTACGTTCAAGAAGCCCGTCTCTAGGGCGCCAGCTCAACCTACACGGGTAACGCGCTCATCCTCTCTGAGAGACAAGGAGCAGCCCAAGCCAATACAGGCTTCTGTTCCCAGTGTCCTGCCTGGAACACAACTAGAGTCCGGTGCGAGGACTATTGCGAGATTTGATATGCCTGCTGATGCGTTGCTGCAGAACCTCCCGAGGCCTTCCCGCCAGCAACCCTCGCTCCTCCCGAAAAACCTTCTCTATCTCTAGTCGAGATGACGAGGGCGGAGCTGCTTCCGGAGACGTCCGATAGTGCAGTTCAAAAATCTTTAGTTCCTTCCTTTGCCAACCCGACGTCAAGCTCGCTTGCCAAAGCAATGCCGTCGTCACCAGTCAAGAATGCATTCCCAGCAAAGGCTCCCAGTAGCCCCGCACGCCGATCATCCGTTGGAACCTCTTTGCGCCGAACGCAGACATTGGGCACAGTCAGACCTTCAACATCTACATCACATATCCCATCACTATCACGTCGACCTTCGCTCGGCGATATGCAGCCGGCCGATGGCATATCGCGTCCTGTGTCGGCGCTTTCGAACCTTTCTGTGGCGCTGGAGAAACTAGCTATGCCGCCTCCGTCGCGCCCTAGTACAAGTATGGGCTTCAACAGAGAGTTGGAAGACGACGATGAAGCGCCTGCGGGCAGCAGCAGTGAAACGAAGGCCAAGGACGATAACGGGGTTGGTCGAGTTTCGGCTCCCAAAGATGGCGATCTATCAGGTCCCCGGAAAACGGCCACAGCGAATGATCTGTCAATACCGTCTGGCCATTCCATAGCCAATCGTGGGACGAGCCTGTTTAACAGAAACCGCGGCGTAGTTGGAAGCTCTGTCGCTGGCCAGCTCTATCCCGCTCAAGGCCCGAGAAAGATGTTTGGTGTCGGTGGTGGAGTCGGTCAGAGGGCCAGCAAGAGGTCGACTTTGCCGACTGTTGCAGGCAGTCCGGTCAAGGGTGGAGCGGCGCCATCTATGCCGGAGGCGGACGAGGTCTCCCTTGCAACGCCCGTTTTGTCCGGACTGTCCAGTGACCAGCGACCAATTGCACCCCTAGACTTCTCGGGTATCAGCATGGCGGACTTGCTCAAGAACCCGGATGAATCTGCCGTTTCCGAAGACGATGCACACGATCCCACGAATCCCCGGAAGGGACGCGCCTCACGTCGGGCTTCGTTGGCATCCCATATGCTTGCCCAATCGTTGTCAGGCATCCCACAGACGCCTGATGGAACATCGACTATGGGACCTCCTCCGTCTCTTCCGGGAAGGCGAGTCGCTAGCGACTCTCAGGCACCAATCGAAGGCGCTGGACCAGCCACGGCTCCGGCAGCCATTGGGCGTACTCGCGGCGTGGGCGCTCACGTGTCGGTTCATAGGAATACAGAGCCATCGGGCAGCAACCCTCTCCCCGCTCCCTCCCTTGATGTCCTCAAGGAATGCAAGATTTTTGTGGACGTGAAGACTGATGAAGGTGACGACGCCGGATCGTTGTTCGTGGAAATGCTGAAGGGTCTCGGTGCGAAGGTATGGTCTGCTGAGTTTACCCCTCGGGATCTCTCTGTATTCACGTTCGCTTTAGCTCACAGGCCGTGTTGGCCCTCGATGTACCCACATCGTGTACAAAAATGGCTTGATGAGTACCTTGACTCGATATCGGTAAGTATTGGACTACCTAATCGAGCTATGCCACCTGATCTCGCTGTAGTCTCTTGAATGATCCGAAGCCATTTGTCGTCGGTATCGCATGGGTCGTTGAATGCGTGGAGCAGCGCGCCCGCGTCGATGAATCGAAGTTTGAGGTGGATTTAGAGGGCGCTAATGTGGCCGGAACGAACAAGGTTGTTTAGCATTACCTTCTGCCTGCGAGAGCAGCTTCCTGATAAAATCGCTCTCTCACAGCGACGCCGTTCCATGTTGCCCAAACAGATGTCCTACTCTGCAGACCAACCGACCTCGGATGAACCGGAATCAGAGTCGGATACAAGTTTCATCGGCGCCTCGGGTATGTTCTCGGTGCTTTCGCTGTATTGACTCCGTCGGAACTGAAATCTGACTAGGCGGGATTGCGGACACGAGCGGGAAGTCGGACAGCCTACCTCCATTGGAGCTAGCCCGGCGACGCCGAATGACGAATGGTTAATGTCTTTGATACGAGAAATCGACCACGAGTTTCTCCGGAGCTTCATTCCTATTGCTAATATACTTATGGCCATCAACGGATCTACTGTATTCTCTGACGCACATGCTGTATTAATTGCAAATCATCTGGGGTACGATTAGGCGATATCCATCAGAGTGTGGAGGATGCTTGGCAAAACTAAGATAGGGCTCATTCAGTTTCAACAGGTCCCCCGGGTCTTGCTAGTCGAATAAAATATTCTACGCTCAAAATTCACAGAAATCGCCGCCACAGATTTCAAGATAATGTGCATTCAAAGAGAATTGTGGTTTTAGATTTAGAGAGTGTGCCCCGTAGCGAGTGGAATTCGCTGCGCAGCACTTATCACGCCTGTTGAAACTGAATGAGCCCTATCTTAGTACTGTCCGTTCATTGGGTACAGAACAGCTGCAGGAGCGTCCGTGTGATAAGCACTGATAACGGTCAAAAGATCTGCACCACCATTGGCAACTTGGCCGAGTTGGTCTAAGGCGCTAGCTTCAGGTCATCCACGATCTTCGATTGCTAGTCTCGGTTTCGGGGCGTGAGTTCGAATCTCACAGTTGTCAGCTACGTTTTGCTCTGCTCATGCTTTACATCGGTCATAAAACTTTCCGCGCCTGCTTTCCCATCCTAGATATCCCCGTAGAGCGTAATTGTCCCAGAAGTACATGATAATGCTACACTACTGACATTGCGATGGATTCAATATATACTATTGGGCATGGAAATTTGGCGCCACCAGATCCGGCTCCGAATCCGCGTCCCATTTGACATCGACGGTTCGCTGCACACTTATCTGCACGCTTGGATCGGTTTTTGTCCCCCGCCAGACGGGGTCTGAGATCGCCGCACTTTTGCTCGGTTCGAAAGCGTCGTCGTTGGCGTGTGATGCATGGGGAAGCGCGGATAGCTCGTGCTGAGTGGGACGCGTTCGTGATCGTGATCGTGACGATACTCCGGTGCGGTTGGGAGTCGACAGCATCGGTCTCCTACAGCAGAACCACAATTCGGCGACGTCCTATATTTGTGTCGGATGAGCGGTCGATAGATGTCCATAAAGCGAGCCTTCTTACCTTGCTCGAGGCGAAGATTATAAACAGTGCAACGCCCGTCGAGGATATAACTGAATCAGGGACTACAGCCTCGAATGACGTCAATATGGATATGACGCCGACTCTGGGTAGAGAGCAACATGAGCGAACAGTCTCACGAGTAGCCTGCGTAAATACTCACATAAAAGCCACGCCAACGAAGATAGAGAACAAAAACACTCGGATGACGAGACGATAGTTGATCCCCGATGTTTGAATGCTGCGGACGCGCCAACGCGCCTGCGCGACGATTATGACCGTCCAAAGAGCAAGAATGAGGGTGGCGAGGGTGAATACAGCCCCTATAACTGATGGAATAGTTTGCCTGCCAGAGGTGGGTAAGCGTGCGTTTTCGGGTGGACAGTGATCGATGGAACACACAATGCATTGTTATCAACGGTGCAATAAAACGGAGAACCTCTGTAGATGAGGTCATGGTTGCGGATGCCGACCTGCCTGAAGGTTAACGTCAAATACAGGGAACAGGGAAAAATCATACAGCGAATGTTGCCCAAAACAGAGCGACGGCGAATACCCAGGTGATAAGAAAGCACTACTGCCAATCAATACACCGATTGATTGAAGCAAAGAGCGCACACTGACCATGATGTCGCTGCTTATTTTGCGCACTAGCTCTTGCGAGTTTGGTCTTGTAACGCCCATCACTCCCGCCCACACCTTGAGGACGAGAGAAAGGGCTGCTCCTGCTTGCGCAGCTACGTTCGAATCCGTGAAGGCCGCGTTCACCAAGCATAAGCCGAAAGGAGGATGTCGATCCAGCGCATGACCGGTCCCTATGAGACGGTGGTCAATACTACACGTTTCATGCGCGTGGCGTCAGAGGGCGTACATATTAATAGAGACCCTGTTAACGTCGTCCACACGAACACACCCTCCAGCTGCATGAGCATCCGACTCGTCCGGATGGCTCCAGAAAGGGAGGTGATTAGGAGAGCGAGATTCGCGACGCCCGCGAAAATGTTGAACGTCGACCAGAGGATTAGCAACGAGAAATCATCGCGGGGATTGACGTTGTCGGGCATGGAGACAGCAAGGTGAAGGGAAAGGGTATCAGCAATAGGGTGTAAGTAGTACGTGCGTGAAAGAGCGGATGGTCGATGCAATAGCGGTTGACCGCGAGCGATGTTCGATCATCGTGGAGTGCCGAAAAGGCCCCTGAGAGACGGAATTTACTTATTCGGGTTCCAAGATTTGCACGCGCTTCCCTGCGGACGCCGGGACAAGGCGACAGGGGCGCGAGCTCCCATGCGAATAAAGGCGAACAAGAGCTCAATATCACAATGTTGATTTTCAGGAGCATGGGACGGTTGTCTTACGTAAACTATTGCCCCGGTCAATATGACGAGGAGTGCATCTCGCGACGTGCCGAGTTCACCCCTTGCTCTTGAACGTTGTACAGCTGCATATCATATGACTTGCAACGACGACGAACCATTGCTGAATGAGGCAGCACAGCTACTTACAGCGGTCGAAGCTGAAGATCGACTGCACCGGGGGCCTCGTCCTTCCGCAGGACAATTAAGTACGACCAGTCACCAGATCATGGCCACTGATCTCAATCTTAGCCGAGGGCCCTGATCAACACACTTCAAGGCACCGAGAACCTCCATCGACGTGGTCGCCTTGCGGAAGTAAAACAACAGCGTTCCTCTCCTCGCTATTCGACTCGCTTGAACCTCGCAGCAACTCGTAGCAGTGGGCATAAGTTTGAAAAGGTTGTCAATTTATACTCACTGCGTTACGTGGTCGATTGCATAACCGTGCCTATGTTGCCAAGCACTATTTAAGTAGTATCCATCACATGGGATATATCTGGGTAGCACGAAGGAGCAGATGACATGCAGGAGGCAGTCTACCTACTACCTAGTACCCACCAGAACAAACCATGTGTAAGGGGTTGCAAGCAATTCCGAGGCCCTTCGTTTCTGGCGCCCGACTTCATCGGCACCTGACCGATGTTAGCTTCTTTCTGCCGCACCATTACTTTTTCAACCTTTTCCCCTTTCCATCTGCCTTCAGCGATTGCCTCGCCCACAATTCGGATTCAGGAGCCTCAAAGTCTACGAATCTGGCCCCTGATATTTAGGATGTATTATTCATAGGACCAAGAAGAGAAGACCTACGCGCTCTCGTCATCTTACCGTGCCCGTGACGTGCTATCGGATCGGAGCAACTTGGACGAGGGAGCACGTCGCATCCGCAATGCATGAAGTGGCTCGGAGTCTAGCTTGTTCGCGTCTCTGGTTGCATAATGCACTACGGGGACGCTAGCCTACACAGGGACACTGCTGTCCACATCTCGAGCCTTGACCATCCTTGGTGAGGCTTTATTCCCAAGCCTCGCTGCCACGTAAGAGCCAGAGAGACCATACCCATCCGGGTCGCGCGGGTTTTCGGCAAACCGTTTGGCTCCTCGGTCTCATCTATGCACACAGGGGACTGCACCCAGATACGCTCAGCGCCAGCGGACGTCTCCGACCATTTCGTCAGCCTTGGGTGTTTGTGAACCTTCGACCATTGACGGCGCATCTGCCGTCGCGACTGGCAGACTGTATGATTGCTCGTCAAAATTCTGCGCGATTTGCTGACCAAAACACCGATCCTCCTGCAATGCAGAGATTACCCGATTCTGGCAGAATGGAGGGGTGCAGCACAAGGATCATGGCCGGGAAGACATAGAGAGCAGGCCAACGTGCTCTGAAACGCGTCAAACACCGCTTCCGATACCATGCGAGAATGGTCTTACTCCTAGGGATCGCATGTCGCCCTGCGGCGAAACCGTATTCGGACTTCTGCATAACGGCGTTTACTTCCATTGGCACGTATAAGAGCTGCGAACACGGACCATACCAGCCAGCCAATTCGACCAATATCCGCTGACATCGTCTTCAACTTGCTGAACTCAACATGTCTGCCACTCCGATCCCATCTCGTGCACAGATCCTCGTCATCGGCGGAGGACCTTCAGGGAGCTACGCGGCCTCTGCGCTCGCTCGAGAAGGCCTCGATGTCGTTCTCCTGGAAGCGGCCCAGTTCCCTCGTTACCATATTGGTGAGCCTCGTTATGACAAACCTTCCAATTATGCACAAGCTGAGATTCGGGCTCAGGCGAGAGCATGATTCCGTCTGTCAGATATTATCTCAGGTTCATCGATGCCGAAGAGAAGGTGAAAGCCTTTGGTTTCGAGAAGAAGGTTAGATACCCCTTTGTTCCAGTAGTCCGGAAGGGTCTTTACTGACCAGGTCGACAGCCCGGAGCAGCGGTCAAGTTCAACCAGTACAAGCAAGAGGGCTACAGTGACTTCGTGGCCCTCGGTCCCAACGCGCACTCGTGGAACGTCTCTCGCGCGGACTTCGACGAGATTCTGCTGAGGCATGCCGCCGAGTCGGGCGCGGCTGTCTTCGAGCGTACAAGGGTAAACGAACTGCACTTCTCCGAGGACGAACAGCGCAGGCCGATCTCCGCCTCGTACACTCGAGGCGAGGAGACGGGCACTATCTCCTTCGATTATCTGATCGACGCCAGTGGTCGTGCTGGCATCTTGTCGACCAAGTATCTGAAGAACCGCAAGTTCAATGAGAGTCTGAAGTGCGCAGCCTTTCCTTATAATTTTGAAAGAGTGACCGACAAGTATCTGTTTTCCAGGAACATCGCCATTTGGGGCTACTGGCAGAGCACCGGTGGTTACATGAAGGGCACCGGGCTCGACAGGGAAGGCGCTCCCTACTTCGAGGCTTTGACCGGTACGTGCCCCTCCGTTGGCACCGGACGGAAAACTCGTCTCACTGCGGTTGTTCTTGCTCTCGTAGACGAATCTGGTTGGGCTTGGTTCATCCCGCTCAGCAATGGCAAAACATCCGTCGGCATTGTCATGAACCAGAAGCTTTACAACGAACGCGTGCGCGCTATGTCAGCCGTAGATTCCTCCGCACAGCACACCCTCCTCGATCGCTACCTCGCAGCGCTGCCGCTGGCCCCGAACGTCTCCAAGCTCATTGGAAAGGAGGCGGAGCTCATCAGGGACTCGGTCGGCTTTGACGAGAAAGGCGACCGGACCACGCTCCCTACCATCAAGATGGCGAGCGATTACAGCTACAGCTCCCAAACTTACGCCGGGCCTGGCTGGCGTTTGGCTGGTGACGCAGGAGGTCAGTGATCTCATGCTTGTGCCATGACGTACAACAGACTGATATGTGGCCAGCTTTCATCGATCCTTTCTTCTCTTCGGGTGTTCACCTCGCCTTCACGGGAGGTCTGTCTGCTGCTGCGACCGTCTCCGCGTCAATTAGGGGTGACTGCGATGAGGAGACGGCATGCCGCTGGCATACTGAGCGTGTCAGCATCAGCTACACCCGGTAGGTGCGAATATCCGTCGTTTTTGCACCGATCCTAACCACCCCCCCGGCGGATAGTTTCCTGCTGGTCGTCCTCAGTGCCTACAAGCAAATCCGTTCTCAGTCGCTAGACGTACTATCAGACGTCGACGAGGACAACTTCGATCGCGTGTTCAACTTCATTCGTCCAGGTCAGCGATAATGCAGCTATAGACGAGGGTTATATCTGATGATCCCGCTACTATCCAGTCATTCAAGGTGCGGCCGACATGGGCGAGCGACTCTTTGCAAAGGAGGTCGACGAGGCGCTCGACTTCTGTGGCAAGCTCTTCGCGCCCGTCAGCAAGGACACCCAGCTGGCCGTCCGCCGCAGTATGGGCTTGGACTACGAGCTCTCCAACGCGGGCGCTATCAAGGCCCAGGACAGCGAAGCCAATGTCACGCCCGGGAAGGACGGAGAGGGCATCGTGGACACCAAGTACGAAGAGGAGACGAAGGAGATCCTCGAGAAGATCAACCAGGGTTCGGCTGTCAAGAGGGAAGAGGTCAAGGACACTGCTAACATCAACAATTTCGAGGAGGAGCCGATCGACGGACGCGTTGTGCGCTTGGAACGGGGTCATCTAGGCTTGGTCGCGGTATGCTAAGTGCAGGTGAACGCGGCAGATCCCCATGTCATATAGAGGTTTCCAGCTTTCTTGCTTCTCCGATAGCGATCTGTAGAACATCTGTATCATAAGTCTTAACACACGTTACCGACAGGTTTGCCCATAATACTAGGTGATGGAGGTGGAATGAAATGCGGCCTAGTTGAGTACGCTGAGCACTCCAAGTAGGGACAAATTTTCCCATGCGTGAGCAGATGCAGCACACGTGCATATACGATCATCGTCCCGACGCTACCAAGCTGCCCTAGCGGGCCAAGGGCGTGCGCACCTCCTGACGCAGGAGATATACCCGCTATCCTCTCCGGCCCATTGATGATCTGAAGACTACCTTGCTTGTATCCCGACGAAAACTGTGCACAAGATGTCGACGAACGCAACTTGCTTCAAGGAGATGGCGCCGGAGAAGAGCCCGCCTCTGTTCCAGCACGGCAATGTGGTGTTCCAAGGTGAGCCCGTCGGTAACGTTTCCAGTATTCGTGTTGCTGACACGACGTCATGTAGCCCATCAAGTAGGACCTTCCGTGCTGTGGTGTTGCCTTCTACTGACGGTTTCGCCGATATGCAGGTCGGCTGGATCGTGTCCGGGTTCTTCATGATGGTGGCAATCGTAGCGTCTTTCTGGTTGATAAACAAGCATCTGCAGTGGTATACAAATGTACGTCTGATCCCTGCTTCCGTCGATCGTTGTCTTAAATTTGTCGCAGAAACGCGAGCAACGATGTGCGTCATTCGCTCAGTGGAAGGACTGAAGCTGACGCACTTCATAGACATTGTCCGCATCTTGTTCATGGTCCCTATCTATGCTGTCATCAGCTTCGGCTCTTATATATACTGGGTAATGTCCCCGTTGTTTAATCATGAATCCGTCTAGCTTATCGATAACAACAGAACCATGCGACTCCATTGCTGCTCATCCGCGATTGCTACGAATCCACTGTGCTCACCGCGTTCTTCTATCTCCTGCTCATGTATCTTTCCCCCGATCCGGACGAGCAAAAGGACATATTCCGGAAGGAGGGCCTCTCCCGCCAATATGACGCTACGGCTCACCGGCTAGGCAAGCCTCCGCGCAAGTGGATGTTCCCTCTTGGCTTCGTGAAATGGAAACCCCAAGACGGTTACTACTTCTTGCAGCTGATGAAGTGGGCTATATTGCAGTACTGTGTCATCCGTCCGGTGTGAGTACTTGCGGATATGCGAAGGCTCTCATACTGATCGTCTGAATCCAGCACGACCCTCGCAGCCGTTATTCTGAACTACATGGGTCTGTATTGCGAAGACTCCTGGTCACCGCGCTGGGGCCAGGTCTATGTACGTGATCTGAAACCTCGACGGAGCGTGTGTTATTCTTATATTTCGGGCTAGATCACTACCGTTGTTTCGATCTCCGTCACTGTTGCGATGTACTGTCTTCTACAAATGTACACGTCGGTTTCAGAGCAACTCAAGCCGCAGAAACCGCTCTTGAAACTCTTTGCCGTCAAAGCTGTTGGTAAGCCCTACCATCTTGCTGCTCTCTACATGATTAACGTAGAAGTAGTATTTCTCACATTCTGGCAGGCTTCGCTTCTTTCGGTCCTTGCTATGTTCGGGTGGGTGAAGGATGTAGGTTTCACGTTACCTCCATTCTATCTCCGACGTTCTGAACAAGAAGCAATAGACGAAGTACATGACCGCGGATGACATCAACACCGGTATTTCCGCCATCCTTGAGACGTTCGAGATGATGTGCTTCGCGTTTCTGCACATCCGAGCGTTCACGTACAAGGTCTACCGGCCCGCCTACAACTCACAATACGACACTCCGCCCCAGCGCACGCCAAGGCTAAAGTCCCTTGGACATGCCCTCGATTTCAGGGAGACATGGCGCGAGATCCGCGACGGCGCTGTATACATGGTTCACCGGTGGCGGGGAGTCGAGACGGATCAGGCAGCCCGTCGGACTATGCACTTGCAGGAGGCATTTGGGCACAACAGAGCGCGCCTTACCAAGGCGGATGTTGGCGCCCCGGTACCGGGAACTTTTGAGAAAGTTACGGGAAGGCGAGATACGCACAACGCGGAGCGCGTCCGTGGCGCGGTTGACAGCGATGCAGACATGATGGTCTCGGAAGGCCGTAGGCGGTGGCTAGACGCTGGCAGGCGGGAGAAGAGCGAAGGATTGGAGGCAGAGATAGAGCGCGAGTTGCAGAAGAAAGGCTATTCCATTCGGGGTTCGTTATGTTTCCCTCCTTATCAGCGAAGATCTCATATTCCCTTTCAGGTCGAAGGGATACCCCATCGGGGCAATATGGCAGACTCCCTGCTGTCGACGATGACGATCAGCAAAACCAACAAGGTCACGGTTCTAGAAAGCGGTCCTTCTGGCGCAGCATATATGACCGCATATCCCAGACAAATGCGCCTTCGGCTCAGGAATATGAATGGGATAACGACATTGACCACGAGAAACTGCTGCGTCCGTCATCGTACCAACCTACTCAGGACTCGCAGTGGCAGTATCAACGTCGGCAACCAGCTACGCAAACGTTACTGTACGACGACCCACCGCCACGATCTGTCATCCGCAGCTATCGCGGTGAGAAGCGATCCCGATCGTCGGACAACCACAGGGCCCAGCGGAACCTGAATCCATACGGAAACCCGACTGCGTATGAGCCTTCGGCGACTCGGGAATTTCGTGCGCCTCCTTTGCCGGCCTCCACGAGCTACCTGGCGGCGCCCTCTGCTCGCGACCATCGATCGTACCTGCAGATTCCACAACAGACCATGCAACGCTCAGACAGCCTCCTGCAACGCGTCTTTCCGCATTCGGCCCCGCATTCCGACGTAGCCTCTTCCGAGAATCGCTCGTTCACAGCGACCTCATCCCACTCACACGTTAGACCAGTGCATCCGCCCAAGCTCGCGCCCGGAGAAATCGTTGCGAGAGATCCAGATGCAGTTAGGTTTCCAGAAATAAAGCCTGCTTCGTTTCATCACCCTAGCCTGCCAGGCGTGGAACGTCAATTGCCGTCTCGGCCTACACATCGACGTGATTCCGCGCAGTCCGGACTTCCTAGGAACACAGCGACGCCACTGCTGCCTCCAACCCGTTCGCCTCCAGCTCGAACGCGTCCATCGGTAGCAACGCCGCCCCATTCGCCTCCGCTACCAAGATACAAAGCTGTCCGACGCGACCAACTGGTGATGCCAGCACCGCTGGCTCCCCCCATAGTGGTCGACGACGCAGAAGTTTCGTCGAATAGCAGCTATGCTACCGCTTCCGAACATTCCCATCCAGATCCCGCTCCTCCGACTACCGACATCCCAGTTAAGAGCTCCCGAATCTAATTATGTCGGCTTCCGGCGTAGACAGCTGTCAATCGGTCATCGAACGCGGGTGCTCTGATCCACGGCGCTGACGCTGCTGTTCAGAAGCAATAGCCATATTTGACCCGTACACCACTCGCGCAACATCTGAACTTGCTATTCCTGACCCGTGACGTTTCACTGCCTCTCCGTCAAAAAGCAGATGCAGACTACTTATTGACTGATGACTTATTATGACGCTACGACTATTGATGAAGGAATATCATATCTATATTTAACTGTTGCTTGTAATCGGACGTTGTACCGTTCTGTGTTGATTACTCGTACTGCTCCTGCCGTCTTGCTCGATCTTTACGTTGCGCTGAGACGCCAGTTTCGGTTCGCTCGCACTTGTGCACCATATCGGGGATCCTGAGGACAGTAAATTTGTATCTTCCGATTGCCAATATCTTCGTACTTTTCGCCTTGCTTCGAGAAGCTTGGCAGATACAAGAAGTTAGCAGTAGGCTGTCCTGTGTCGACATTTTCCAGAAGCTGGCTCTTACATTTGCAAATGCAGGGACTATGCCGTATCGTGGTCAGATCGTCGTATTTGGTTGCGATAATCAGATCCCGGTTGAGGTACTTATGTATATGATATACAGACGCAATGGTCACAAGTCTCAGAGTCATAACGGCGCTCTAGAAAAGTATGGTCGTGCTTTGAACAACTACGTCAAATTCTCAACCTGAACTGGACGCCAGGCATTGCATTGATTTACGTAGTACAACAACGTAGTATATGTGAGTATGAATAATTTTGACTCTTCTTTTGAGATCGCTCCAGTGGGAACAGCTCAAGGGAGTCGAACATGTGCATAAGTTCTGGCTCAGTGAGCTGTCCGGCTCTGGGCACTAGGCGGTGCGAGTTGACCGATATTTGTTCGCAGTGCTTGTCCATATCCGACATCGCGATCATGGGCAAGGGCGAGAAACGAGCTGGAGGCCCAGGGATCAAGGAGTAGAATTGACGTGATTTTTCAATGATGGCGGTGCTCATTGATATCGTCGTTTGCCGTACACCGGGTCTCCGAAAAATGGATCCTTAGTTACGTCGCCGCCGTCGGAGGTTCACCTCGACCGATTGGAAACCTGCCATGCAGCTTACCTTTCGTAAGGTGGACCAATTACAAACTGCAGTCGCGGTGTAGCCGGTTTCCTTGCTCCACCAGATCTTGTGGTCACTATCTCACCGGCCAACTTTTCCGAGCACTGGTACTGCCTCAAAGCCGGCGATTTTCACCCCGGCTGCTTTTTCATGGTCGAATTCCCTACCTGCAGTCAGTAACGCCGATTCCGAGGTGCCTGCTCAGATGTGCAGCCGGCGAGAGTGAGCTCGCGTTTGCGAGCCTCGTGGAATGACCAACTGGGGCCGCAGGCACCCATCCCCCGATCTCTCTAACTATGCGTTGCGCGGAAGATTTCCTTGCCTATCGGAGTACCAGAAGGGTCGTGTATTCTTCCTCGTCATGGAACGGCTCAATCCCGAGCGCCGACATCGCTCTTGGGATGCAAGAATATCATCGCGCTATATCAGATGCAATTACTTCTCTACGCGGTGCTCTTAACCACCAACTCTCGATGGGTATATAACGCGCCTTGCGGACATAGAGTTGCCCTCCGTCACTCATGGCGCCTCGTTCTACCCTTGTCTGGACTCTATTGCATGCCCCGCAAGATGCCGTGCGCGAAGACGCCTTCGCGCTCTCAAGAGTGGATCTTCCTGGCTTACAGGATGGTGACGTACTACTGCAAATGATCTACCTCTCGAACGACCCCGCGCAGCGTGCGTGGATCCAAAAGGACGGAGACGAATCTCGCTCGTACACGCGGCCTATACGCGAAGGAGATGTGATGCATGCCTATGGAATCGCCAAGGTGATAGAGAGCAAGTCCTCAAAATATCAAGTCGGGCAGCTCATCAGGGCATCTATGGGATGGAGGCAGTACCATGTCATGTCTGAACATGCTGTGATGCCGGTGCCGTAGGTCCATTTTGTAGACCTGACATGCGGTCATATCAACCGATACTCGCTCAGGCAAATACCGGGTCTCTCGCCGACGGTCGCATTGGGAGCGCTCGGTGGACCGGCGCTTACTGCTTATTTCGCGCTGTATGACATTTGCCACGTTACTCCGGAGCAGGTTGTACTGGTCTCAGGAGCTGCAGGGTGAGGCAACATATCAGTTTCCGTGACCCACGGCAGGCTAACTCATGCATCTGCATATCTAGTGCTACCGGATCGGCAGCCATTCAAATTGCTAAGAAGATCATTGGGGCCAAACGCGTAATTGGAATCGCCGGTGGTCCACGCAAGTGTGCCTACGTCCGCGAAATCGGAGCGGACGAATGTTTGGATTACAAAGCCCCTGGCTTCAAGGAAGCTCTGCACAAAGCGACGGAAGGTTTTGTGGATGCCTATCTGGACCTTGTTGGCGGCGACAGTACGTTGATCCCATACAAATGCGACGCGACTAAAGTCTCTAATACTTACGGCTATCCGTAATAGTCCTGGATGCCACTCTCTCTCGGATGAAGCGTTACGGTCACATAGCTGCCATTGGTAGCATCAGCAGTAAGCGAAGAGTAAGTAACATCCGGACCGAAGATAGCTTACGTCCGTGCCGTAGCCTACAACGATCCAAAACGGCCGTCGATCACGAACTGGCATGAAGTAATTCAAAATTCTCTGACAATTCACGGCTTCATCATCGCAGACTATGCGAACCGGTATCCCGCAGCTATCAAGGTGCTCGCACAGGCAATCCAGGCTGGCATAATCGACGTGGAGGGTGGTGAGACCGTATGCGAGGTCCCGTTCGACAATGTGCCGCAAGTGTGGAGAGGGCTTTTCACGGGGGCTAATCAGGGAAAGTTGATCACGAAGGTGACGAATCCTTGAGAGAGCACGGGGAGTTAATAAGTAGCGTGGTGCTGATGTGACTCGTGAGCGCCTAGTGTAGACTACGAAGCTGTTGCGTACGACTTTCCTACCGGTATCCTGATTGTATGCCGCCCACGGTCCCGAGATTTGCACTAAGGACTATCATGAGACGCTTCTTTCATTGAACCGTCCAAGACAGTGTACTGCTGTCAGCTCTGGGGTACATGCGCCTTCCCCCTAGAGTGTCGCGTTGTGCGTAATCTCTGCTCATACTGCGCGGTGATTCCAAAGACCTGAGGCGCCCTAGCTGCAATGAGCAGGTCGACCCGACGCGCACAGATAGTCAGGGCAAGCTTCAAGTTGGACAAGCGTGCTGCAAGCCCTGCGGCGCCGGCGGCAAGCGCGAGGTCACCTGATCGCGTACCATGGCCATGTGGCAGTGTTCCGATTCGGGAGACACCCAAAGCCATCGGCATTCGAATACCACGCCTCTAAGTATGGTGAGAGATAGGGTATGTAGTATATCACGCAGCGATATGGGATATCTACCAGCACGTCCTGTCATTCAGCGCACTCGTTCCGCCTTTGTGCCATGTCGACTCAGCAACGCTATCGTATAGGTGTCGACGTCGGAGGTAAGAATGTCGTGGAGGATTGGAGAAGTATCATCACTGACCACGCGCAGGCACAAACACTGACTCCGTACTGCTCGACGTATTGCCCAATGTCTCGGCTTCTGAATCCAGAGGGGTTATGTCTTCGTCCAAGAAACCGACCACTCCGAATGTGACGGATGGCATTGAGGCTGCAGTTCGATCTGTGCTCGAGGACAGTCGCGTCCAACCTGCGGAGATTGGTAGCTTGATGATTGGAAGTTCGTAGCCTCGACCGCCCTGAGGCTACTCTGCTGCTGACTTCGACACTGCAGCGACGCACTTCATCAGTGAAACTGGTTCTGATTCCTCCTCAAGTGGTCATACTGAAGCCTTCGTGCAGATGCTGTAGTGGAGGCAGACTCCAGGAGGCTCTCTAAAGTAGCCGTGATTCGGCTTGGGGCACCGTATACGGAGGTAAGCTCAAAGTCCAGGTGCTCGTTAGCTCAATATCAAGGCAAATCTAGGAATGCCCTCCGTTTATCGACTTCCCTCCGATTCTCCGCTCCATCACAGAAGGACACGTCGCTATACTGAAAGGAGGACTTCAAATCGATGGCTCAGCTATCAACGATGTATGTTCATTGGCCCTCTCGGGAATGCTACTATGTCACTCATTGCGGCTCTTGTATGCAAGATCGACGAGGCTGAGCTAAAGGCGGAGGCGGCCAAAATCCGTGACAAGGGGCTGACGTCTGTCGTCCTTGTCGGAATTTACTCGCCTTTGGATCAGAACGACGTAAGTCTACCCGAGGTTGTCGATTTGTGTGCCGTGTTGACACGGTTTACCGCAAGGGCACGAGTCAAGAGGGTTAGTCTTTGATCGCATCGTTTATCAATCATAACAACATCCTTGTTTGCTGTCAGACCGTGCCAAAGATATCCTATCCCAGGCACTCGGACCTGGGGTGGATATTGTTTGTTCAAGAGAAGGTAGGCCGGACCTCATCACGGTATTGGGACGGAAAGCTGATCGGATTTGTAGTTGGACATGCTGGCCTACTCGAACGAGAGAACGCGTCGATATTGAACGCGTCTATCCTCGCCTTCGCGAGGCGTACAATCAGAGGATTTCAACGTGCAATGAATCGTCTGGGTCTCAAATGCCCTCTATTCCTGACGCAGAACGACGGCACACTGATCACTGCTGCGTAATTTTTTGGCCCTCGGACGTGTTAGCCTCTTTTTCACGACTGCATGCAGAAAGGCGGCGAAACTTCCAATCCGCACCTTTGCTAGTGGTGCTACCAACAGTATGCGCGGCGCGGCGTATCTGGCACACGGCAAGGGGGTTGAGCAGCAGGATGGCGTGGAACATGGAAATCTGGTTGTTGTAGATGTAGGTAGCTCTTCTCGGAACTCGCCGATAGCATTGAAGCCGAACACTCGCAATAGATTGGTGGAACGACCACGGATGTCGGCGTGGTGAGCTCTTTTTTCAAATCCCTGTCCTGATCACCTCACTGAGATGCTTGGACGAAGTTGTTGCCCTCTGGCTTTCCGCGGCAGGCTGCAGCATATATCGAAGTAGCTGGCGTTCGCACTAAGTGAGCGGAAGCTGTTGGGTGCTCCTGGTTTTCTCGACTAATGAGTGCAGCTTCTCGATGCCAGATGTGCAGAGTATAGGTCTTGGAGGTGGATCCCGGGTACACGTCTCGGAGACGGCAGCAGGCGAAACTGTCGTTTCAGTTGGGCCGGAGTACGTGTATTCCCGGATCTGATACACACACCCGAGCTAATATGTGCCCTAGCTCTACTGGATACAAGCTTCTGACGGAGGGTCTCGTATTCGGCGGCAGCACGCTGACGGCGACCGACTGTGTCGTCGCTACCGACGAATCCCTTCAGGTCGGCGACAGAACCAAAGTCTCGGGTGCGATTCCGGAGAGCGTACTACAGGGCGCTCGAGCGGCCATGAAAAAGCTATTAGAAGATGTCGTTGACCGTAAGCGTGTTGTTCACGTATGCCTGATTGCACTCAAGCTTCATTCCTTCTATATACAGGCATGAAAACCAGCCCTGAGCCTGCTACAGTTCTCCTCGTGGGAGGTGGTAGCATCCTCGCGCCGTCAAGCCTCAAAGGAGTTGCCAATATCGTCCGACCACCCTTCTTCTCTTGCGCTAATGCCGTTGGTGCTTGCGTGGCGAATATTTCCGGAGAATTCGGTGAGAATGCCTCCTTGGTTCGCTATGGCTCGGTTCGTATACTCAATATGGGACCAGACACTATCGAGATTTTACAAGACAAGTCTCTGGAGGATGTGCTAGAGAAATGCAAGGTGGAAGCAATTGAACGCGCTGTGGCCGCAGGTGCAAAGAAGCACACTGTCAAGGTCGTGGAGGTTGAAAATCTTCCGGTTCAGGTAAGCGGATGTTCGCAGTCAGTGCGCTCACCCGGACTCAGGTTTCTCTCAGTATGTTACCAATAAAGCGACCCGTATTATCGTTCGTGCAGTTGGAGAGGTGAGTCGATGCTCATATGTGCACTCATCCGACGCGCCCAATGCCGATATCGCGTTCAGCTTGACACCGAGGCGATGCTGGAGTCATCGAATGTCATGGAAGATCGCGAAGAAACGGAAGAACCCGAGGGAGAGAACGATTCCAAAAGCGGCGACCGAATCATACGGATCGATGTCAACACCTACGTCCCTCAGATTAACGCCAAGCGGGAGTGGATCCTCAGCGAGATCGACCTTGCTTGGATCGCCGAAGGCTGTGGTATACTGGGAACCGGTGGCGGCGGCAGCCCGTACCCGCCGCAAATCATGGCACGCCAGATCCTTCGCGATGGAGGCGAGATACGAGTAATCTCTTCCGACAGTCTACCGGACGATGCGGTTATCTTCCGAGGGCATTTTATGGGATCGCCTTCCGTATCGAACGAACGCTTACAGGCGGGCACCGAAACCGAGACGGCTTGTCGGAACCTTGCCAAGTTTGTGAACATGGGAACTCCGGCCGCGATAATATCGTGAGTATAATCTTCTGCATCGCGACACGGTTTGACTCTCCAGACAGGGACGAGATTGGTGGTGGTAATGGTAAGCACCGAGGAAAACCTGTGTACCTATCAAGAAGTGATGTATGCTCCAGGTATTCAGCCAATGATACTGGCGTCGGCCAAGCACCTCAACGTATGTTGCTTAGTTGCTGCATCGTACCGAGTTCAAGAAATAGTATCTGACCTCATGTCAGATTCCGGTTTTCGACGGCGATCTGATGGGCAGAGCGTATCCGTATGTACATATCCTGGTTTCCTCTTACAGCAGTTGACTGTCGCCATGTCCATTCAGCAACATGTGGCAGGTACCGGCCTTGAAAACTCAAAATTTCCGCCTAAATACTGAAATCCGGACCAGAGCCTGCCTGCCGCATATGGTGTTCCCGCTAGTCTTGTACCCTGTGCAATCGCAGACGGTGTTGGTAACTCTGTGGTAGGTCCCTGCCGTATATAGGATGCGATTGGCCAATTTTTATGTTTGCTGCTTGCTGCATAGCTTCTTCCATCGACATCTGATCAATGGATGGTTGAAACTTTGTGAGTGTCACTGGTGCATCAACGAGCTGTGATTCATTGACATTACAACAGGCTCAGAGGTGCATGCACTAGCATGGGAAGCAAGGCTGGAGTGTCAATGGCACCTCTGTCGGCGAAGACCTGTAGGGAGTACGGAGTGACGCGCTCCGTGTCACAAGCGTGGAGAATTGGCAGGGCCGTCGCTCTCTGCCGGCAGAGAAAGTAAGCAGTTTGGTAGCACTGATGTTCGTAACGCTGAACCTACCATTCTACTCGCAGTGATTTGAGTGGCATCCCCAATGGGGTTCTTGAGCTTCAGAACGGTAAATGTCTCTTCATTGGCAAGATAACCGCAGTCAACCGCGAGGTTCGAGCGGGATTCACGGCAAGTACCCCAGTTGTTATTCAGTATCCCGCGCGCTGATCAGCGTCTTCGTCAAGTGGGGCACCGTGACCAGTGAGTGATGCTGTTCGTTGTATTCAACGTAATTGGCGCTGAAAGGAAAACCAGTGGTCCCACTCCTGGATAGCGAAGTGGAGTCAGCACGACCGAACGGACTGTCTGCTAATGCTGATGATGCGCTCACTATCACCTTCCAAAACGAGAACCTAACTGCCGAGCTCACCTCCGCGCCAGGCGCAAAGCAAATGCTGGCCGTGGTACCCGATCTGATTACTGTGCTGGATTCCCAAAGCGGATCGAGTCTGGGAACACACGAGTATCGTTATGGGGTACGTGTTCTCACCGAGTCAGCACTGTGGAGGGAAGCTGAAAGGCATCAGTTACGAGTCACCGTTCTCGTCCTTGCCTCGCATCCCTTATGGACGACCGAGCGAGGTCTCGAAAATGGCGGGCCCAAAGCATTCGGGTGGGTCCTCGCCTGCTACATGCCGCTTTGGTCGGTTTGCTGACCTACGGCTTGATCTTCGTGGTTTACAGGCTGGACGGACCCTACAAACCAGTAGCGCAGTATTGCGAACCTCGTTCGGTCATCGAGGAATACGGCAAGCCGTGAACGGCTTGCAAGACAACGGGCACAATCACCGTATTGTTACATAGCTGCAAGTAGGCCAAAGGTGCCTATGGTTGGATGCAGCTTAAGATATAGCCCAAGCCAGATGAATTACAGCGAGTAAACATGTTAGACCTCCTGCCGAGCCTTCCTTGCCTTCTTCCTCTGCCGTTTCTCCTCTTTTGTTCCAACCGGTGTTATCGGAGGATCCTCCCCTGAGGGCTCCTCCGAGGCAATCTCTTTTTGCGACTTCTTTTTCTTGCTCTTCTTCTCACTCTTGTCAGACGGTTCTGGCGAGGCAGATCGCCCGGCCACCGCAGCCTGATCCTCTTCACGTGGAGGCTGGTCGTCGTTTATAACCTCCTTCGCTTTCCTCTCTCGTTCCTTCCGTTCCTTCTTCTCGCGTTTCCGTCGTTTCCTGTCGTCCTCAACCTGTTCCCCGACCTTTGCGGGTTCTGTCGACTCTGACGGGCCAGGTTCTGGAACTACGGTAGCAGCCGTGATTGAACTGTCAAACACAATGGAGCGGGAGCTGCCTAAGCCCCCGCGCGGCCGGTCGTCCTCCTCATCTCTCGCAGCAGCGGTAAAAGAGGAAACGAATGCAGGAGGACGAGAAGCACCGAGCCCTCCGCGTAAAGGATGTTCTTCATCTTGCGTCTCAGCAGTCGTCCAACAGTGCCGCAGATTCGAGGATCCTAAGCCACCTCGCGGATCGCGTTCCCCGGCATCCGGAGGTATTTTTGCAATAGGTGTGTTGGAGGATGACGACGCTTTCGAGTTGGACTTCGCGAGCAGCTTCTCTTTGAAGTAATCCATGACGCTTTTTGACGAGGTGGTGAGCTGCTCGAGCGGTGCGGCTTCGGGTTCAGCGGAGGGCTCAGGGGTGGTAGAGGTCGTGATGGTAGGAGTAGCATTGCGGGAGATGCCTAAGATTTCTGAGACAGCCGCGGAGTCAGCCAGTGCCATACGTTTCGCCCGGATGAAGCGAGCGCGATGCCTGAAATCAGCGTTTGAGAGCGCCCGGTCGACGATAAGCGAGTTATGGCATACCCTCGAATAATCGGGACAGACGATGAGCGCGAGGTGGTCGTGGTCTCTGGGGCCGGCGACGCCTCGACGTCCTCTTCGAGCCTGCTTGGGGACGCCTCACCTTCCACATCCCCGCTGCGTTTCGATTTTTTGCTCTTCTCCTTCTTCTCCTTCTTCTCTTTTTTCCTCCTCTTCTTATCCTGCTCGTCATCGTCGTTGGCATCTTCAACCTCATCCGCCTTCCTCTTCTCCCCTGCAGCCTGTCCATCCGCCTCTTCTCCTTCGTTGTCCCCGCTCAACTCCTTTGCCTTGCTGAACCCGCTCAACTTTGTCCCGACAGTCTCGGTATCCCCTTCCCCTCCATTCAGCCGCCTGAGCAGACTCTCAAAGTCTTTGTTCTGTTTCCAGGCAATGCCATTTGGGTCCTTCTGATGCGCCGCGCCGATACCGTACATGTCTAGTTTCTGGTGCACCTTGATGTGCGATGTGCGACCCTCGCCGGAGACGCCAAGACCCTGAGAGGCATCCCAGCCAAATTTTGAAAGATAGTTCTGGCCAAATCGCGCCGCATCTGCCAGTAAGTGGGACCCCGGCTTAGTGCTGAGAGTTGGTGGGGCACATTCGCTGTTCGGGACATACCGTCGGCCCAAGATAAATTGCGAGGATCATTTCCAATGCGTCGTTTGACCTTGCGACCAGCGAGCCCCATGTCGATTTGAATGCGAAAGAGAGCTGCACACTGGCGGAAGGTAGCTAGCGCGTGGGAATAGTCTTCGCAACAGATCCCTCAATAAGTATCCCTCAATTGCTCCCAGCTCAGAACAACATGTAACGACTGTAGCACTCCAGAGGCTGCACGGAGAGAATATCAAGGAGGAAATGCATGTTCCGCCATTGCATCGGTACGATCATTGCAACATCCTTACGTTCCTACACTGAGCTCGACTAGTTCCGCGTATTCCTCCACCCCTCGCTCGAGCAGCTTCAGCTTCCCATGAAGCATGACATAGGTCTTACCTGGCGCGGATGCACCTGCGTCTTCGCCTGTCTCGTTTGATTGTGGGTTGTCCTCATCGTCTTGCGGAAGAGGCGCTCCCTCGACGATGGTACGAACGGCATGCCGGTCGTGAGACGCCAGCAAGATCGCCCCGCCGTAAGCTCGCAAAGCATCAATGAGCGCCGCAATGCTGTCAACGTCCAAGTGAGCTGAGAAGCGGTATAGTCAATCGATCGATCACCATCTGCAATGAGGGTCACGCCTACTCGTAACTTCATCGAGGACGAGCAAATCCGGCGCTGTCCAGATAACCTTCGCCAGCGCTAGTCTTACTCTCTGCCCCCCGCTCAACGCGCAGACCGGCTGTGCATCCGCGGTCCGTGCTGTGAGCCCGAGCATGCCTAAGATGGCCCGAGCGTCGCTCTCGGCGGCGGAGGTGTATTCGATGAAGTGCTTCAACGCGGATGTCTGCACTTGTGCCAGCTGTTCGACAGCGTGCTGCGTGTAGTGGCCGATACGTGCTTGAGGATGGAAGGTAGCAGAGCCCGCTGTCGGCTTTGTCACTCCCGTAACAAGGTTTATCAACGCTGGAAACATATAATTGTGCAATGAGCGTCACGCTGGTGCTGGGACTGACTAGATTACTTGTCTTCCCATGACCATTCGGTCCAACGAGTGCAACACGATCACCAATATCTATTGTCAGCCGTATATCCGACAACGTAGGTGCCTTCGCGCCTGAATATTGAAAGCACACGCTCTCAAGGTGCACAAGTGCACCAGGGAACCGCAGCGGCTCAGGATCTGGGAAATACCATTCGATGGCCTTCTCGGGGCCTTCAAGAGTGGGCATCGCTCTGTTTGTCTCGTGGTAGCCTCCAAAATCACGGTTCAGCTGGGGATCAGATATGAGCAGCAAGGTCTGGCTCGATAAAATCCCGGATGCACCTTGAAACGGTGGCCAGCCGCGTTTCTTTCGAGACCCCATCGTTCATCGAGTTTTCGTTGCCGGCTCTTGACCATCCGCAGGCGATTATCGTCCCCGTTCTTCTTGGCAGACCGTAGACCTTCCTCAATCGTTTTCTGTATCTGTAGAAACCGATCCGTCACGTCGTGACCATGCGCAGCGGTCGGATATACCTACATGAGCCTTCTTCTTGTCCAGTGCTTCCAACTGCTTGGACGTCTTCTTGTATTTCTTCCACTCTTGCCTTGCCATGCCTCTGAGTGGTTTGTTCATGGGAAGGAGCAAACTGAAACTCACAATTCGTATGATGAGAGGTTACCTTCAAAGTATCTCAGCTTTTTCTCCCTGATAATGATAAGCTCTTCGGATATTGCGTCGCAGAACGCTCGATCGTGGCTGACAATCACGACGGTCGCGGGTAGGTCCAAGACAAATCGTTCCAACCATAGAACACCAGGAATATCAAGATAATTGACGGGCTCGTCGAGCAGTAGCACATCTGCTCGTCGAAGGAGGGCAGAGGCGAGGGCGAGCCTCGAACGCCATCCTCCCGAGAAGGACGAAACAGGCCGCGAGAATTGATCTTGTTGGAAACCGAGCCCCTGGAGCACAGTGCGAGCACGGGATTCAGCCGTCGCAGCCTCCATCTGCAAGACGGGTAAGACTGTGTACAATGGAGGTCATGGATGTGAGACTAACCAGGTCTAGAGCCGCAGACAGTTCTGCGACCAGGTGCGCTGCATCCACGAGGGTGTAGATGCCGTCGCCATCGGTCATGTTCGCGCGTTTCTCCTCCGCCGCCAATTCAGCTTCGACTACAAGCAAGCGCTTCCTGGCGTCGGCGCCCCGAGCCCCGCTCCTCTTCGACGCAATGCGTTGAGCATCTTCCAGCTCGGCTCTCTTGCGAGCTACATATATCGAGGAAACGGCTTTATGTACTTCCTGAGGCGAAGGATTGTCCGATTCCATGATCTTGGAGAGCACTAGAAGAAGTCAGATCGGCTGCCCCTCAGAGATACGATACACATGCTGACTCGCGAAGTCCTCTGCAACCTGTTTTCGTTCATGGTCGCTATCGAGGACAAAATGAAGAGCGTCCTGCGCCCCATATCCCGGGTTGGTTTCGAGGTCATATCGCTCCACCCCTGCGGTTTGGCTCACGAGGATAATCTTCAACGTCGGAGGAAGACCGGGTATCAATCCTTCGCCGAGCGCATACAACAACGCTGTGTGATGAAGTGATGAACGGGTATATGTGCTGAAACCGACATTGGATGCTCACTGCTCTTTCCGGTACCATTTCGTCCGACAAGCCCATATTTGACGCCCTCCTTGAGGCGCAGGAGTGCATCTTCGAGAAGCTCGAGCTTGCCAACGGCAAGGTTCAAGCCTTTGAGATCGATCTCTTTCGAGGCGGTGATAATAGTTTCGGTATGAAACCTGCTTTGCTGAGTTGTTACGACGATCGGTGGCACGATAGAAACTGATGTCTGGGAGATTGCTTCAGCAGCGGATGGGGAGACATTCTGGACGTTGATCAACACTCGAATCGCTGGTAGAAGCAGTAGCGCTGACTTGAGTAACTTCTTCCACCATGCGCGGACTAGCTTTCCCTGAGGACGGGGTGGCAGCCAACCTGTCTGAAGGTTGAGCCTTTCCGGCTTTCTTGGCTGCTCTCTCCTTCGCCTTCTTCTCGACGTCGGCTCTGCGACGGGCCTTCCGCTCGGCTTCGGCTGCATCCACTAGTTCGAAGGCCCGATGACGTTCGATTTCCGACTCCTGGAACGCGGCAAGCAGGATGTCGAGAAGCGCATCTTCCTTTCGAGTCTTGGAGTTGATGTGAGCATCCAACGCCTGTGATACACGCTCCAGAGCATTTGGCTGCATTCGATGAACGAGATCGCCTAGAAGATTGGCAGACATGATGAGCACGGAGCTGGTTTGACTGCGTCTCGTTCATTGCGCCCAAGTATATGTCGCGGGGCTTCGGTGCCGTCTTAGGTCTTGACTCAAGTCCAAGAATAAACAGGGAATCATAGAGATCGGAGGCAAAGCTGGGGCGTGCGTTCTGTCATATTGCTTGCATGTGGCCACACAGATGCCGACAATGCGCAAAACATCGTTGTAGCAAGAGAAAATGGATTACGCATCACGCTGGGCAACCCCCTCGCCAAACACCACGCCATGTGCTCCGTTGACATCGGCTCGAATGCGAGGACTATAAATCCCAACAAGTCCACTCTGCCGCCAAGCCAGAGTCACTGAGCTATGTTGCACTCCAGCTTCGTCCTCCTGGCCGCGCTAGCCTCCTGCGCAACAGCAAACCCGTTGCCGGAGGCGAACAAGCTCGTTTCCCGACACTGGTCAAAACCGGGACACGGACACCACCATGACGACTTGTTCAACCTGACCATCTTCCACAGTAAGACGCGTCTTCTTGTCCTCTCCGCGCGTAAAGAACTGACAGCCATACAGCTAACGACGTCCATGCTCACCTGGACGAATACAAGTTGAGCGGTGCTAGCTGCACTGATCCGACTGTTGGCTGCGTCGGCGGTTATGCGCGGATCAAGGACAAGGTTGACGAGTTGAGGCCAGGCGTCAAGAACAGCCTGCTCTTGGATGCCGGAGACGAGTTCCAGGTACGAACGACCCCTAGTCTTTCCTGATGGTCTTCCGAACCTGATTCACAGGGAACCTTGTTCTTCTCGGTCCTTGGAGGTTTGTGCATGTGCTATTCAGTCGAGTTCAGCTGCTTACCCTGTCCGCGCAGCGTACCCCATCTCGGAGACCATAAACCAGCTGGTATGACACGTCGCCTGCGGTTTTCAACCCGACGCTGTAAGCTGTTTCACTCAGGGTTTCGACGCGTTCGTACCAGGCAACCATGAGTTTGACCGTGGCGACGACTACCTTGCTGCTTTCGTATGTCATCTTCGGCCAAGGCCATCACGTTCACCTCTGACACCCCCAAACAGCTGAATAACCTAACATTCCCTACCGTCTGCGCCAACATCAAGACGAACAACACCGCCCTGCGGAAAGCGATCAAGCCTTACCACATCTTTGAGCACCTCGACGTCGCCGTCATCGGACTCACCACCAATACCACCACGACCATCTCGAACCCGGACCCCGGCACGACCTTCACCGACCATGTCCAGGCGATGCAGCATGCCATCGACGAGATCCACCGGACCACGAACATCAAGCGCATCATCGCGATGACCCACATCGGCTACTCCTTTGACAAGATCCTCGCGCAGCAGACGCGGGGCCTCTACATGATCGTCGGCGGACACTCGCACACCCTGCTCGGCAACATCACTGGTGCCTTGGGCCCTTACCCGACCATCGAGACCAATCTCGACGGCGACGAGGTATTCATCACCCAAGCGTGCGCATACATTCCCTCTTCGACCGAATTACAGGATCGCTGACGCTCGCACAGGTACCGCTGGGGCGAATACCTCGGATACATCGACATCAGCTTCGACCATCAGGGCAAGGTCGTCGCCTACGAGGGCGCGCCGATTCACATGACGAACGCCACCGGCCAGGACGCAAAGCTCGAGGCGCAAATCAAAACATGGGCCGAGTCCTTCGCCGCGTACGAGTCGGAGGTCGTCGGCGTCTCGCTCGTCGATCTCGACCAGTCGACGTGCCAAAAGATGGAATGCACGCAGGGCGACGTCCTCGCGGATGCGATATTTGAGTACGCGCGGAACCAGTCGCTTGCCCCCGACCTCGCGCTCATCAACGCCGGCACGATCCGCTCCGGGATCGATGCGGGTGACGTGACGATGGGCGAGATCCTGACTAGCTACCCGTTCGGGAACGCGGTCACGACGCTACAGCTCACGGGAGACGTGCTCAACAAGGTGTTCGAGGGTATCGCGAGCGCGACGAGTGTGTTTAACTCGGAGGAGGTCACGAGCTTTGTCCAGGTCTCCGTCAACGTCGAGTTCGTCTACGACCCTACTGCTGCTGTCGGAAGCCGGCTCGTTTCGCTCCATGTCAACGGCACCGCGCTGGATGCCGATACGACGTATACGGTCGTCACGTCCGACTACGTAGCGGGCGGAGGAGACAACTTCGTTGAGGAGCAGGTATGCAACCTCGTCAATCGATCCATCGCGCTGTTGGCTGACACCAGTGCAAATGCAGGCTGGCTTCGAGGTCCTCGACACCTTGGACGAAGTGTTTGCGGCCTACGTCGGAGCCCACACTCCGGTAAATGTGACATTGGATGGACGTATCTCGAACGGCACGACGCTGTCAAGTCGGGAATGGAGGCATTCCGCGCTGTTTAGAAAGCAGCTTTGACAGAATCATCGTAGATCTTCTGGCTCTGTCATGAGGGAATACAATCCAAAAATGATAGTCATTTGCTATTCCCTGATTCATGCCCGGGACCTGGAATCCTGACAACGGTAGAGCCGTTCAGCATATGTGCGTCGATCACATGGAGTTTCTATTCGAGCCTGGAGTCCATGCTGATGTATCATCACCTGAGATCACTGCATTCATGGCAGTAGATCTTCCGGCGTACAAAGTATATCTTCCGTAAGCTCCTGCACACCTCCGAACCCTCTTTCATTCGACGGCAAACGAGTCCGATCTTCTTTCAAAATGTCCCTATCTACCGCAAACCTCTTCACCAACGCAGGATCCATGACGCCTTGTACCGCATCCGCGACCAGGCGGCCAATCACAGGTAGGAACTGTTCGTAGCATGATCATCAAGCTTTTGCGCGCAATGCAAGACGGGCATCCTACGAACCTTGTACGCATGACCGCTGCCGGACGTTGCGAGGAGGATACCGGCGTCGGATGGGTGGGGTCCGATGACCCAGTCCGAGTCGGGCGAGTCAGTGTACCAACATAGTCGTGTCCCGCTGAACGGTTTTTTGCCGAGCTCAGGGTACACCTGGCGCAGGAAGCTCCGCAAAGCCTTCACCGAGGACCGCGGGATCCGCAGACCGTCGTTGCCGTGGCTCGTGATTGTCCTTGGAGTTGATATATTCCTTTGCGACCCTGTAGGAGCATCGGGGACAGGCGTGGGGACAGTACGCGTGAAGCCGGTCGAGTGAATGGCGAGTTTGACTATATTCTGCTGGTTGGGCTGATAAACGGTACGTTGTGAACCACCGACCGATAAACAACCAAGGAAAATACGGACCGGAAACATGTAGAATCCAGAACCGAAATCCAGAATGACAGGACAGGCACGATAGCGTGCAGCTTCTTCCTCAGTGAGCTGGATGGTAGCAACGGTCTGGCTGTCCAGGATCCATGTTAGAGTCTACATGTTGTGTGCGACATGGTATGGTATCATGGTGGCTGCTCACCCGGTGGCAAGGCATCTAGTGTCGAGATCCAACTCGGGAAATGTCGAAGCTGTCCAAGAGCCGGCTGCTAGCACGACTAGCGCGGCTGGAATAACTTCACCATCTTGACATTTGACCCCCACTGTTCGGGAGGCCTCTTTGACCAAGCTCGCCACGCCCTTCCCATGTAGGATCTTCCCGCCCATTCCACGAACCTTTTCCGCCATCATAGCGACGCCTTGAGTGGCCTTCGCCCAACCTCCGTCGCGATTAATGTACCCGTTGAGATGGCGGATGGTATCCGGACCGGCGTCGGCGGCGAAGCGTACATCGGGAGGGAAGAGGGCGCGCATGGCGGTGACATTCTCAAGTGTCTCGATACGTGCCCCGGACGCGATGTCATTGTGGTATGCGTCGTCCGTGTACGAGGCGACGTTGCCGGCACTCAACATGACGCATCCGCATCTTGCGGGCGAGGTTAGAATAATGGCAAAGCAGATTATCGCCATAGACTCACTCCTGGTATGTATCACCCCACTCTTCGACTTTCTTCCATTCTGCGATCGCCTCGCGAGCAAGACGGGTGTAAAACGAGTCCGCATACGAGCTCCGAACGACTACATATAGATCTGTCAACACTATGGCGCAGTTTGGACGTGCATGCCACGTACTTTTGTTAATATCAGAACTCGCTGCGTCCGGAGCTGGGACGGTAGACGCCCTCTCGAGCACAGTAACATCCGTGAATCCTCGCTTGAGGAGATGGTACGCGGTGGATATGCCGAAGACGCCGCCGCCGACGATCACGATTCTGTCCGACGGGCTCACAGTCATGTCTGGCGGTGTTGCTGGGATTGGAGATAGTTCCGATAAGACCAGCCCGCGTTGATCTATGTATTAGTACTTCGACCGACCATTGCCGAAGCCGACGGTATGTAAGTGAAGACAATGTACGGCATGTGCCTAGATGGGCCGGCGAAGACGATAGACAGAGCCTGAGTCAAAGCATGCAAGTGGATGCTTGCGGGAGTCCACCTGTAACGGACCGGCCCTCGTTATCGCTCGACGCAACCCGCTTTTCGTACTGCCTCGCCGATCTCATTGATTTCTATCAGCTCGGCAGCATGCTCTCTCTCTTGTACACCCGAGTAAATACGAAGTTTCGTGCGTATCTACTCGACTGTACCTGGTTATAACCTCTCCCCCAACAAGCTACGTTGGCCCGTTTACCCGTTCCGCGTAACCCGTGGGCGCTTCAGTCAAGGGCAGATCAGATTGTGAGATTCCACGCGATCGCGGTCCAGATCACCGCCAGCTTTATTGTAGTATGCAGTACTGGTACCAGAAGGGAGGAGCCAGAGAAATCGAAGGTTATGATGCTGGTCAAGGATAGCTTCAAGCCAGGTCTCATGCCGCCTCTTCTTGAATTCGTACTTCACGTGTGCTACGCGGTCGCCAGTTCTCTATCAGGTTCTTGTGGGTTAAATTTCTCCGGACCTCCAAAGAGCACATGCCTGGGGCGAACAGATAGATATATAGGTCCAAGGAGGCGCAGAGGATGACGGTAGGCGCTTTGGCAGCTGAAACCTGTCTGTTTTCTCTCTCCTCGTCGTTTTAATGCAACTCCTCGCAGCCCTTTCGCTCCTTTCACTGTCCGTGATATCAGCTGGCGCGTCCAAGCCGACCGTCTCGGCAGCTTGGTACGCCGGCTGGCATTCGGACGATTTTCCTCTCTCGTCCGTGAGCTGGAACAAGTACACCCACCTCACATACTCCTTTGCGTGAGTCACGAGAACCGCCAGCTATCGAACCTCTCTAATCATTGTAGCGAGACCACGCCCGATGTTTCCAAGATAACGCTCAAGGGATCGGATCCCAAGTTGCTCCCGACCTTCGTCTCCACGGCCCGCAAGCATGTACGTTATGGCGCCAAATCCGAACCACGTGTGCTGACCTGAAACAACAGGGCGTCAAAGCGCTTGTCTCCGTCGGCGGATGGACAGGCTCACGATGGTACTCCTCCAACGTCGGCAGTGCGAAAAACAGGACCGCCTTCGTCAAGACCATCGTCGACTTTGCCGAGAAATATGACCTTGACGGCATCGACTTCGAGTACGTCTGTGCTACTTCATAGCGGGAATCGCGCGCTCAGTTCGGGCTGTAGCTGGGAATACCCCGGCACACAAGGTATCGGCTGCAACACTATCAGCAAGCACGATACCGCACACTTCCTGAGCTTCCTCCAAGAGCTACGTGCTGACCCGAAGGGCTCAAAGCTCTTCCTCACCGCCGCAACCTCGCTCTCGCCGTGGGCCGACGCCTCTGGCGACCCCTCGGCCTCCGTCGCCGGCTTCGCCTCCGTGCTTGACTACCTCGCCATCATGAACTACGACGTATGGGGCCCTTGGGCGGACACCGTCGGCCCGAACGCTCCCCTGCGCGACACCTGCGCCCCTGACGAGGCGCAAATCGGCTCCGCCGAAGACGCGGTGATAGCGTGGCACGCGGCAGGCATCCCCAAGAACCAAATCATCGTCGGCGTGCCCGGCTACGGCCACTCGTATCGGGTCAAACCCTCGGATGCGTTCGTCAACGGCACCCGCGGCTCGGGCAGCGTACTGGCCCTCTATCCGCCGTTCAACGCTTCGGACATTCCCATCGGTGACAAATGGGACGACGCCGCGGGCAATGACGAGTGCGGCAACTTCGAGAGCCAGGGCGGTCTCTTCGATTTCTGGGGCCTGGTGCAGGCCGGTTTCCTCACCTCTCAAGGCAATCCGGCACCAGGAATTTCGTACCGCTACGACACGTGCACGCAGACGGTACGTGTACACCAACATTAACTTGCAGAGGAAGCTGTCTGACGCCCTGCTTCTTCGTTCCTCAGCCCTATGTCTACAATGCGACCTCCGAGGTGATGGTATCCTTCGATAATGCCCAATCGTTTGCACAGAAGGGCAAGTTTATAAAATCATCGGGACTGGCAGGTTTCGCGATGTGGGAAGCCGGAGGCGATTTCCACGATATCCTGTTGGACTCGATTCGTGGCGCGGCAGGGCTGTGATGCGATTTCCGTCGGCTCTCTTTACTACAGAAATTATTGTAACGGAGTACACACTATTTTAATGAGATTCAGGGCCATTCTTGATGCGCACCACAAAGCATCTAAATTTCAACCCAGAAGTTCAAGTTGTCTCTAAGAAGCCGGAGGTTATTAGCGCGGTGTAGGACGACGATCAAGCTCCTTTCATGCGCTTTCCGACGAACTTGCTCCGGGATACCGCCTAGATCTTCATCCAAAGCGTGCCAACTCTCTGCGTCTACTTCAACAGGAGCCGTCCCGCACCTACCAAGGTTGGCGTCGAACGAGTTACGAACGTGACGGCTCATATGCTCAGTTCCTGGGCCTCCTTGATGATGCAGTGACTAGAGGGATTGCTGTGATATGGTACAAGTTATGCTATGGAGATAAGGTACATGGGCAAGCAAGCCCCTTTTTAATGCAGAAGAAAAAGCATTGTGCATGATATTAGATTTCCACCGAACCCACACGGACCAAGCCCCTCTTCATGCACGTTTACCGACGAACTCGCTCCAGGACTTGACCTCAGAGGGGATGTGGCCCTCTGTGTACTTGCGGAGGCCGCCCTCGGGGATCTTCCGCGACAGCGCATCAACCCACAGCTGCGCGTTGCGAGCGTTGTTGAGCAGCGGTAAACCGAAGTCGACAGCGTTTCTGGAATGAAATTGCATGGGTCACGACGAAAGGAAGCTGGTAAACATTGACTTACCGTCGCGCGACGTAGTCCTTATCTGTCGCCTCCGTAGCCCGGCTCCGTGCGAGGTTTATCACGCACTCAATGTCGTATTCGTCGAACACTTCGCGCAACTTGCGTTTATCCTTCGTGGGGAAGAAGATCTTCTTGCACGACACGTACGGCAGCTCGTTCAGGTACTGCTCCACCTCCACAGATGAGCAGTACAGCTTGAAGCCGAGCGTGATGAGCTGCTTCGCGATTGACGCCATCTCCGGACGCGTCGTGTCGCCGCCGATAAGCACACCCGAGTTGGGCCGGGGCAGCTTGAATCCGGTTGTGCTCCGGAGTGAGGCCCAGTACGCCTCGTACACGTCGCGCCCGAAGCTGGCCACTTCGCCGGTACTCGCCATCTCTGTAAGATCAATATCAGCAAAATGTCCTACCTCTCGGTCCTTTGAGATATGTCACTCACCGACACCGAGGAAGGGATCTGCACCCGGCAGCCGCGTCCACGAGAACTGCGCGACCTTGATCGCAGTGTAATCCCTCTTCTCCCCCATGGGATCCACAGGTTCCGGCACCTGCTCGCCCACGATCGCCGCCGTCGCCACGTCGACAAAATTGCGCCCGAGCACCTTCGACACGAACGGGAACGAGCGCGACGCGCGCAAGTTGCACTCGATCACCTTCAGGGCCGCGTCCTCGTCCCCCGCGCCCTCCTTCACCTGTCGGATGACTTGCATATTGAACGGCCCCGAGATATCGAACGCTTTTGCCACCTTCTCCGCGATCTCCTTCATGCGCGCCATGTCCCGCTCCGGGAGCGTGTACGGCGGCAGCACAAGCGTCGCGTCGCCCGAGTGCACGCCCGCGTTCTCGACGTGCTCCGACACGGCGTGAATGAGCAGCTTGCCCTCGTGCGCAACCGCGTCGACGTCGATCTCCTGCGCGCCGTCGATGAACTTCGTGACCACGACCGGGTGCAGCGGCGACACGTCAGCCGCCGCCGATAAATTGTGCTCCAACGCCGCCTCCTCGTACACGACGTTCATCGCGGCACCCGAGAGAACGTACGACGGCCGGATCAAGACAGGGTAGCCAACCTCGCGCGCGAATGCTTTCGCCGCATCCACGCTCGAAACCTCGGCCCACTCGGGCTGGTCAACGCCGATGCTGTCCAGGATCTTCGAGAACTTGTGCCTGTCCTCCGCGCTGTCGATCATCTCCGGATCCGTTCCGAGCACGTTCACGCCGTTCTGCTTCATGCGAAGCGCAATGTTCTGCGGCAGCTGCCCTCCGACGCTGACGACGACGCCCTGCGCCTGCTCCAGCTCGTAGATGTCCATCACGCGCTCGAAGCCCAGCTCTTCGAAGTACATCCGATCCGCTTCATCATAATCCGTCGACACCGTCTCGGGGTTGTAGTTGATCATGATGGTCCGCTTGCCCATGTCCCGCAGCTTGCGCGCGCACGTGACCGCGCACCAGTCAAACTCGACCGAGCTCCCGATACGGTACACTCCCGAGCCGAGGACCATCGTGCCGTGTTCGTCGAACTCGACGTCGTGTTCCGTCGCGTTATAGGTCGTGTAAAGGTAGTTGGTGTGTGCCGGGTACTCGGCCGCGAGCGTGTCGATTCGCTTGACGAACGGCGTAACGCCGAGGGACTTGCGATGGGCACGGACGGCGTCCTCTGTGGAACCGATGAGCTTGGCGATGTGCAGGTCAGAGAACCCGGTCTGTTTTGCGCGGAGCATCAAGTCACGGTCGATGGCCTCAACGGAGCCAGCGGTCTTGAGCGTTTGCTGCATTTGAACGATATTCTCGATCTTGTACAAGAACCACTGTGATAACTGCATCAGCGCTGAATAGTACTGAAGGTACATATCCTTACCTTGTCGATCTTGGTCAAGTCATGGATGCGGTCCACAGAGTAGCCCTTGTTCAACATCGCGTCCGCGACAGCAAACAGCCTCGTGTCCGTAGGAACGCTCAAAGTCTCGTCCAGGTCCTCCGGGTTCACGTACGCTTCGAACCCGCAGTAGCGCGGGTCAACCTGCCGGATCGCCTTTTGAAGGCTCTCCTCGAACGTGCGTCCGATAGCCATCACCTCGCCAACCGACTTCATCGCGGACCCGACCTGACGAGCGACCTGCTTGCCGAATTTGGCGAGGTCCCAACGAGGGATCTTGGTCACGATGTAGTCGAGCGAAGGCTCAAAGCAAGCCGTTGTCGTCTTCGTCACGGCGTTGGGCAGTTCTGGGAGCGTGTAGCCGAGTGCGATCTTGGCAGCAGTGTAGGCGAGCGGATAGCCGGTCGCCTTGCTGGCGAGCGCGGACGACCGGGAGAGACTGGATGACGGTCGTTAGTAACACCGAGGGTGCATATGCGGTGACATACCGAGCGTTGACTTCGATGACGCAGTATTCACGGGAGTACGGGTTGAGCGCGTATTGGATATTGCACTCGCCGACAACGCCGAGGTGACGGATGACCTTGATCGCGGCGGTACGTAGCATGTGGTACTCGTCGTCCGGGAGCGTCTGCGACGGAGCAACGACGATCGAGTCACCAGTGTGCGTGCCGAGGGGGTCGAAGTTCTCCATATTGCAGCAAATGATCGTGTTCTGCGTGTCGCCTCGTCAGCATGTCTTGGGGTGAAGGAGTAGGCTTATGTGCATACATCGGCAGCGTCGCGGACGACCTCGTACTCGAGTTCTTTCCATCCCTTCATACTGCGCTCGATGAGAACCTGAGGCGCGAGACTAAGCGATTTGGCGCTGAGGTCGCGCAGCTCATCCGGGTTGTTCGCAAAGCCAGAACCGAGACCACCTAGAGTGAATGCAGACCGAAGGATGACAGGATAGCCGATCTTCTCTGCTGCCGCGAGCGCATCGTTGACCGAGGAGACAGCCGTGCTGGTAGCAACCGGAATGTCGATTTCTATATAGATACGTCAGCCAAATGCTCGTACAAAGAAATAAGTGAACGTACCCTTGAGCGCCTTGACGAACAAATCACGATCTTCGGAAACCTCGAGCGTGCGAATGGGCGTGCCGAGGACCTGCACGCCGAGTCGGTCGAGGACACCCATACGGTCAAGCTCAATGCCGACGTTCAGCGCACTCTGGCCACCGAACGTGAGCAGGATGCCGTCCGGCTGCTCCTTCTCAAGCACGTAGGCAACGTAGTCCGCGGTTATGGGCAGGAAATAGACCTCTGCCGCGAGTTCATGCGACGTCTGCCAGGTGGCAATGTTCGGGTTGATGAGCACGGCGTCGACACCTTGTTCGCGAAGGGCCTTGAGCGCCTGCGAGCCCGAGTAGTCGAACTCGCCCGCCTGGCCGATGCTAAGGCCGCCGCTGCCGACGATGAGCACCTTCTTCACGTCCGGGCGCGCGATCTTGGGGAGGACCTTGGCCGAAATCTTGCGCGCGAGCTCTGAGGGCGAGTTGAGGACGTGCTCGCTGTCTTCAGCGCCGTAGTCCCCGACGGCGGCGGACGCCACGGCGTAACGGGTCGCGCTCGCATGCAGGGCGCGGGTTGCGGTAGGATGCACTGCACGAGCCAGACGAGAGAACGACGCGGCCGTCCGTATACTGCTTGCTTGTTTTGTGATGTGTCGTACCAACATGGTGGGTGGGGGACTCCTTCGGTCTTCAGGGAGTGAGGGAGAAGACGAGGTCGCTCAGATAACTGGACGCTGGTCAGAATCCCGTATAGCGAGCAGAAAGGAATGGGAACGCGAGGCCAACTTACTCGTCGCGAGTGCTTTGGGTGAAAATCATAAACACGAGCAGCGCTCGACAGCAGGAGGAGGATGCGCAGAGGAGAGAGCGCGTAAGGGAAATTTTTGGTCGCGTATCTTTTACGTCCGACGTCATCCGCATGACTCACTACCACTCTCAACAGAACCGCTTCATCGGAATGTTCACGCCTCAATAGCCTCGTTTCACAGCGCTCATTATCGTCTTCGGCATCGAGATCGTCCCCTCCCTGATCCAAGTCCTCGACCTCGGAGTAGAATTGTACTTGGATACAGGTCTTTCCAGGGTTCCTCCGCCATGCATGGCCACTCAGGCAGCTGCAACGCTCTAATCATGGACACACGCATCCGGTGGATATGGCCGGCATTTCATCCAACAGTTGGCGCTTGAATAAGGTTTCGACAACGACGCCCTCATGTTCATCTTGGACTTGGTCCGGGTCCTGTCTCCATCTGTTATCCAATTGTTGACTCAGAGCCGGACCCTAATGAGAGCAAGACCTTAATGAGAGCAAGAGACTTCGTGCGGTTGGTTCACATGTTCATCTGTCATCTCCAGTCCTTACTCGGCTCGAAACCCCTCGGTCACCCGGGGCCAGAGAGCAGAGGCCGATACAACATTAATGAGAGCAAGGACCTCCTGCATTGGCTGACATGTTCATCTGTCATCTCCAGTCCTTACTCGGCTTGACGCCCCTCACTGATCCGGGACCAGACGACAGAGACCAAAACATCGCCGCCGACGCATATTATCAGGACGTCGCATGCTCAAACGGTCGGTTCTTCTGTCCGAATGCCTTCTACTCGAACTCTCAAGTGGGAGAGACGGCAGTTGAATAACCGAGACCGCAAGATTTGTCTCCAGGCGAACACGTTTTTGCGCACTGGAGAGACTCGGTGTCCCTGTCATGCAGACGCGCAGAGAAGCAACATGCGGGAAATGGTCGCCACGAATTCGATTTACATCCTTTGGTTCTGAGGCTGGAACGAATACACGACGAGAACCCTTTTCAAATCGCGCTATTGCCACTCGTAGCTCCAGAGCTGAAATCGAGGCTTTCAACCTTCGGCATCCGATAGCCACGCTGCTCCGCGGAGGACTCCGCACCTCAGGGCGTACCACCCTCCATTCCCCGGGCGGATAAACATCCATGCAGGACAATTGGGCAGTGTTGTCGTCTATTTGGACAAAAACCCTGGCGTTCGTTATGGCCATGGCATGCGCCAAAGGCGCCGCTGCGAAGTTTTGGCGCCGCATGGATATAGGCTTGGTGGTCCTCCAAGCGCCTTCCTTCGCCCTTCCCTGCAGCCCTTTGCCACGATATAAAGTTCCCGGTCCCGTAGTACGACCCGCCGTGCGTGAGTTCTATAGCTGACGTACACCTCTAGTCATTCAAACTAGACCCCGCCCTCTCACAACTCCCCCATGCCATTTATTTCTTCGGACGATAGTGACGGCTCGATGTCGTCGACATTGAATCCGTTGCTAACGCGCTCCGAGGACTTGCATAGCAGAGAGACCTCGGACGACGCTACTACGCCCCACTCGCATACAGCCCTTCAGCGCCGCTCGTGCAACGACCGCAGCCTTCCATTCTCACTATTTTTAGTCTTGGGTGTTTGGCTCTACGTATGGGATGCGATCTTACACCTTTACGGCCTAATTCTTCATCTGCTGGGGAAGATCAAACCCCGCTCCAGGCTTATCGAGGTACGGGGAACAGCTTCGACAGCTAGCTGGATTCCATACTGATGACTGTCCTCAAAGTCTTGGTGCAGATGCAGGTTCGTGCATATGAGCATGTTCTTATATTGAACTACCCGCTGTTTGAGCTCACCTATCACTAGACGAGGAGGAAATCAACGGAGGATATCCCGCAGCCATGATGGTCAGACAAAACGATGCGCCAGCAACATCCGGATGCCAAATGCCATTATTCTGTTGCGCTTTGGGTGGCTACCGTGTCCAATTATCGCGGCTGTCCGGAGAATAGCGCCATGGGAATGGAAGCGAGACTCGCCCGACGCAAGGATGTCAAAAACTCTGGTCAGCGAGCCGGATTTACGGATCACATCGAGTCAGACCTCCCAATGGGGCGCGCGGTCGCGGGCGCAGGCCCACGCCCTTTCCGACGCGGAAGTTGAGATCATGCGCCATGTGTGGACATCCCTGCCCAAGGACTTGATCCTTACATGCGAGAATGTCATGAAGCTACCTCTCACGCTTGCGCAAGAATTAGTCGATCTCTTGCAGGAGGTGTGTTCGGTGTCTTGACGCGTGAACGATTGCCGTACTAATTTCGTATCAGGATCTCGATCGCACGGCTGTCTATCAATCGTCAATCAATGATGTTTACTCCTCACAAACAACAGCCTTTCGGCGGAGCTCGAAGATCTTTTTGCTAGCACGATTGAGCCGTTATTACGGTGTCGTTTCTTCGAAATTCTATGTGAACGACAGCAGCTGCGCAAACACAATGTTTCCTCGATACCAAGGCGGCTTCGCAGACATATTCCTTGGCCAAAGGCGCGGGGGAAAAGTCGTTCTGAAGCGATTACGGGCGCATAACGCGGACGGCACCGATCCATCACATCAGGTTGCAGTTGTTTACTTGCAGACACCTCATGACGGCTTCTAACATGAAATGATTCTAGATGCTATACCGGGAGGCTGCGATATGGGCACAACTGAAGCACCCGAATGTGCTCCCCTTCCATGGCGTCGACCGGGTGACCATTCCTACGCGCCCCGCCATCGTCTTGCCCTGGAAATGCAACGGGAACTTGCTGAATTACATTCAAAAACAGAGGTGTACCGGAATGGAGATCAATGCATTGGTAAGTGACGTTACCAGTGCGTATATTTGTGGTCCTGAACTCACCAATACCGCACAGTTATTGGATGTCGCGACAGGATTGTCATATCTTCACGATCAAGCTGTTATCCATGCCGATTTACGCGCTGTAAGCCACTGAAATGCTCTCGCATACGTGATCCGTCACAACAACGATGACAGGCCAATATTCTCGTTGACGATGATGGGTCGGCTCTCCTCACCGACTTCGGTTTGGCCTTCGTATCAAACGAGGCCACGGTTGGAACCGCTGTTGGCCTATCTCACCTTCGATGGCTTCCTCAGGAGCTGGTGGGTGAGGAAGAGCGGTTTCCCACCCGCTCTACTGATATATACGCCTTTGGTCACGTTTGCGGTGAAGTCAGTTTGGCTCGTCGAACCTGCCAGACGACGTTCTAACGCGTCGTCTCAAGGCGTATACCCTGAAACCTCCATTTTGGAACATCGTCAACAACTCTGCAGTCCAATGGACGATTTGCAGCGGAGGCCTCATGCGGCGCCCCTCGAACTACGAATGTCCCGGTCCGCATCTACCTGACAACCTGTGGACCTTGATGCAACGTTGCTGGGTTCCCCACCCATCGGACAGGCCCATGGCTGCGGAACTCGTTGACGAGCTACGCCGCCTGAACCATCCTCTTCCGGATTGGTAACCACTCAATTAATGATGTCTTTCTATATTTCGTGGTAGATTTCTGCCATCTCGCCATCAGGAACTGCGAACTCTGTTTAATCACAGTAGACCTCATACACTGTACTGCTACGCACGGACTCTGCACTTGTCCTCGATCGTGAGCTGTAGCATAATTTCTTGTGACGACCCATAGTACCGACCACTCCAGCTCCAAGGTTTGACCCGCGCGTACGCCGGACCGATTCCCAAAGTATCTACATCTCTGACATGTAAACTTTTGTTGCCCATCTATCTTTTCTTGCCTGTGGCCGCATCACTTGCAATATTCAAGATAGAACATGTGACTCGACAACCACTTGCGAGGCCGCATTCGACGGGAATGACCGAGGCACGGCAGCGATATGAGAAAGAGAGGCTGATGAATCGACGACACTCAATAACCCGCCTGAGAAACAATAGCGTAAAGCTGGTTATATGATGCAAGTGACGCAAGTGAGTATTGACATCGCTCAGGGACATTTGAAAAGCTCGCAGTTGAAAACAGGAATCCAATAGCGAATGAACGGGAGGGCGGAAGGAAGAACGTGACTGGGACTGAGGGCAGATAGTAATCTTCTACCATCAATTTACCAAGCCGGGACCATGGACGCAAAGGGAAGTTTGAATCACCTGTGGAAGAGGCGACGTCGGTGCACGTTGTTAAATGAGGCAGTAATATCCGGAATGAAACGTCTTTATACCACCTCTCCGCAGACCTTCCTCCTTGTCCTTGTAGCCTTATCCCATACATCCTCCCCGACCCACCTCTCCTCCTCCCATATTCTCCTCCGCGCTTTCGCTTCCTCCCCGGCCTTTGCCCTCCCGGCCACGACGTAAAACCGCTCGTCCAGACCCTTCAAGCTCGCCACCAGCCGATCGAACGCGCGTCGCGCTGAGCTTGTCCACCCGTTGGCCGTCACCCAATCCTCCCAGTCTACAACCAGTACCACGACCCGCACGCTCTGGCTCGCTGTCGCCAGCCACCTCTTCACCCTTCGCATCCTCCGCATGAGCTCGACGGGCGTGTATGGCTGGCACCGGAACGCCGGCAACGCGAGATGCGTCACGTTCGGGAGCCTCTTGAGCAAGGCGCTGACCGCGGCCTCCTTCCGTTCGTCGTCGATTCGGAACTCGGTCAACCGCAGACGCGTCACCGCGCGCGAGAACGCGAGCCATACCTCCGGGTCGCACACGCGCTCGTACATCGGACACACCCAATGCGGCGGTTGGTCGAGCGTGAGGGACAGACCTCGAGGGAAGCTGATGGGTGCGCTGTCCAGCACCATGGAACCGGAGCCGCTCGCTGCGCTGCGGTCGAATGTGTATTCTGTAAAGAGGCGCTCGAGGTCATAGGTCGCCATGCATAGCGATTCAAGCCCGGCTGCCGCAGTCACGACCAGGCGAAGACTATCCTCCGTCGAGCTGGCCAACCACAGGTGGCGAATCATTTGAGGATTACCGAGGTGCACGATCTCCGCGGCTTGCGCGTGCTCGACGAAGCGCACGGCGCCCTTGTGCGTCGCCACCAGGCGGGAGACTTCCCATCGCGAGGTCTTGTTGACCAATGACATGGCGCACGCATGCTTGCACGAGAACCGCGCGGCAGTGGTAAGGATCTGCTGGACGAGTTCGTAGGGAAGCTTTGGCCAGGGCGAGGTGTGACCAGCGAGTGCGGGAGGTTCATCCCGGTCGTCGGAATGAGTCCATGGGATCGGAGTCGCGGTAGGGCGCGTGATCAGCTGCGAAGAGTGTGCGGTCGAACGTGCTGCCGGACGCGTTGGGAGAGCTGGTTGCTTGCCGGCGGCTCGAGAGCTGATCTGTCCCGCATCGCGTCGCGGTAGGGGACGTATGGCAGGCCTGGAGGATGTTATCGTCGGCCGGGGCGCCTTCTGGACAAAATGGAGGGGATGCGCAGGGGGCTTGATCGTCTTCGCAAGCGAGGCGAGGGTAGGCCGGGCTGCCTTCTGCTTTGAATTGTGAGATCCCGGGTCCGATCCGGTGGAGGCCATCGTGGTCAGCTCTGGATGAGAGTCGAGCATCGTCGCGTCAGCCATCGCGTCGCGATCGTGCGCGTCCCGCACGTCCTATTGGGGCGACATGGTATTAGCATATGCAACCAATACCCGAATGCCATACTCACACAATTGTGAAGTTCAGAAACCAGAAAACCCGTCCAGGATATTATCGTGTGCGAATCTATTCCAGGATCGTCAGCAAAGCTCGACTCCTGCGCGTTATCCACGCACCCACCAGGACGAAGCTAATGAATCAAGCACGGTAGAGCCGGGGAGCACGAATAGTACGCTGGGGGCTGCCCCAGGGACTTCCTGGGCGAGCTCAGGAGGAGAGCCCGGTCAGTGCCCGGTCCGCCTCGTGGCGGTTGACCGTCGCAACAGGCAGCGAGTGGCGGTGCTCGCATCCGCATTCGGAGAAATCCCGACGCGATCCCGACGCTTCTCACGTGCCACGCGCTGCCTCCACATCCCCGTGTCGGTATATCGGGTTCATCGAGCACTCATCTGGCTTTAACAGATGGCCCGAGGTGCAACTTATTCCTGACGCTTATGCCTATAGTCGACTGCATGCAGCCCGGTCTCGTGTCAAATGGCGCAGCAGGTATAACTGCGATCATCAGAAGCTGTTGTGGATAGCCTCTACATGCCCACGCAAATTCAGTGCTGTTACTTATCCGCTGAGTCGATTACAGATGGGCATTCCATTGCACAAGGATCACTCCTGACTTCACCCTCTCGATATGCCGTCGTGGTTCAGCCGTAATACTGTGCTATTCGTTGCTTTGCCAGTAGGCCTGGTCGCAATCATGCTGAGGTGCTACCCCAAACGACATGATGCTCCCGACGTGCCTGCGTACGTTTGGTCATCCGATATTACAGGTTGGCGCAACCGGTCGCAACCGCACCCGCACCCCCTCTCCTTCTTCCCCTCACGCGAGAACCTCCAATTCGCCGTGTCGTCATGCGCCATGATCGAATGTCCCATGCATGTCTTCGCCATGTTCAGCTCTTCAAGCAGCAGCGTAGGGATAGAGGCGAGCGGGAAAGCTTTGATCCTTGACGAGGGTGACGCCGGGGCTTTGATGCGCCTCACGAACGCCATCCTTGGTCTGTCGGATGGGCCATGGAACATAGACACGGATGTGTCTTGCCAAAGTTCATCTATAATCACCGCCGCCAACGCTGACGGTCCAGGACTAACGACCGTGTCGGTACACGCGTACAGCAAAAACAACAGAAAGCTAGAGAAACCTGTTGACGGCGTTACGGAGCTTCCCGACGCGCTCTACGAGCTTCTGGGGTTGATGAACGAGGCATACCAGGGTTGGGAGCCACATGGATGGGTACCTTTGGACGAGAAACCGGAGATGCTACAGAGACTGGTCCCAGTCATTCCATACCTCGGCGGGATCGCCCCCTAACACCCTCCACGCTGACCGTCGTGCGCCCAATCGGCCTCTGGAATGGTGGTTATCGGACAACGACTGTTACGCACCATGTATGGAGCATCTCGGTCTTACTCGGCTCATGGTTAGGTTAGGACGTCCTTCCTCTCAATATACAGACGGTTTGTAAGAGGCAAAGCACCGTGTTGGGTTAAGCAGAATTACTAGGGTACGAGGAATATGTTATTTGTAAAGGGTCACCGCGCGCGTCCCTTGCCCTTGCCCTTCCCTTTGGCAGGAGCTTTTCCTTTCCCCTTGACCGGAACCGGCGGGGGTGAGGGGGATCGTTCTTCCTCCTCTTCCTCGTCCTGTTCATCGTCGTGGTGATTATTGGTCCCGCTCGGTCCGGCAATGGGCACCCCATCGTACTCGTATATTGCCGGAGCCGCGTACATCGGCTTGCGACGCTTCTGGAGCCGAGCTGGGGACGCAGGCGGCATATAGCGTACGGTTTCCCTCGCCTTGCCCTTGCTCTCGACCGGTCGGACGACCTCCTGGTATTCGTACTCAACGTCCGGCTCGCGACGACGCTTCTTAGCCACGGGTCGGCGGTATACCACCACCTCTTCCATCTCTTCTTCCTCTTCTTCCTCTTCTTCTTCTTCCTCCTCCTCCTCCTCCTCCTCCTCGACCGGGTCGATCCCAGCCGCCCTCAAGCTCTCTTGTACCTTCGGCTTCAGTTGGGCCAACGTCTCTAATATCACCCCGATCGCCTCGTACAGTTGCTCGACGCTCTTCTTCACCTCGCCCGGCTCGTCCTGCAGCGCATCCGCAACGGTGCGCACGCGCGCCTTCGCCTTCAACAACGCCTCGTTCACCTCCGCGCGCACCGATGGCTCGCGCTTCCACTCGAGGAACGCGAACGTCCACGCTGGGTGGCGCTGCAGGAGCGCATACACCCAGTCAATGTCGGTCACGTCCTGCGGGATCCCCGTACCGGGCACGAACGGGGCACGAGAGTCCGCCGCAGACGGGTCCGGGCGGATGCTATATACAATCGAATCCGTTGGCTTTGGCCCGTCTAACGGGAGATCGAAGGCGATCTGCAGCAGGCGCTGGATTTTGGCCGCGTCCAGGGCAAAGGCGGGCATGGACGGCGCAGGCGCGGCGGTTCCGTGTTGCGACTCGGATCGTATCCGGACCGCTTCTGGGGACATCAGCGGTGTCAGTGACGGGAACGCTAGTCAAATCAAATGGATGCTACCTCTTTCTGCCATCAGTTGGCGCAGAGCGGCTATCGAGAAACTGATGAGCAAGTGGTAGATGGTAAGGAATTTGGGACAATCCTACGTTTGTCGAAAACCGCCGGCGCAGCAGACGAAGAAGGCTGAGCTCCATCGGGGGATGCGGCTGTTCAAGGGAGTCTCAGCATTGAATGACATGCAGAGATCTGCAACGCCCAGGAACATACCGTGCCGCGGCGTCTCTTCGCCAAGGGCTGGAACGGAGACAGATGTGACGAGCTTTTCATCAATGCAGGTTATGATAGATTACCTCTCTTCCTCTTCAGCGAACCTTGAGGCGGCGGCGGTTGCGCAGTCTCACGCTGCGCGAGCTCCTGGCCTGCTTTAGTGAGCACGCGCTTGGAGGGATCTAGGATCTGCGCAATGAGATCCGCGGCCTTCAGAGAGCGGGTGTTGATGTTAAATTGCTGAGAGATGACGCGTGTCAGAAAGTTGGACAAACGGTGTGCGCGGGGAACACTCACCTTTGCGACCTGTCTAAGCGAGACGAAGGGCATGCTCTTGAGCTGGGCTTCAGTGTATTCTTGTGACATTGTGTACGAAGTGAAGCTGGTCGTGGTAGCAGAGGGAAACGAGGATGAACGTGGTTGGAGAGTGTTAAGGGGGGCCGAGCGCCGATCGGCCATGTTGTTTAAAGGGCCACACTAGCGTTGAGTGGCTCAGAAGCGCATTGGCCGGACGAACAATAGTATTTCGTCGATCATCGGTTGCCAGAATAAGGTATGCATGGCAGCACAAAGACAAGGCCATAAGAAGATCAGGTAAGCCCTTGTTGATATTGTTCACGGCTAATCGGCACGCAACGAGTTGCTAGATCGAGTGAGACATATGCAATCTCGGCATAAGGCGCCTTCGTTGGCGTCCAAGCGTAGAACGCAGTGGTAGATGACTTGGCTTTCATGAGTCGTAACAAAAAGCGCGCGGCTCTCCCAACTTCGAAGGCTCGAGCCAGAGAAGGGCGCAAACGTCACCGCCACCAGAGGCGCCCCTTCACCCCAACGACCACAACCGCTCTCCCTTTCCCATGGCTTTTGGACTCACTATCGGTACAGAGCGCGCAACCGCACTCCAGGTACGCTGAGAAACACCGTTAGATGCGAAAATCCTCACACTGGCTACAGAATTCCATTCAAAATGAGCTCCAAAAACGCGGGTTTAGCCCCGACGCCGGTGCGTATAACACTACCTTCCGCATATTACCTTCTGACGACGCATATAGACCCTGTTATGGCGGAATACATTACCATCATGATAATCAACAACAAGACGGCGGGTACGTTGCACACTAGTCTGAGAGCTATAGCAAATATTGATACGATGGCCACAGCCCAAATCACATCGGAGCTGGAAGATTGTGAGTAGAACTCACATTCATGCTGTGTCATATGTGTATCTAAACGCATATACCGTAGTAATTGGGCCCGAATACGGTATATACCCTTGTTTCCCTCAACCAACGAGCGTGCTGACCAATATCCCCCGCAGACGCCTCCTTCACCGACTGGTTGTTCGTCGAAGCCGCGAAAGGCTCGGAACCCGTTCCAGCTTTAGCTACACCCGCCGCTTCCACCAGCACCCCCGCCCCCGCCCCCGAACCGATTCCCATTCCCACCGCCGCGGATACGCGCCCCGCCCCGCCCCGCGCTTATCAGCAGGCTCTCGCGCAAGCACAGGGCGCCCCTGCACAGAAGCGCGCCGCCTCTGCGAGGTCGCCGTCCCCCTCTGGCGCCGGCCATCCATCGAAGGCGCGCCGTACGGACCTTCCTACCGGCCCACGGGCGATGCAAGACCGCGAACGCGACGGCAGGTTTCACGGCCGCGATCGAGAACAACAGCCTCGTAGCTTGCTCGAGCGTATGGGCGGGCTGCACCGCCCTCATAATGGTCCCGGGCCAGGCCACCAACAGCCATTCGACGTACCGCCCAACATGCCCAACTTACCAGGCATGCCTAACTTCGCAGCGATGAACCCAGCGGAACAGGCGATGATGATGCAGCAAATGTCGGCCATGGGTGGGATGATGCCGAATGGGATGGGCGGCGGCATGCCTCCCGACATGGGCGCGGCGGGGATGGCGAACCCGATGTTGATGGAAATGTTCGTGAACCAGATGGCGCTTATGGCGCAGATGGCGACGAGTATGGGAATCATCAACCCCAACGCGCCTTCTGGCGCCCAGTTCACGGGCTTTCCTGGGCAGCAAGGCCCAATGGTGGATGCGGGGATGCAGGGGCATACGGGAGGCAACAACAACCGAGGCCGAGGAGGGCAGAGAGGACGGGGAAGGGGACGGGGAGGTCAGAACAGCGCAGGTGGCCAGGGCCATATTGCACCCACCGACGCCGCACCCGCACCCGCACCCGCACCCGCACCTGCACCCGCACTTGTCGCGCCGCAACCGCAACCCGCGCCCCCGGCGGTCGACCCCACCGCGGCCTCTCGCCCAGGCTTCGTCGTACCGGAACGCCCGCAGTCGCCAACGCTGTGCAAGTACGGCCTTAAATGCACGAACGCACTCTGCCGGTGGTCGCACCCGTCGCCCGTCGCGACACCCGAGAGTGGCGTCGTGCTGAGTAACGACCCGTGCGAGAAGGGCAAGGACTGCAAGGACCCTGACTGCGTCAACGCGCACGTCAGCCCCGCCGTGCTCAACCCCAATGGTCAGTTCTCCTTGACATACATGTGCTCACCGAGCCTCAACGCTGACGTTGCCTTCCCAGCCGAGTTCAAGCCCCATCATGCACAACCTCCTGCGCCCGCACCCGCCCCGCACCAAAACACTGCGCCGGTGCACAACCCCATTCCCGTCCAATGCCGTTACGGTGCCAACTGCACGCGCCAGAAGACTGGGTGCCCGTACACCCACCCTGCCCCCGTGCATACGCCCTCCAAGACGGGGACACCCTGCCGCTTTGGCTCGGCATGCACGCGCGCAACGTGCCCGTTCCAGCACCCGAAGGACCGTGTCCTGCCGACGACGTTCTTCCGCGGCGTCGGGACCGATGCACCGCTCGTGAAGGTGAAGGCACCCGAGACAGGGAGCATGGGCGCGCCGAGCCCACATAAGAGCGTCGTGTTCAACGGCAAGGGGGCGACGAAGGAGGAGCTGGAGAAGCGGATGAAGGAGCTGGAGGAACGGAAGCAGGCAGTGGCGAAGCAGGTTGCGGAGGCAGAGTTGAAGAAGGAGGAAGCGAAGCAGGTGGAAGTCTCCAGCTAGATGGATGGGAGGATAGACCGGAACCGTTGTTCACAAGATCGAAAACGCCATCGCCAATTCACCTCCGAACGACAAGAGCGCTCAAGCAACCCTAAACGCGCTCGCAACCAATTCACAACGCAATTCACAACGCCCGATTAGTTCTTTTCACAATGTGTAGTGCTTCCCTGATCTCGGACCGTCATGAAATAGCGTAGGGTAGCGTAGATATATACCAGGGACCGCATAGCGGTCCACAGTGGGAATATACTACCCAGCGTCGACCTGCGAAAGAAACGCGGCGACGCTGGCCCACTGCGCTGCTCATTGCCTTTGTAAGATCGAAACATACAGTCGAATCAGTGGGTGTCTGTATATATATCACCGGAAGTGCAGATGCAACGAGTCTCCAGGACTCCGAAGTGCGCAATAGTATCTAGCTTAGTCGTCGTTGTCAAGGATAGTCGCGGTTTTGTCGACTGCAAGCCGTATCCGGTCGCCTTTGTCCAAGTCTTTGAACTGCGAAGACGATTAAGTTAGCCAATTTGTGCAAGTAAAGGAAAGTAGCATACCGTCAGCTCTCTCGTGCGGTGTAAACTCTCGATCTCGTCGATGCGATCACGCACGCCGTCGAGCAGCTCATCGAACCCATCCTCCTCCACGACCGAGCGCGCAACATGAAGGATCAGCATCGAGTCCGGTTGTACATTGTGATGGACCTAAGCGGGTGAAGGCGTTCAGATAGCATACGGTGCACCTTCGAGAGGTACCCACGTCGATACTGATAATATTCATTCGATCGAGGTCTAAGGTATTATTCAATCAGTTCCGCCGCGATGCAGGCCACAGTGGCGCTTACCTTCGAGGAAGTCTGCTCTCGTCATGATCTGCCTGCATTTATACTGGAGGAATAATATCAGGGTGAGATGCCACAATTTGCAAGAAGCAGAGTTGCGTACATAGGGTATGGAAGGTAATGGAAGCGTTTCCAGTCCATCAGGAGTCACCTCTCCAGATGAAATCTGCTCTCCAAGTTCGTGCTCCTGCTGCATCCGCAACCTCACGAATTCGCGCAGCAGTAACCAGGAGCAGGAACTCCCTGCATGGAGGTGAACCCGTGCGCACGCGTTGTCACGAACGATAGTTTCTCACATTTTTGCTGCAATACCCTTATCAGCCTGTGTTCGGAGCCGCCGGCGAGTCCATCGCCAATGAATATACGCACCTCGTCCATCACGTCATCGTCGCAGTCCGGGATGAGCCCAATTTGACTCAGCAGCCATCCCTTCTCCACGTCCAACATATGTTGTGCGTACTCTTCCATGTCCCTTGCCTTGGCCACCTTGCTCAGGTAGGCGAGTCTCCCGCCCACGAGCCCTATGACCCGCCTAACCTCCTCATCAGACACCGAAGATCTTCTAGCATCCAAACGCATGCGCCTGGCGGCGTGGAATGCTTCGTGATTACTAAGGTCCGGAATGTACATGACCTATGAGGTGAATATGTATGGATGCGGATTGGACGCATATTTGAACATCATGACTTACGTGCATCCTGCTAGCAGTTTTCCGCATCTCTGATTCAATGAGTGGAGAGTTCTGAGGGTATACGAAGTTCACAAACCATGGAAGGGCCAGAAGTCATCCCTGTTGATCCCTTTCAGCATTAGCTAATTCAGTAGCTGATTCATCACCTACGTGCTGAAGACCATGGTCAATGTGCCTGGAACACCATTAGTTGTCCGGGCCAGATTCCTGCACTAGGCAAAGACTGACCACTCGCTGACCAGCCCTCGGCACGTTGTTGGAGCTGAAGCAGCATGTTCCGACCTTCGTCATCATTCTTGAAATGATGAATGTTGTTGATGATAAGCACAAGAGGTCTTCCGGTACGTCGCGACACCCTGATGGCGACTTTTTCCAACTTGTTGAATGCTGTGAAGTGGATGTGAGACCTCTGGGTAACAAGGAACTGAATCTAGCCAACCTCGCTCGATATCCAGTGCAGGGCCGCCTAAGTAAGAGCGAAGTGAGTTCGGCATGAAGTACAGACATTTCAACTACTCGTGCCTTCACGCGGATCCCGCCGCTGGAACACCCCTGTCTGCGAATCCTCGTTATATTCGAAATTCAGAGCCTTGCCTAGCCTGAGTCTGAAGACCTCCAGGTCCGGGTGCGCATCGCACATGGCGACACCCTCTGCCTGGTTCTTTCGCATAGCGTCGATGACCATCGTCGTCTTTCCTGCACCCTGCCTCGCCAGTAAGGGCCAGATGACACGATGACACGAGTTGATAATAGTACCTTGGGACCCAGTAACATGAAATAATGACCGGTCTCTAGGCCATGTACAATCGCGTCCAATGCGTCTTGCTCCTTTCGCCTAAGGTGCGCCGTCCACAAGTCATCCCCGTCTGCAACCAGTTCTTCGAGTATAGTTTGGTCAGAGGAGACGGCCTTCTTGGCGTGGTTGTTTGCAAGATCTAAGGCAGGGTCATAACCTGCAGCGAAGGCAAGTTCTATCTGAAGACAGCCTATGAATACTCATTCGCAGCCTATGGACATGGTCGACGGTAAGGCTCACCTTATCCAAGACGCGCTTCTTGTACCATGCGATGTACGCAACGCCGCCTATGAACACTGCGTGCGAAGTCAGACGCAACAGCAAGCAGGAAGAACCGCAGACTCAACATATGCCAATCCCGATCACGGCCGTTACGATCGCATCGCCAGCAGAAGAACCTGGGTTAAGGAACGGTATGAACGACACACTCCTATCCTTTCGCGGGCTCTCTGCCACTTCCGGTTCGGTGGGAGGTCTCGGCACTCCCTGTGTATACGGTCTGCGAGCATCCACGCGCGCTGCGCCGCGTGTCGTTGGGTGTTCGTGGAGGGCGCGTCGCCGAGACACTGAGGCGACGACCTTCCGCTGTGCGAGCACCGGTCTCGCCAGTTGTTGTGACCGTCCGCACAACCGTTGCATACGAATGAAGCAGAGAATTCACGATATTCACAAACTCGAGAAGAACGTTGAGGAGGCGGTCGTGGCCAACTGAAGCATGCCAGAACATGGCGCGGCGGCGCAGCCATGACGGACCGTGCCAAGCGCTTGAAGCTGTGACCCCCAGCCCTTTGTTCTTGCCACCACCATACAGCAGTGATGGATCTCGTTTTCTTCCAGCCTAATTGACCTTGTAGAGTGGAGTGCTTGTGCTGAACGATAACATGGGCTGAAGCCAACTGCAACCGGCGATTGCCCATGTTCCCTCCGACGTGGGTGCGACTCCAGCTTTAGAGACTGTATAAGGTCGAGAACTGGTGGCACTCGAAAGATCCGGCAATGCGTTCAATAGGCTCTTCCTCTTCCGACTATACACCATCTTATCGTGATCATCGTCTGTGGAATAGCTCACGCGGCTTGAGGATGTTCTCATAAGAGATATGCCTAAGCAAGCTCAGGACTCCGACTCCGGTTAGTGGCGAACGGATCCAATCAATCCCTCCTTTCATCTGATATCCCGGAACCGTAGCGATTTCTCATACTGTAGTGTTCTAGCAACTTGAAGCTAGCGATCCAAGTTCGACGATAGGGAACGAAACCCCGACAACTCAATCTATACTGTTGGTCGTCAGCATCGGTGTAGGACCGAAGTCCGGAGATATCACGACTTAGACGCATCGATCGTCTGATGGTTTCCTCGCCACGTCTCGACAATCTGCAACGCGGAAGAGTAACCCTGCCGTCGAGGCTGGGGATCGAGCGGTCGGTTTGAGCGAACTCGGATATGCTGGGGCTCAGCACACTGGAACTCGGGCGCTGTATTCCGACGCGAACTTCTAAATCGGAAAGAACGAGGGGGGGATCTGAACGAACGGTCACGTCGACGAACCCGATGTAGACCAGGCCGATCCCCCACCGTGTGTTCCGTTATCTTCCATGCGACCGACATGCCCCATTCGTGCGTGATGATTAATCGGTGTGTTACGTCGGTTTAGATGATGCGCATCCGGCGTCGGCGAGCCCGGAATGACGGTTGGGCAGGATCATCTCCGACCCTCGTCGTCGGTGTGCGACACCGGGACCTCTAAAAAGGAGTGCTCCGAGATCGACTGAGTCCATATAGACCCTCCAAAGGCCCACCTCCGGTCGTGATCGAGGACACTGCGGAGAGGTGAAGAGAATGGGAATGTCTCGAGTTTTGGCAAGTCACCTCACGGATTACACCCGAAATCGTATGCTGCATTCCGTCTGATATAGGGCATGTAGGTCCTCTGATGTGACAATCGGCGTTCATACGAGGGTGCACTGTCGCTATCAAGTTCGCCGTGATGTAGATATGACTTTCGACGTCCATGTACCGTGCATTCATCGCGCGGCTCGTTAATGTTCAATAACCACGCAGTTGCGGCGCGTAAGACAGTGCGGCTCACCTACAGAAGATGGATGATCGCTCCTGATTGGCCTTGCCCTATGCAGATTATGACATCGCCACGTTCAACCACACCATTACCCTGCAAAGCACGTTCGGATGTGCCAGTATCTCATTATGAATGATCCACAACCGTGGACACCGGTAAGCAGATATGTATGCAGAGGACGTCTTAATCGGTAATGCAGGACGGTAGATTGAGCAATGGAGCAACAACAATCCGGTCTCAACTTCTAGCCGAATAGCTCCAGCCTACTCCAACACCAGCACCAACAGTCGTTTCACCAGACGCGATGCCAATGTATTCGGATGAACCGGGCCAGGAGCCGATCTTGAATTCAGACACGGACGCAATAAACGAGGCAGTAAGACCGCATACATACCTGCCACTGTCCGGGAATCAATACGTGCCCCATCCGCAGCCCACGTCGCGGGAGAAGATGCGTAAAGATGCGTCGGTGAGGACGTCTCGCTGGTAACATCCCCAATTCACGTTCTGATCGCTCCAAAGCTTGAAACGTCTCTATGCTGACAGGAACCCGCGGAGATCTTTCAAAGTAGGATTGACAGTGACAGTGATAGGGTCAGGCGAATGAGCGCGTTGCGAGTTCGCGTGGCCGGTCAATCAGAGGCAGCAGGGACGGGCCCTCTTTGTTCGTCGACGGAGGGCGGCTGGGCCATCAGGAAAACCCGAATCTGCTAAAAGCCTCCTAAAACGTACTAAAAACGTGCTCATTTAGTAGTTTTAGAGGGTTTCGGTACCCGATAAGCGACTCTTTCGATAGTCCGATTTTTCCTGATGGGGGACCTCGAGAATATAATTCCACAAAAAAAAAAGGTCCGCGTGCGGCGTAAGTTGACAACGCCTGGATCTTCCCAACCTTCCATCGCCCGGAAACGTCGTGCTCGAACCCATCGCATCCTCCGTAGTTCTCGGGAGGGTTGACCAAATTTTCCGTTTACAATAGCCTCGTCCTGGTAGGTCCGTGGGGTACAATTTGAAAACGGATCCATACTTAACCTTTCGCTTTGGCGGAGATGCAGTCAAACAGCTCAAAAGGCTCTGCATCCATGCGCGGGCGCTCTCCGATATCATTGCCCCGATGAGACGCAGTCCATGTAGACTTTCCGAGAATCTCGGGCTCGGGCCTGAAGTCCGAAGGGCGCGACAAGATAGATTGAAACAGCTCGAGCGCTGATGGGCCATGGCGTCTGGTTGCAATAGATCGTGGGGGGGTTAGATGTTATACGGCGCCGCATTGCCAGCGTTGGCGAAAAAGTACGGTGTGGGTGGGAACCGGCTCCATGGTGAAACCCGAAGAGGTGGCGATTGAAACTCTGGCGTCTTCGTAAGTGATGCGCGAAGCCAGAGGTTGGGTAAACATAGAGCTGCGAGTACCGTCGCAGAGATTGTCGTTGCGGGGCTGTATACATATCGGATGGCTTTGCAAGTCCACTGCGAGAGACTTGCGTGCGGCTGATAGGGAGAGCCTGCCGGGTGGGAGAGCGCAGAGAGCACGTGCGAACGCAAGCCATTCAAAGCGAAGCGACCCAGGGCGGTGTGAACCTTGGTCCAAGCCGTGAAGCGAGTCCTATGCAAGAAAGAAGAGTTCCTGCGCAGCAAAGGAGGAGCAAAGGCGCTAAAGCCGCCGCGATATCCGAGCCCTCTTCGTGAACATCTCTGCGTCCAAGAATGTCGGAGGGCCCTTAGGTACCCGCGGACTGATGCCAGCCACTGGGCAGTGGGCATGACGTTCGGGGACGAGATACGCAATACACAGCTTGAGCCGCCTCCTGCCACGGTGGGCGGGCTGAGAGTTAGAGAGTTATAGCGTACGATGCTGAAGACATGGCAATGAGCTGCTAAGTATTGCCCGTTGGCGCTTACCGGTGATTAGTGCCTGTCGATCCGAGGGCGTTGTCGTCACCGAGCGTCTATTTTTCGATCGCCGAGCGACGACATCATCCATGCGCATCCGATGATGGAAGATATCGACCGACCGACGATCCAGATGATGATGATTGGCGAAGGTGTTGGTGAGAGGACAGCGAGAGGAAGAAGCGCCTTTGTTCGTCCATCTTTCGGTGTTCGTTCGACATCAGAAATCGCTCGACAATTGTAGAAAGACTGCCGAACACGGGGCGGTGTGCTCGAATACAGTAGTTGTCGCATGATGGGGTGCACCTTGATAAGCAATTGAGCACCGACGCGGCTTGAACAGGATAGCGCGAGCCAAGGGGACGGTGAGAGCGCAGCAACAATGTGCAAAAGAAGGGCGCATGGGGAGACCGGCCATCAAAATCGATGTCCGGGAATGGGCCCATGGGAGGGCCCAGCGTGGTGTCGACCAACGGACTGGGGGACGGCGGCAGAGAAAAGCATGCCTAATTTGCGCCCGGGCGGCGCTTCTGGAATTCATCGGCTCTTCAAAGGGCACGGAAGAGGGTGAAATGAACGGAACGTAGCGTTCGGTTTCGGTGCGCTGGAGCTCTAGTTTGTCTCATCGAAACGCAGCTTAGATGTCGATGTCTCGCAACGCTCCAGTGATACAATGGAGAAACCGGTACATACAAAGACCGCGCCCGCATATAGCAAGGTACAGTTCGTTGTCTCGCGCCGGCGCGCAAGATGGTGCCTTCGAGCAGCGTTCTCAGAACAAAGACGGGCTGTTGAGCGACGGGCACGAGGCAGGCGGGCGGTCGGCGTCCATTTTGTCTCGTACAATGTTGCGAACGCCCCCCCGATACGGATCGAAATAGGATCACCTCGTGTCGGGGGGACGCCAAAGCCAACGGGTGCGGCAGGCACGATGCCTGCTGTCGCGCTCCGTGTCGTCAATGTCGCGCGTCCGCGGAGTCTAGACCGACACGACCTCCGCTTCCGTCCGTCCCGAGAGAGGCAGGCCTGCTGGATCTTTACACAATTGCCATTTCCGGCGTCTCACCTTCCAGTCGAAGCCTCTGATCCACGCCCCCCCTCGGCTTCTCTCGCTGATTAGGTACGGGGCGTAACCAGTGACAGTGACATACGGCCACTCTGTCCTCGTCACTGTCCGGTTTTTCGACGAGCGATCAAGGCGAACAACGTCCCCATGTCATGTCAGAAGCCCCCGAGCATTGGTATGTTGCGCTTTGACACCGCGTGAGCGAGGGCGATCGCGCTCGCGGAGTAGCCAACGAGGTGCGGGACATAACGTGCCAGGGAAGCGGGGATAGAAGCCAGCCAGAGGCGTTCGGATATCAGCCGGTCCACCCGGCGTCGCGGAGAGGGAGCAAGGGGGAAGGGGGCAGCTGAGAGGAACCGCGATAGAAGCTGCCCTTCGCGCGCATATGGTGGGACGCGATTGCGCGATGGCTGCAGCAAGGTCAGCGGTCACAACATCTGCTCAGCCACAGTTTTTTCCATACTACTTATCGTTCTCCGGCGTGGGCTGCGAGATTATGCTAAACCGCATGCAGGGCCGGTGGCACACAGCCAAGCCCGCCGCGTACCGACCTAACGAACCGCGTGGTTGATGATTCCCTCGCAACGGCGTCCGAGTCGACAACTTACCTGTCACGATCGCGTTTGCTTGTATTATGTATTCGCTCATCATAATCAGGCAGGACGATTGTTGTTTCTATGTCTTTGTTTGTTTTCTTTGAAAATAGTCCTACGACTTTGTACTCTAACGGTCCAATAAGTATGGAGGATGATACAAACACATTGCTATGCGGATGAGTTATGTGCGCAGAGAGAGGAAAGGTATGCAAGAATGGAGGATGAGCAAAACCAAACCAATGCAAGGGGGAAGAAACCCGACCCGTTTGAATGCGCTACTATAGAAACATTTGATGATAGTGCGTCGACCGATGACCATGGAGGGAAGAGCCAGGGACGGGTATAATATTAGTCCAATGTCAAGCTGAGCCAGGAAATAAAAGGAATGCGACGGCGACGGTGAGTGTGGTCGTTGTTTATTTTCGTACAGGGCGTGGTTGAGGTTGTTGTCGAGGTGGGCATGTCGGTGGGCATGTCGGGGCATAACATAGAGCGGGGCAATAGGAACGACCACGGTGGCGGCGCCGGCGATATATAGAGAAACGGGGGCGAAAGCGGAGCGAAGAGACTACCAACGACTCGCGCGAGCGTACGCGTACGAATTCGGGGCGTCGAATTTCGAGATCTTCGACGGAACCGGCTTCGGCGGGCCAGTCGAGAACTTGCCGGGTCCGGTGCCTGGTATCGCCTTGGCCATCTGCGCCGCCTTGAGCGAGGGGGGGATATAGTCGATGGCCATGGCGGCCGGGCCCTGCGACGACGGTTTTCGCGAGGGCGGCGGGAAGTCGGGGTAGGCGCCGATAATCTGCGGATTCGAGTCGAACGTGGACGCGGGAGTCGCCGGTGAGCACGTCGACGCGGGCGAAGGCGTCTCCGAGCGGGACATCTCTGGGGTACGCGACGGCGACTCCGGCGTCCGCGGGTACATCTTGTCCGGGTTGATGTACGGCTTTGGCGGCGAGGTCGGGATCGGATCTTGCGGCATCGGCTTCGCGGATAGGAAGGCGATGCCCGCGTCGGACGTATGCGAGTGCTTGGAAACCGTTTTCGTCGGCGTCGGTAGCGTGATGGACGTATATGGTCCCGGACCGGAGAACTCCTTCCGTACGAGACGCTCGAACTCTGAAAGCGACGTCGGGTCGACGTTGAGCTCCCACTCGAGGTACGAGCACATCTCCCGCTCCATCTGGTTGATCTCCCGGAGGGCGAACATGCCCTGGCCGACGATGCACCAGGACTTGTTCGAGTAAGTGTCGTCGCAGATCACCTTGGAGGCGATCATAAACGCGGAGAGGAAGAGGCGGTGGCCGGATGACCCCCGGGCGGCGGGAAAGCGCTGCTTTAGCCGTTGGAGGAGGTAGAGGGCCGCGAACGTGACCGACTGGTGTAAGCGGGTACGGTGGAGGGCGTAGGCGACGAACTGAGCGAGCGTCGGGGGAGGTGACGAGGAAGGAAGGACGCCGGTCGGATATTCGGGGCAGGCGAAGAGGTGCGTCACGAAGCGCGAACACAACTTGGCCGTGGCTTCGTGGCCATAATATGGATCGGCAGACTGGCGAGCGGGGAACACGGTTAGCGCCGGGCGTTCTGGGCGCCTAATATTTCGGGATGGGTGCTCACGGATTTCTGCGCGCCGGGCGTCGACCTGGGCATCTTCGAGATCTTGTCGAAGGATGTCGGATGGTGGGCGACGGACGGGCCTTGGACGGCAGCCATGGTGGACCTCGAAGGGGGGAGAGAAACGAGGGAGAGAGCGCGGTGTGGACTTGTCGCCGGAAACGACGAAGGGGTCTGGGTAGGGCGGAGCGGAGTGGTGTGGCCTGGGGATATATAGGTCGTTAGAACTTCTGCTCTGCCCTCATGGGGTGGGCCTGCACGTTTTGGAAGAAGAGGGGTGGGTGTGGAACCCTAGCGAATATAACCGGCCGTGAGGCCGACCCATCAGTCACTCATATAAGCGAGCTGATCAGAATGGGAAGTCCCATTGAACGCCGGCCCCACTCCCGATCACACCTCCCCGAAAAGGAAAGTAACACCAGACCAGCACTCACCGTGGGAAGCCACGAGGCAGCGAAAAGCCGATGGCCCCGACCGTGCCGATATCACAACAGCAGCGCGCGCTGGCGGAGGCGGTGGGCGGGAGCGAAGGGAGCGAGAGACAACGACGGCGAACGGAACAGCCAGATCCAAGACAGCATTTATATCCCTGCTGCACAATTACCGCACGCCTCTCTCCACAACGTCCCCAGTGGCCCATCGCCTTGTCAGCGACACAAAACCAACTCCTCCGCAGCGCAAGGCGTTACCTGTGGCGATCCTCCTGCGCTCCTGGCGCAGACGCACCGCACGGAGCATAACGTCGGCTCTCCAACCATCCGGCCGTGTCTGACCGTCGTGCTGTGACAAAAACCCCAGCGTGCGCGGACGCCGGGGACCTTGCCTCTTTTGGTATCACTCGCAGCTTTGCTTCACCGCCTCCTCTCCTCCGAGGCCCTGATGCAGTCCGTCGGTTGCCCCTGCTTTGCCCTGCGCGGATATTATAGTAGTGCTGGTCGTTTACGAGACCGTCGTGCAGTAATGTGATACTGATGCCAGCCACCTCCGCCGTCTCAGCACTTTTCAGTGATTTCAGTGCAGCATGCATCAGGCAACCGGACGTCGTCGGTTCGCGAACGATGATGCGCCTGTCCATCAAACACCTATCGGGGCTTAGGTGCTTCGACGAATGTGAAGCCTTGCGAAGCCCTCTTTCATGTGCCAAGGGCGATCTGCCATAGACGTGGTCTCGTACGAGACAAAGGGGGGCAGGCGCAGGTCCCGCACGAAAGGCGTAAGAATGCAGCACCGCCCGACCGACTCCATGACCATGCCCCAACCGCACCGATTGGTCCAAGACATCAACTGACGATTATGGAGGCGTCGGCTGCTATGACAAGACGTTAGCAGTGTACTAAGTTAACACGTCCTTGTTCTGCAGTTCCGCTTTGTTTGTCTTCCGCGATGACCCTCCTTCCTCCGGCGTCACCTCTCCATGTGGCAGCGGCTCCTTTGTGACCAGAAAATCATGTCCACGCGCGCAATGCAAAGCCTGCTCCAACTCTCTTCCCGGGGCGGTGCCGGCGAGAATCGGCCGGAGGGCTGGCCGCGCGGCGCGACCGTTCTTTTTTTCTTCTTTTCTTCCCTTACATATCCCATTACATCCGGTTACTGACTCGTGCTTTGCTCATTTTATTGTACGTTTTTGCCTCTCGCGTTCGCGCAGACTTCTTCTCCATGGCCTCCACGGGTGTGCGCCTTGCACAGGCGAGCGCAATCCATCCGGCAGCCGCGTTTGGCTGCTACGCATGCGTTCTCAGTACATGCCCCGTCTTGTCGAGGGGATCCTGTCTCTCTGCGCGCCGCGGCGGCTCACGGGGCTACCTCTTCCGCCCATAAACGGGCGTTGTTCCGCCCGCAGGTGGCCACTTCGAGGCAGTGTCAAGCCGCATATGCCTTGGGACGGGACATACGACTTCCTACCGATCGGACAATGTCGTCTCGGACCTTCCCTAAGTACCCGCAAGCTCCAGAGTCCAGAGAGGGGCGGGGCGGAGGGGCCCATCTTCGGCCCGTCCAGTAAGCCCCCACTTCAAACATAGGACTCGAAGTCTTGATCTTGGGGAGGAGCGACGCGACCGTTTTGCTATTCGACCTCTCTTTTCCTTGCGCGAGGATCGCGAGCCACGCTCGACTGTTGGGTTCTAGTGGAGATTGACGCGAAGATCCCAAACAGACTACTCTGGTTACTGTATACCCCCTGCCCAACCCGAGCGCGCCATATCGGGACGTACCGATATCGTCAATTGCGTTAGGTTCCGAGATCCGGGGAGGCTTTCACTTCACAGTTTTTCAGATAGAGTTTCGTGTCCCCATGTGACGTCTGCCGAAATCCGCTTTCCAATAATGCCATCCCCCAAGCCGAAATTTTCCGGAACGCGCTCTGCACGGACGTTGTAGTCATGTTTTCGTTCGTTCCTACTTACACTCCAAGAGTCAGTACCTGGAATTCAATCTTTCTGCGCGTAACTCGATCTGTGGCGAGCGGCTCTTCTACATAGCCGAAGAATACAACTCATACACACCATCTATCTCCCCATTGTGCTCAATCTTTGGTGCGGACTTACACTGCATCGCCTTAGACTCCGTCGAACGGTGGAACTGTCAAACTACTGTCACCCTGCGCTGGCAATGCGCTCGAGCCGATTACTGCGCATATCGAGGGCAACGTCTTTTCTTGTTGTTCCGTCCGGCGCTCGGTTGCTCGTCCAACCGATGCGCAGTCGTCTATTCCCTTTGTATACCCCCTTTCATCCTCGACAGAATCGAGATCTTCTTACAAAGCGTGTTGGGACTCGCGTATAGGCCTTTGTGCATTTGCACTTCGCTCGCACGCGAGAGCTCGTTTTGGCCCGATGCACACGCAACATCTGTCCGAGGTTTCCCAGGTCGAATCAAGGTGTGAATTGCACCTCCTCCAGGCAAAATTCGATCAAGGGCGACGTCCGCTCAACAGATCGAACGCCCTTTCGTTCTGTATTCTGGGACGTCTCGGAGCCACCGTCGGGCGCGCGCCAAGATGCGCCGATGGTCCACCATCATCGCTCGAGTCGCGTTCGAGGCCTATGAATCGAGATCGTCAATGTGCAAATGTCAACGCACCTTTCTCCCTAGGCAATGCATTCGCCGTCTGCGATCATCCATATGCATCTACGTGCTTGTCGACCCATTTGCTGCTGCTGCTGCTACGGTTGAAGTTGAGTTTCATCTGCATCGCATCCGGCATGAAATCTGCTCCAATCATCCCGCTTCTCGCGGCCTATGCATGCGCACCACACGCCAATACCAGGAGCCTCTCGAACGTTGTTGAGGTCCCGCCCGGACGCCCGTCTAACAGCATAAGTGGAGCAACTGTATCTTGTCCGTTCGGCAGAGGAGAGATCTACAGTAGTTCCCGCGCGGGAGCTACTAGAACCGCCTAACGCATGCTACGAGAGCTAAGTATGCGCGTCGGCTCGGTCTCGAGCCCCTTTCTCCTGCTCCACGCGCATATCGAGAGCGTGAGCGAGAGAGTTTCGGAGGAACGTTCGCTGATCCAAGCCGATGTGATTTTTGACTACCGTCGTGGTAGTCGCTAGCTGCCGTGTACGCGGACCGATTGTCCACATACGTCAGCGCCTGAGAGGTTGTAGCCGCAGGGGACTGCTTTCGGCGCTGCGAACTGATATTTGTTCGTTGACGTCACGACGCGACCACCACCAGCTGGTTTCCTTGCTCCCAAGATATCTCCGGGCATCGCCCCTCGTACAACGTCTACCGGAGCATGACATCCAGCTGGATACTGAATCCGCTGCTCTCGAATCGCCACCGGAGCGTCGACGACTCATTGCTTCACTCTCTATCACTGCAACCGCAGTGACGGCGTCACGATTATTGTGGGTCGAATTGATGGTGGTGCAGTGCTAGCTCTCAGCCACCAAAATTCGGCGACTGAGATCGCATAACGTATACAGACGCATTACTTGCTTGTCGACATCCGGCCTTACCGCGGCGTATTCTCATCTCCAGAACGATGTTCGCCTAACGATGAGCAAGGTGTATCCGTGGCCAATATGGGCCCGATACCGATACCATCTGCAGCTGGATCAACTACCAGACCGATGACGCACCTCCCTCCGGAAACTCTAGAGTGACGTCGTGAACGAGACGTTTGAAGATCTGCTACAGAGGTACGGCTCGGCCCTCTTCGGTCGCACATATGTCTTACCCTGGGGCTCGCGATCGCGGTGCCGTTACCCCGCCGTGGTACAGCATTCGGGCAGGCTACGCGAGCCGAGCAGGTTGCAACCGGCAGCAACAACCTGGTTTCACATCGGTAGCGCCGGATCCCACCATCGGAATGGATGCAAACGGACGTTCGGAGGGTCCGCCGTCTTCTACCTTCTGGTTTATTGACAACCTGCGCAGACACATTATTATTACCCCCTGTTCCAAGACACCGATCACGACTGCGACACCGCGCCCTGGTCTGACGACCGCTCCTCATATGATCGGCGTCATCAAGAGGCATGGGGGCGGCATACGGAGCATGGCCCGGTTGACTAGCCTGAGCAAAGCCTGAGGTATTCCACGTACAGTATCTCAGATCTCGTTCATTGACATCTCGTGTTGCTTGGTCAAACCTTCACATTCTCCATATACAGCATCCACACCTCCGGCTCATTCGGGCCTGCAATTTGCTCACCCAGAGCTCGTCGAAGCTACCCGAATATCAGTTCTGGTTGTTCGCAGATTCGTCCCGATCCATGTCCTACTTTTCCTGCCTTATACTTGTGCCGAATTCCTGTCGGCGACAGCATTATGTTCATTCTCATCAAATTGGGGCGCCTCTCACCAGGCTCCAGCTATACGAATACGGCCATTGCTGATCAGCGCCTCTATCATTGTTCTGTAGACCTGATATCAACGATGTGACGTTCCGCACCGGTACGGATTAGCGAGTTGTTGCTCGTTCATGATGATCACGCAGCATCACTCGGGCTGAGACATGCTATCAAGTCTGATGAGATGCATGCACGAGTACGGCAGAGATAACATTCCTTTGTCCGTGTGTTACCATTCGTGCCCGTCAGAAGAGCAGAAGGTTTCGCATCGTACCTTATCGCCTCTTTCAGCGCTCGTCCGCCTCGTGGCCTGACAGCAAGCTGCGGGGAAGCCGCCTTCTTCGCTCGGCGCTCACCGAAACTGGCGTTGACTCGATCGTTGGAGGCATTTGGGTGGCGGCCGAAGAAGGTTCAGCTGCCTGCTGGACCATCCCATAACCGGGGCCTACCGCTTCCCTGAGCACTGCGTTCTCGTACTGGCAGAGCAAGCGATGGTACACCATTGTCCACCCCTATCTACAAGGTCGAACAAGCTACACAGACTGGCGTCTTCAGCACTGGATCTCAACCGTAACGCGACAGCTCTCAGGCCGAGTTCATCTAGAATATCGCCTTGCGAGAGCTTGATCTATAGCTAGCTATACAAGGCGAGTTCCGGTTCTATATGCTGTGAGCCCGCGGTCATTGTCCGCGTTCCTGTGCGATCCATGGGAACGACTCAACAAGTGTAGTTCGATAAACTCTCATATCCGTTCAACGCTGTCAACGGCTTACGTCCCAGGCCTCTCATCGAAGGCGGCTTCCTGAGCTTAGAATCAATGGCTGTCCATCAACGTCCTCGTTATCGACTTGTTCGTGACCACCCTGGAGGCGCAGAGACGGAACGAACGACCTGGATCGCGTCAATGTGCGCCAAGAAGCCATGGAATGCCGATAACGCTCTGAAGATGCTTCCTTTCACCCCAGACTGTACCGCTCTCTGGACCTGGCGCCCGCACAACTACCCGTTTTTTACTTGCCATTGCCCGGTGCAACACGGTTCCAAGCCTTCGATCACCAACGCGCAGCTAGCATACCAATTCAAAAGATCCGAGTCAGTAGCAAAGGTGGTCATATTCACGCCGTTGAGCCGCGACTAGCGGTCTTGTCATGCATTGGCCAGGTTACCGCTATATGTAGCATGTTGAATTCACGCATATACATGACCTGGCGTTGAGAGAACGATTTCAGCCATCGGGTCAACGCAGGAGGTCGCCGCCCACGATGTCCGCGCGCGATACCTATAAACGTGATAAGAACCCAACCATAAGGCTGAATAACACCTCGCAAGGACGGATGCCCGCTGGCTCGCCTCTCACATTATCTTTATACTGTGCCCACTTCGTTCGGAGGATGCCACGAGGCGCTAAAACTTCTCCACATTCACGAGTTCCCTCGTCTCACCGATCGTGATGCGCAAGCCCCGGCCCTTCCACGGAGGCGGCTGTCGAGAGCCGTCTGGGAGCAGCATGCCGTTCGTTACGCCGTCGGAGAAGAAGACGTAGCCGGGAATGTAACGGTCGACGAATCTGGACGGGGCGTTAGACTCTCTGCAGCAACGGTGTGATGAAACAAGGAGAAGGTCGTGCTGCGCTATACGAGGCCGTGTCGTGAGGGAACGCTTGTGGAAACTCACGCTTCGATTTGTTCGTCAGACATGCCTTTGCCACCGTTGCGGGACTTCATCGCATGCTCTTGTTGCAATCGCCATTTGTATATATGAGTGTATGGCGTCGACGGTAAGGGAGATATCTGGTGGCCGGGGCCCCGTCAGGACGTGGCCATGAGGATAGCAGGAAGCGAGGCAAGTATCGTTCGGCGCAAGGTTGTTGGAGCGCGAAGCGAAACTAAGGATAGTCCGAGACTAACAACGCGAAAATCGACGACCTCACCTGAATAAAGATGTCCAGCAACGACCACCAAGCGACGTACGGACGAAGTCTCTCGTTGATGTCGCGGATATGCTCGATCCGGTATGATCTCGATGCCAGGAAATTCTCCGCTAGGCCAGTCACAGGCAGATTGTACCTCTTCAGTATTTCCTCGTCGGTGATTGGACAGAACCCGATGAACCACCCCTCCAGGATGACCACGTCTAAAGGGGGATGAACTATCGCTCCTTCTGCCAGTCGATCGCCTTCACCACCGTGCAAGCTCTTATCGAAGATCGGCAGCACGACAGGCTTGGCGCCCGGCAGGTTGATGTCGCGCAACTCATGGAGGATCTTCGTGCCCAGCGTAACGTCGTGCGTACCGGGCTGCCCACGCCCCCGGAGAAGCGCGTTGTCGGGATGAGCGCGGGCGAGAGCGACGAGGTCGGCATGCGGAAGGTAAAGATCGTCGACGGACAAAACCGCAACCGCAAGATTGCGTGGAGCCGCTGAGAGAGCATCGCGCAGTTTGCCGCTGAGAAACGTCTTGCCGCTGCCTTGAGGGCCTTGGAGGCCAACGAGCAGAGGTCGTGGCGAAGTGCCGTGTCGTTCTCGGTGAGCGGCTAGTTGTTCGATGACATGTTCAGCCATATACTCTGCCGCCGGAAATTCCATGATGGGAGATGTGCAGGTTCAAGATACTGGTCGAAGGTAATGTGAGCAGCGTTCGCGATCATAGTCATCGTCAAAGATTCGAGAGCTCGGGACACCGGCCCGCCGTGTTGCCGCGGTACTGGTCAGCCGCCCTCGGTCAAGCTCTCTTGGTTCACGACTCCTTCAATTCGATCAGCATGCGCTACGTGCTGGTTGTACAACCTTGCCTAGGCACTGTTCGAGGTCACACCCCGTATACCGAACTGGATCCCATCCTATCCGACGATAGAAAGGCAATAATCTTCGCATTCATCTGGACACAAGGTCGCGAGATCTTGCAATATCTGCATGCCTTGTCGCGCAAATCTCGCCAGACAAGAACCCGGATAGACGCATTATGGACTACTGCGATCCGTCCGCCACCTTGGGCCAGAAAGCTGAGATGCTCCAGGCGATGCACGAAGACCCCGCCGCCCAGATTCTGATCGTGGACAACCAATCGCTCGTCGAAATGCGAGAAAAGGCCCGGAACGTGCTGGACATGTATGTTATAACGCCTAATAATGTCCCGTTCAACTGGATCTGGGAGTGGACCTCTGTGGAGGTACCGAAATCCCAGTCTCCAGCAGCGAATTTTGTAACGCCAATCCGCCGACATATCGTGCTCTTCATCTGTCAGAAAGCACTTGACCTAACACTGGCATACTATATGAGATCATCACTTCGGCCACATCGTCGAATCGGCCACCCTGCTATATGTCGTGCTCCGCTGCGTTTTTTGGCCCTATACTCTGACTGTGTTCATGTAGTGTACTCTCAGTGATATCCCAGGAATAATATCATGAGTTACATTGCTCGACAGTGCGGTGGACGACACTGTCCAAGTAACGCTGCGTGATGAGGTGCCGACAATGCCGGATGACAGCCGGGCGGAGTTTTAATACTCAACGCGTCGCGAGCGACGCGTCGGGCACAAATGCAAAGGTAGACACGTCTTTAATCGATCCGGTGTTATTATTGCTCCGTCGATGGGTGCAGACCGTTACCAACGACGTAGCAAAGCAAACGGTACCCAACTTGGATGACAGCATCAAAGCAAAACAGATGATCTGTATGAAAGCAAGCTCAAAGAAGCAAAAGACGGAGTGCTGAGCGGCAAATACAAGAGTGCAAGAGCGGCTGCTATCGCAGTTGGCGTACGTACATCTGCTTCCTGTGGAAAAGATGCTGACAAGGAAGGGACTAGGTTTTTTCTCGCCTTGCACTCGAGGAGGAAAAGGTTCGGCTCGCGAATGCAAACGAGAAGCGGGTACGTGGCTCTACCAAGATCAAGGGCCGGATTGTTGTCGCCCAAGAGCTTAAGGCTCATTTTGAGGAGGAATTGCTGCTGAGAAGGAGAGGGAGGCACGCGAGAAGGAGCATGCAAAAGCTGTTGAAGCCGCCGAGCGTGAGGCTCGTATTGTACAGGCTGCATCGTCAAGGGTTTTCAACCAGCCACTGAATGCCTACAGAACCAGAGAGGACGTCGTCGGGCTGGCGCAGGCACTGCACGTCAACGACAAGGGCCCCGTCCGGGCAATCATCCCAAGGATTCACATCTCGAGACCCACCAAGATCTTGCTTCAAACCCTCGCTTCGCAGGCCTATTCAAGCTCTCCAGATGCTCCGTCCATGGAGCCCGCCCCAATTCCACACCACATCCAACACCTCTAGAGACAACATCGAACAGAGCCTTCTCTGATTGCCCGGGGTCGTCAAATCCAAATGTACTTGTTGCGAGGTTCGAATCTTAATCACTACGGTACAGGCTCATATCATATTGTGAATTTCTTTCATTATTGTTACCTGCACATACTATTCATTACTGTAGCGTGCATCTTCGTAATCGACCGCAAATTCCAGCTTGGTACGACGGCGCGACGACGAATCGGCCACCTCGAGCGGAGTACGAAATCTTTGAGCGCGGAGGTGTGACGTGTGTGTGACTGGCCGATTCGACCATCCGGCCGAAGAGACGATATCATATAGTATCCGCTGCAAGAGACGATGCGTCTGCTTCCCCTGTACGATTATGAGGCCGTTCAATCCGTGCGTAGGCATTGCCCTTATAATGTTCGGTCGGTCGTCTGGGGTTACCGAGATATATATCGAACCGGACGCGTCACACGGGTCTGAAGGGTCGTCTCGCATGATCTGGTGCACTATGAGCCCCAGAATGGGTTGCTACCAACCACATGATGGGGGATATCGACCATTCACCCACGGTCTGGTCGATATGTGGTTGATTGAGGCGATGTGGGTGATTGCCTTGGATCACTCATGGTATGGTCTATTGTATACAATCACCCACTGTATCCGTAAATACTAATGTCGGCCAAAGTCAATGGGTGATTTTCACCCACTCTACCAGTGGGTCGTGCCAGTGCTGATTGCACAGCAGCGGCAACGCGCGCGGTCAAGCTGCACAGCCCCTCGTCCAACTCACCTCCCGCCAGCGCCAGCGAAGACGGTAGACGCAGGGTTCACTCTCGCCATGGCCAAGGGCACGGGCCTTGGTAGAGTCGTGCCACTCTCTGAGCCTGCTCAGAGAGTATGGGTCGGGAGATGGGGTGTGCGTCTATAGCGGTCGTGCCCACCGTTGCAAGATGAACCCCCGGACGACCTGGCATGCCAACCCCCCTACAGTCTACGTGTCCTCGCAGCACTGTGCGCATTTCGGATATGTTTGATATGCTGAGGGCATGGTACGTTCTGAGTTTTCCTCTTACCGTTGTAAACCCAATGCGCTCATACTTTCATCCAGGTGTGCCGTTGCACTTTTTACCTAATCCCGGTCGCCATTCGACCACCGCAGTGGCCTCGTCGCCGCAACTGCCTCCACTCATGTGCCCACGCCCGTCACAGCGATGACTCCCAAGACGTCTCCACCACCTACAGCAGTGGGCACGCCGTACGGCCACCCTGCGCCCTCGCCTCTCGCTCATGCGTACCACCACGTTCACGATCCCGACCGTGATACCTCGGACGCGGACTCACGTGAGTCCGCTATCTCGTAGAGCATGGCACGCATCTAACAAATGCCTCTCGTCGCAGTACGCACATCGTACGGGTTCGGACCCAGCCCCAGCGCGAGCTGCGCCAGCCTGACGTCGCTCACCACACCCGCCTCCTCGCACTACTCTCAAGCACAATCTCCCTTGCATACCCGCTCCTTTGTCGTCAAGAAGCCACTGCCGCCCACGCCAACCTCGGCGCCACCGCTCGCCGTGCCCTCCTCGCCTTCGTCAACGTCCCTCGTCTCCGTCTTCCGCACGGCATCTCTCGACCGCTTCCGGCGGAGCAAGTCCAAGGCGAAGGAGAGGCCCAAGAAAGAACCCGCGACACCCGAAGACACGGTTCGCGTCGACTACCCGTACATTGGCGCGCACCTCGATCGCGAGCGCTCGGCCGTGCCGCCCCCGCCCGAGCATGCATACACGCACGGGCTCCCAGACCCGCACTTGCCTTTGCCCCCACACAACGTACGGTGGCAAGTGGCACACAGTCCGTTGGATGTCCGAGCCAAGCCACACCGTTCGCGCACGGACCCCGACGCCGACCCCACGCCCGTCACTCCACCGAGCGAGTTCAGCGCTCGGTTTCAGGCCTGGGGGAAAGCGCGCGCGCACCGTGCTCCAGCGACTCCGGAGCCTCTCAGCCCGCGCCGGGAGATGCCACGCTCGCCTAGAGGAGGAGGACCGTGCGTCCCGGGAGATCTTTCCTGCGCCCGAAGCAGATGCACCGCGGTCATCGACATGCTCGTATTCGGAGAGTGACGAACAGCAGACACTGCGCGGACGTCGAGCCCCTCCTTGCGCCTTGTTGCCGCGTCCGCCGAGCGACCTGCCTACGTCCTTCGTCGACCTCGACGTGGACGAAGAGGCCTGCGCATCCACGTTGACGCCACCGCCGACGCCGGGCAGGCTCGATGAGCTCGTCCCTTCGAAGGACAACGTGCTGGTGTTCACGCTCGACGTGGGCGAGGAGGCGGACGCGCGCATGGTCCGGCTCGACGACGACGTTGACGTAGACCCCGTGCCCTCTTTCGCCCAACAGCGCGAGCCGCCAACGCGGTCGCGCTCGGCGCAGCTTCCATCCCCCGCCCTTCTTCCACCCCCATGCCCTCTTTCGCCCAACGCCAAGCGCGAGCCGCCAACGCGCTCGCGCTCAGCGCAGCTTCCATCCCCCCGCCCTTGCCGTCAGCCGCACCCGCCCTCGTCGTCAAACGTGCCCTACACTCTTCGTCAGTCGCGCCCCGCCGCGCTTAGCGCCATCC